TGCGCACGTAAGGAAAATGCGCACTCTTTTTTCAAATTTTGTACAGGAAATTGCGCTCTCTTTCTAACAACAGGAAAATGCGCACGGTTATCAAATCTTGTCCTTTCGGATTATTTGAAGTTTATATAACTGATTTTTCAGCATTCATCTTTTTCAATAATAATACCAGGCGGTCACTAGACTGGTCAGACTGATTTACCCTTCACGTGATAATGTGTTTTTTTTTTAAATTTTGTAATGTTATTTTCCGAAGAAAGCCAAAGTCGGCGTTTATAGTTTGTTCAGAATTTGAATATCAAGTCATCGGTCGAACTCCGCCTCTTATGTGTAGATCAAACCAATCAGAGAACGAGCCACTCACAGGCTTTGTTTGGGGCAGAGATTGCTGCTTGAAACTCAAAATATGGACAAACTATATTATAAAGGGAAATATGTGAAATACAAATCGAAAGGACCTTACGAGGCTCAAAAATATTTCTGAAGAAAATTTACAGGGTGATGAATTATTACTGCGACAAAAATGAAGGAGCTGTCAATATGTCAATTGTCAATAGTCAATAAAGACTGGGAACTCACAATTATTTTTTTATAAAGTTTTACAGGGATTTAATCAAAAATTAACATGAACTGCCGCTCGAAAAATGTAGTGGCACTCTAAATTGACTGCGGTACGCAGATGGTCGAAATCAGTTTTTTTGTTTTTTTGAGCAGAACGGCCAAAAAGTCAGTAGGCAAACTGGTGTGTACTGTTACAAGAGGCACATTGAAGTTTCTCAAAAAAATTTTGGAGTCAATGGGATAACAGAAAAAGAACAAGACTCCATTCTTCTAACCGGATAAGACCTTACGATAAGGACTCGAAAATTGGCTTTGAGCTGACTAGAGAACTACGCGAACTCGCATTCAAGGATCGAGTTAAAACTTTGGTGGCTTATAGACCCGGGTAAAAAAAGTACTTGGAAACAAGAGAGTTTATATGCTAAACCCTATAGGCTTCTGAGAAAAAAAGCTTTTTGAAAAATGAACAGTTTAGGCTTGAAAACTATCAAATTTTTTTGCTTTCATCCTTCTTTTGGCTGGAAAAAGTTTTTTTAGTGTTTATCATAGCCGGATCATTCAAGGCGATTTTTATTAAAATATTAAATAAGGTAAAAGCAGTATTCTGAAAAATTTTCAGGTCTAATTTTTCACATTTTTCTAATAACTTTTTCTCAGTTCTCTATTGGGTTTAGCAGATATTCTCACTTGTTTTCAAGTGTTCCCACTTTAGGTCTATAAACCACTAAAGTTTGAACTCGATCCGCGTACCCTGAGTCCGAGTAGTTCCCTAGTAAGTAAGGGTACTTAAAAACAGGCAATACTATCTGCTAAACCCCATAAGGTACTGAGAAAAAAGGTACACACCTTTCAAATTGTTTTGTTTACTGCTCTCTGAGTTGACCTCATCTCTACAGAGACTCGAAAAAGCTGAGTTTTGCCGTTTTACGAAGTTTCAAGCAAAATAGCGTATTTCGGATGATAGAATAGTAAAATAGCCCAATCATTAATATTAGCAACAGTGAGTGTTGCTGCAAATACTCTGGGGTTTTGACCGTTCTTGAGAGCTTCGATGATGTACTTTTTTTTTGTCTGTACAAACACAGACGAATCAGAAGGGCACCTTTATTTTTCCACAAAAAATTCCTCTCAAAATGGATCGTGAAGGCCCCATAATGTGTCCATCGTGAGACCTCCAGCATACCTTTTAGCTATATCGGAGCTATCTCGGAGGTACTTTAGAGTCTCCCTCAAGTCTATCTCATTTTGCTCAAAAGTCCTCAGAGGTATACTCGGGTTACCATCGATAGGCTTCAGACCCTGCGATATGCCTCAGAGGGTCTCGCGATACCCTTTTTTTCTCTATTTTTTTCGGAAAACAATTCCTTCAATGCGACTTCTTTTAATTGCTTACATAGACGTGAATCGTTATCAATTTCGAGAATCGAAACCTTAAAAGTACGTTCAAATTGAGCTTCAGGGCGACCTTATCGAATAATTTCTGAACGTCGCAATAAACTCCCTCTCATACGGCCTTGATGCGTAATGAAGTAACTTTGAGTCAAGATTTTTTTTTCCAGTGTTGTACTTGGCTGTAAAAATCACTGAAAAAATTTTTTGGTGGTTCGGCCCGGCCCAAAAAGCTCAAATTTTCTTCATTTCGAATTTTTAGCTGTTTTAACGAGAAAAGCGGGGTTTTTGCTTATTTTTCTTCATTGAGTTATTAAAAAATGTGATTCAACATGTAAAAATATTTTTTCGGTGAAAATGTTTTTAATGAAATAAAAAAGTTTCTTGAATCTCTGGCCCGAGCCCGCGCTTTTTTTTCGAAATTAAAAAAAATCAAGGGCTAGGGGGCTTCAGGCCTTCATAGCCAAGCCTGCCTGCTTTGCCATAAACGCCCAAAAGGCAGAAACGACTTTTCCGAAAGTCAGCGTGGCACGGCGGTCATCATATTATAGAAGAAGGCTTGATGAAGGTAGGAATAATGACTGGAACAAAAATGAGCTCGGGTCGGCGAGAGCAAATGCTAAAAAACTTTTGTCGCAGTAATTATTCCTCCACCCTGTATTGTTTAATGTTATCAGATGGAAAAAGATCTGTATATTTTTGAGAGCATCTCACTTTTTTTAGCAGATTTTCGTGGCAGCTTTTTGAGACCAAGCTTGGAATCAGCTTGGTCTCAAAAAGAGACATCTCACTTTTTGCAAAAAAATACACCTGGTCTCATTCCGAAGTGACCGCAGACCATTTCCTGATAAGAAATATTCTCCATAAATTATCAAATAATCAAAAAGATGTTCAATTCATCTTTAGCTGAAAAGATTTCTTCATGACAAAGAGAAAAAGTGAGATGGTTTATGTGGACTTCAATCTTGAAAAAGAGCGGAATTTGATAACCGTGCGCATTTTTCCTGATGTTAGAAAGAGCGCGCAATTTCCTGTACAAAATTTGAAAAAAAGAGTGCGCATTTTTCCTTACGTGCGCACGAGAAAAGAGTGCGCACAGCGCGCACTTTCCAGCATGCCGTGGCTGACTGCAAAAGCGGCAGGGTTCATTGCAATAGGGGCGTGATGATGAGAGTCAAGTTTTGTGGATTTAGTGGTTGGAAAAAAACCACTACTCGGACATTGGTAACGCGTAACGGACGTGCTCCGGACGTTTCTGGGCGATTCAAGGGATCACTTAAGAGCGTTAAGGCTACTGAAGTGGTCACTAGAAATGCACCGACACGTACGTTTCGCGTCCCGTTCGCGTTACCAAGGTCCGAGTAACTGATGTTTTTCCTAGGTTCTCGCGAGTTTTGAAAGGTTTTTAATGTGTATTAAATTATAACGAACAAATTTAAATAAAAAGAAGACGAAAAAGTTTTTGAAAAATAAAATATCTCCGAAAATGTCGTTTTTTTAAGGAAAAATTTCGTCAAATGGAGCTTCAAAATAGAAAATAGAAAACAATTTCAAAACACTTCTCTGAAGAAATACCATTTAAACGTTAAAAAAAACAGATACATAATAGCTTATGCGAGAAAAGTTATCACTCAAAATGACATTTAATAACAATGAACGCATAGCTGTGTGTTCACAGCAGTTCAGACCTACAGGGACCCGTCCGGTTTGCACTGCGCCGTCTTCGCTGGCCATACTAGACCATTTTTGATCATTTTTTCTGTTTATTAAAATAAACAAGGCTATTTCCAACGTTAATAGATGAAACATTACAGAAAAATCTTTCTACTTACTAAATATTTAGTTTGGGGAATGTGTATTTAAATACACATTCCCCAAATTAGGCCATTTTTTAAGGCGTAGGCTCATAAGCTCTTTTATTCATTTTTCATGCGTTACTTCTCATAATGATGCTTAGTTTAACATAAAATTCGAAGCATAAAAACTCAACTATATCCATTTCTAAATTTAAATATGGTTCTTCAAAAAATCGCACAAATGTGCTCGAAACCGGTTTTAAAAGTGAGAATGCATACTAATAAGTATTATAAAAAAATACCAACTAACTATTTTTAAAAAGGTTTTTCCCAATCAAAAGGTTAAAATAAGAGCCAGAAACCCAGCGCGTCCCCCCACCAGTGCCTCAGTGAGAAATTATTCAAAAATTGCAAGTTGTTCGAGAATCCGCTTAAGAAAGCTCTTGAAGTTATCAATAGGTCATGTTTGCAGAAAATTTCCTGTGCTATTTTTTTCTTTTTCGTTCTCGTTTCCTAGAACCTTTTTTGACTTTTTCTTCTTTTATATGTAGGATTTTTCTTTTCATGGAGTTCTAAACGTTGATGACGTGTTCAAAGCGATTCCGCAAAACTCAAAATAGCCATCAGAGAGCGAAAAGGATAACTCAATTTTGGAGAGTCAGAGATAATTTTTGCATTTCACGGAAAATACTTTAAATACCGAATTATTGATGTCATTTTGTTTTTTTGAATTATTAATAAATTATTGATGTCATTTTTTTCAGAAGCATATGCTCAATCTGAAAATTTATTTTTTTCAATAACTTTATTGATAAACGTTGTGAACGGCGAACTTTTTATCTATCGGCACAGGTTCGCCATCACATTCATTAAAAGGATTTTCAATTTTTATTTTAGGAGCTGCTGTTCTTCTCTCAGGAGGAATTTTTTGGAAACTTAAAGACAATATAAAATGCCATCTCTACGAATGTTGCGACGATTTTGAGTTTGACGCATCTGGTTAGTTTGAGAATTGTCATGTTTTCACACTTGTTTTAAGGTTTGGATCATGATCTATCCGACTTGGTTTTTGGACAACATTTGGTGAAAGATGTTGTTGTGAATGCCATGAGATCTCATTGGAGTAACAAGAACCCCAAGAAACCGCTCGTGATGTCGTTCCATGGGTACACGGGTTCTGGCAAGAACTACGTTGCTGAAATTATTGCAAACAACACTTTCAAGTGAGCTTTTCTGGATAGCGAAAAACAATAGCCCAAGGAGCGGCATTCGGAGTTCCTTTGTAAATCACATTGTGGCCACTTCCGAGTTTCCGGATCGTAAGCTCATATCTAAATATCAGGTTTTTTTTCATACTACTTCTTGTCATCCTTGTTTTCAAAAGCTTCCATTCTAATTTGTGTACAGGTTGAATTACGAGAAAGAATTCTCTCTTCGGCAAAGAAATGTGGACGCTCGATTTTTCATTTTTCGATGAAGTCGACAAGCTACCGGAAAAACTTATTAAGTATATATTTTTGTTTTTTTCATTCATGTTTAGCTGTGATAAAGCCTTTCTTGGACTATTATAATAATGTGCACGGCGTGGATTTCCGTCGCTGCGTCTTCTTATTTTTAAGGTTGAAAAGTGTGAAGAAAGTTCGAAACTTTTGAACTGCAGCAATCGGGCCGGCGCCGCCATCGCGGACCATACAGTTCGGCACGCCGAACACGGCCTTCTTCGTGAAGCCCTGAAAATGGAAGACTTCGAAAGGGTCGTTATGGAACACGCTTTTAATGAACCGGGTCAGTTCACTTTTTCTTTGAATTTTTACTTTAACAACTAAATAAATTATTGATTGAAGAGAGGAGAATTGGATAAATTATGATATCTTTGCTCAACGTTTTTTTGTCATATTAATCAAAACTTTTTTTAAAATTTCTTCTCAAGATTCGAGTATATCTGAATGATTCATCGGTTTAGTTGCAGGCGGTCTGAAGATGAGCGAGTTGATTTCTAATCACCTAATCGACCACTTCATTCCATTTCTCCCCCTGCAACGCGAACATGTTAAAAAGTGTGTTGAGGCCCATTTGGTATCGTCTGGTCACAGGAATCTCATCGACGACGTCGAACTTCTTCAATCCGTTTTGAACTCTTTACAGGTTTATTTTGATTTTTTGAATTTGTTTTAAGGCGTAGATGATTCGCGCAAAAATGTGTCGCTCAATTCCCTTTTGTGTGAGACATTTCGATCTCCATTGTCTTTCTGGTGTATAATAGTACCCAAAAAACTAAAAAATTTCTAAGTTGCGATAGCCTTTTATTCTCAAATGTACCAGTTTGAAAAATTCGTAGAAGACCATTTGAAATAATTCTATTTGAGTTTCTCAAAAACTTTATCAAAAAATGGAAATCAAGTGACACATTTTACGCGAAAAATTAAATTGGTCTGAGTTACAGTACTTCCCGGAGCACTCGAAAGCTTTTTCTTCTTCTGGATGCAAGAGAGTCGACGCGAAGACGGACCTCGAACTGAGCAGACGAAGAATAACTTCAGTCGCCAATTTACTCGATTTAGACGACGAACTTTGACATTCAACCCATATGTATAGTTTTGTTTGAGTACTGTGATTTTTAGATTTTTATCTAGTTCTTTTCGGAGATTCTCACTGAGTTTTGTTTTCTATTCGAGCATTAATTTTCATGTACTTATAAATCAGCACCGAATTTTTCAATTTTTTTTTGTACAAATCTCATGTTTTTGCTTTAATGTCCTCTCCGTTCATTAAGTATTACAAAGTTTGCTTTACAAATCTGTTCGTTATTTGCTTCTTTCATTTCCGGTGAGGTTCTTTTTTCTGTGCTCATGCGTCGTATCTTCTGCCTTATTCCTAAGTTTAGCATTTTCTTGTTTTCAAGCTTTCGTCTTGAACTTGATTCCGGCCAGCTTTTGAAAAGTGTCCCTTCTGAATTCTAGCCATGTTTACGGTTTCTTTCGATTTGTATTCTCAATTAAATTTTTCCAATAAATTATTCATTAAACGCTTTACATATGTTTTTCCATGTAATAATATCAGCGAAGTATTTTTCTCTGTCATTCAGGCGCCGCCAGTAAAAAGGCTTGCAAAATTCTACGGCTAAAATTTATTTTTGAGCTCGAAAACGGCTCAAAAAAAAAAAAATGTAAAAGCTAAAAACGCTCTATTGCCATGCGCAAGCGATATGAAGTGACCCCTTGAGTGGGTTGCCTCACTATTTCGGCAAAATTTGTTGTTTTTTCCTATCCCATTTCCGTCAACGTGAAGCGTATTGAAAAAAAAAGATTTTTCCAACTTTTTTCGTTCATGCTTTGAAAAATATGAAAAAAATTCAATCAATCAATTTTCAGGCATGCCTAGCAAAAGGGTAAAAAAGGCAAAGCAGAAGCCAAGCGATGAAATCGAATTTGAAGAAGAGGAAGTGACGATAGATGTGGACGAAGAAGATGAAGAAGGGCATTCTTTCAAAGAAGAAGAAGACGATGATGATGATGATGATCACGAACATGAGCCCCCTTCCAAAAAACGCAAGAAAGCGAAAAAAGAAGAGTTAGAAGATGTTGGTCCGAAGCTTTCTAAAGAAGAAATCCAAGAACTCATCAAAAAGTACGACGAGGTCGGTTTTGTTTTTTGTGTTTTTATAAAAAGTTTATTCAGATCAAAGCAAAGCCAACTGTTACAAAGGACGATTTCAAGCATTTGCCGAAGTCCGACCGCGGGAAAGCCTTAAAACGGGCCATCAAAAAGGTTGAGCGGATGTGGTTGAGAAAGACTTGAAAAAAAACCGCTTATTTCTTCTTAGAGAAAAAAAACTTTCGGAACTTCTATTTTCGGTAAATACTATTCAATGAATCAAGATTTGGATGATTATCAAATTGAAGAAGTGTGCTATTGACATGATTCAAATTCAATAAACGTGTAGTTGTTGGGGAGCGCCGACATCGCCAAGTTTTTTGAGTCTTGAACGGAAATTTTAAATTGAAATTCTTCAAACATCAGGATGTAAGAGAAATGAATATGATAATACCTTTCGGAGCTGAACTTTTTCCGATAAGATCGAGCTTCATCCAGCTTTTTGGTAAACTTAGGTCCTTGGGACTCACAAATATCTTTTTATTTTTTATTTTTCGTGTTTATAGGATAAACGGACGAGACAGGCCGAGAGAGCCAAACTCCGCGAGGATCTGGGAGAAGAGGCGCCGGTGAAGGAGCAGCCGAAAACGATCGAGAGCACCAGAGAGTATGACGTCACGATGGTTGCTGATGACGATGACGAGGTGACGTTACACTAAATCGGTTGCCCAACGTCTTCTATCAGGTAGAGCACGACGAGGCGAACGACGAATTTGCGCCCTACTTCAACAGGGAAACCACTCCGAAAGTCCTCATCACCATGTCTCCCAAGGCGAAAATTGTCAGTTCATCTTCTTGTTGACGCTGGAAATATATTCTTCCAGACGACGTGGAAGTTCTGTTTCGAACTGAAGAAGTGCATACCTAATGCGGAAATGTTCTCGCGAAAAAATGTTTTACTCAAGGTTTGTTTGAAAAAGAATTATTAGTTATAATTGTGTAAGAGATAAGCAGAAGCGGTAGTTTTTGTACAAAAAAATAAATCGGGGTTTTTCGAAATAATTTGAAATGAACTTTTTTTTTAGTTAGAAATGTAATCGACTAGGCGGTGAACAAGAACTTTCGAAGCTTTAACGAACAGCCCTTGGCGAACCAAAATTCTAACCTGTAGTTGATTAAGGTGAAAGAATGGTCTCCGTTGACTTGTTCTTCAGCGCTTTGTTCCTTTAGTTGTACCTAGACTAAAAAAAGTTTCGGAATAGATCTTGTTTTCGAATTATGAAGCTTCAAAGTTCGCGAAATACACAAATTATGACGAAAAAGCTCAATTTCAAGCTTTTGAAGTGGCTGAACTCGGAAACCAGATCTATTGTGAGAATTTGCTTCTTTGTTCTGAAATCAGAAGATCCTAAAGTACACTTCCGTGAAGTTTCATCAAAAGTTCAACCGGGGGCTAAAAAACGTTCTCTAGTAGAATGAGAGCGACCACTTCGAGTGAAGACTTTCCACGGAATCGAACATTTTTCGTCTTTTATCTTAGCTTCTCGACCTTGTCCCGCTCTTTTTCAAACATTTTCAACTATCAAGACGATAAGTGGAAATCCTAATATGTATAACGGTTCAGAGGATTGTGGAACAAGCCATCGAGAAGGAATACACCGACTTGATTGTGGTCCACGAAGACAAGAAGCAGCCAAGTGAGTTCCTTCCCAAAAGCTTTTTATTCGTCCATTTCAGATGGAATCGTTCTTTGTCATTTGCCCGAGGGTCCAACTGCTTATTTCAAGATCAATAGCCTCACTTTTACGGAAGATTTGAAGGTTTTTCTTTCTTTTCCGCTTCAAGTTAATCAATTTAAGTTCTCCCCGGTTTTTTTTTACACAAACTAATGGAAGCTCAATAAATTTATGAATGTTGAATGCGAAGAAAAAAAACCAAATTGGAAGTTGGTAACGCGAATCGGACGTATCAAGACATTTCTAGTGACCTCTTTGGTAGCATCAGCACTCTTACATTTCCTTAGTGATTCCTAGAATCTCTAAGGAATGTCCGGTTTTCGTTACCGTGGTGCGAGAACTTCTGTCGTTTATTGTGCTTTCTGACCGCTAGAGGAAAAACAGAGCTTTGTTTCTAGAAGTTTACTTTGGGAGAAAGAAAATGAATATTCAGCGATTCGGCGAATCGACGTCTCATTATCCGGAAGTTATCTTGAACAATTTCAACACGCGACTCGGACACAAGTTTGTTCGATTTTTTTATTGAAAAGTTCTAGAAAAGTGGAGGCTGAATTAATCCGATGCTCACACTCTGAAATTAATATATTGAAGAGCATTAATATTGTTTTTTTTCAGTTTTTAAGTTATTAGTTAGGTTAGATCATTAAAGAAAACTACTTTATTTATCTATAACTTGTTGAGAATTTTACAGATTGTCGTATGTATCTTTCTTTTGCTCGAATAACTCTTTTTGTATCCATTGAATAGAGTTATTTCTGCAATTTTTTTCTATATTGTTCCAAGCCATGAATGACATCGTCTTGAGTAAATTTTTTGCATAATTACAAAAAATTTTGCATTGATATGATTTTGAATCAGTTATCACTGAACTGTAATTCATCGAGTTTTTTGCAGTATCGCAAGAATGTTCGCATGTTTATTTCCACACGACCCGAAGTTCACCGGACGACGCGTCGTGACACTTCACAACCAACGCGACTACATTTTCTTCAGGCACCACAGGTCCGCTCCTTCAGCCAATTTATTGTTCTCATAATGCATCTATACTCAGTCCATCATACGAGTTGAGAATTCCAATTTTTTTTTCAGATATGAGTTTAAAAAAGAAGGAGAAAAAGCGGCGCTTCTGGAGCTTGGACCTCGATTCACTCTGCGACTGAAATGGCTTCAAAAGGGAACTTTCGATGCGAAATGGGGCGAATTCGAATGGGTTCTCAAGGTTTTTTTCATTTTTCAAAACTGTGACTGTGATGAAAATTCAATCTCTTTTCAGCGTCACGAAATGGAAACAAGTCGTCGTCGGTTCTTCCTCTGATTTTTTTTTGTTTTTTGTTGGATTTTGTACTTTTGTTAAGCCTCACACAATTTTTCTTCTCTCTCATCGCAAAGTCGGTTTCTTTAATAAAAGTTGTTACGTTTCCGTCTTCTCTTTTATTTTTTTTTCATTTTTCTCACCCAGCCGTCATTTCGGCCATTTATTTTTCAGTAAACAGGCTTTTCTGAGAAGAATGTGATCTCAAGTTTCATATTTTTTATAATTTTTTTGAAGGTAAGACCTGAGCGACGATGATTGGCCCGCGGCTCATTTGCGACGCTGTCCTCAAGGAGCTCGCGCCTTCGTTTTTTGATCAACGCCAGATCGACTCTTGGACCTGTCAGGTATGTATTTTTTCAGCCGGTTCTTCATCTTTTCACGATGTAGGTTCAGAAACTTCAGAAATTTTTTTACTATGTATTGTTCATTTTCCCTGTTTTTGGCCAAACGAAAAAAAATTTTTTTTAGGACTTTCACTTTTTTGTGGTCTTTTGCAGGGTCAATTTTTTGTATTGAGATAGCATTTTTTTTGCAGACATCGGTTTGCGTGGGGAGAAGACGCGGCTGGACCAAATGTTCCTGTCGGCGGCAAAATGGGCGCCTCTGAAAACCCAGAACTTCACACATACGACGGCGACTACCGCGGCTCGCCGTCGAAGGGCGACAAACTTATCCCTGAGTCAGTCGCCTTTTCGGCTTCCCCCTATTTAAATTCGAAAATCTTTGCTGTATTAGTCACTTTCCTTTTAAAAATAATTTGTTTTATTCGAAGTCGCTTATATGAAATATTAGGGCGAACAAAAATCAGTTACGCACGACATCATGCAGATTTTTGAATCAATCTCTTTTTTTTCTGGGAGGTGGCTTATTTAGGACGGTTTTTGGTCAATATTTTGAAATTCTTCTAGCTGCATTCGACTACTCTTTTTATATCAATTGATTTCTTGAGGACTTATCGAAAAGGGAAACAAAAAGATGAAGAGCGCGATATGAACAATTCATCGTCGCTGTTTTGAAAATAATTGGCTTCCGAATAGCTTCGAAAATCAAAAAATCATTCTTCACTGTATTTTCTATCAAATTCAAAAGGTTTATTTTGAAGTTACTTCTACCGTACGCCGACCGTAGGCAGGACGTACATCGACCGTTGCCTTACTTATTTCATTTCGGCCGTCGTCTGGGCCTGGTTCACTTATCACATGTACTACCACTCAGGACATCTTTTCGTTAGTATTTTTTCTGTTTTGCGAAAATCTCCTATTTCAGAAAGTTTTCTGATGATTTCTGAAGAGATAAAAAAAAACTGTTACAGGGTCATTGGTACATGCCTTACCTTAGCGAGTTCACAGACGCCGAACTAGGAATTCCGCCGTCGTCAGAAGAAGATCCAGAATACTGGGGAAACCACGGAAAACCACATGGATCCTATCGATAAATGTCAGGCAGATACTTTTGTTAGATTTTATTTCTAAACGGTTTTCTCTTCACCTTTTTTCTTTAGAGCGATAAAGATCACTTTTTAGATTCGAGACAGAACACATTTATTTATGGGGAATCAAATAAACAAAGTTCAACACGTTTATGCAAGTGAATAGGTTATTAGAGAAAAAAAAAATTAAAAAACATGCGTGGAGATTCAATTGAGACAACACAATTTACAAGCGTTTTACCAAAAGAAGCAGGCTACTAATTCATGAATCCGCGAAAGCAATCATATGATTCAAGAAAAGAAACAAAAAGGTCGCCCTAAGGAAAACGCAGCTAAAGAGCAACGAACTAACTTCGAGAGGCTCGAAAGGAACAAGAAAAAATAACTGCGAAAAAGTCATGGCCCAACGAAAGGTATTATTTATTGGAAAATGCAATAAGAACGTTCAAAGAAAAATGATCAAGAGAAAAGCTGATTGGAGTGCTGCTCAATTTTTGATGGACTCGCGATCGCCCTCGTCTGAATGAGCGAGATGGGAGCCATTCCCAGAAGTGAGCCGCGATCCTGGACGCTCCGCGGAACTCTCCGTCAATACGTTCCGCAAGTCATCTTAATTTCAAGTTCTTGGTTTACTTATCCGTTTCCGAAAATTTAAATATCACAAAGAATCATTTCAATATCTGATAACATTTTTCCCTTTTATTTTTCATATAAATATATATGAAAAGTTTAATTATCAAAATCGTAGTTGCCTAGCTTTTAAATAAAGACGTCGAGTATTTTTCAACTAGGGAAGAGAAAAAACACCAAAAGGGCTCTAACCGAAAGGTTCGAAAAATTAATTAAATAAAATATATTTTCAGCATCATTCAAATTTATTGAGAACAAAAGAAAAGAAGTTCGTACCTCGACTGATGGAGGTGTTGCTTCCGAAGCGGCGCGATTCGCGATGAATCATCGTGCGACGATTGTCGCCGGCGAGCCTCTGCTTCATGTTCTGCAAGTCGCGTGTCAGACTGTCGTTGGCGTCACTGAGGTCGTCGGCGCGACGTCGTTCCTCTTTCAGTTTGGAGTTGAGTTTATCGCGTTCGGCCTCCGCGTCTTCAAGCTGGTTGCGTTGCTGTCGCATTCGCGAACTCAGACGGTCAGACTGAAATTGTGCATTCAACTTTTATGGTCAGGTAGAAGCCTCAGACCGTCTGTCGGAACTGCTCCACCTGTCGCTTCTCGTCTTCTAGCTGCTGAGTGGCCTCGGCCAGGCGCGTTTCCAGGCGTCGAAGGGTGCGAGAAATTCGAAGCCGGTCTTGCTCTTCTGAAGTGATCTGCTGCTCCAACATAGCAATCTTCGCGTCGGCGGCAGCAAGCTGAGAACGGGAACGCGAGGTCGCATTTGCTGAAAAATAAGATCAAGAAGTTCGACAAAGCGAATATTCTACATTCAGCTTCCTGGAGTTGTTGCTTAAGTTCACGATTGGCCCGATCCAGCGAATTGCGCTCAGCTTCGTTGCGTTCACACAACGACCGTTCCATCGTCAACTCGGTTGTGAGTTGCTCCACCTACGAAAATACTTTTTTTTTTGCATTTTAAAGATGTTACTGATTATCGTAGGACATCTGATAACGCTACCTACATAAGCTTTTTTTTTTCACTTTCCACACGTCAGGTGCTGTTTAACCCAGAATTCGAGTAAACGTCTGTTGAAAAAGTTGGCGGAATTCCCGGAACTTTTTCTCATTCTGCTTCGTTTCTCGCTTTCTAAGATTATTAGCTTTTTTAGTTATGAGTTCTAGTTTTTGTGTCAATATTCATCAAGAACAAAAATGATCTTTGGAGCAAAAAGTTGCGAACGACATGAAGTCTTTCTGGAGAGATGTACCTGAACTTGGGCCTTCTTCAGTTTTTCTTGTGCCAAATCGTTGGCCGATGATTCTTCTTCTAATTGGTCTTCTAAGTCGGCGACCCGAGCCTCCAATCTGTACAATGATCAATTCCTCTCGAAAAGGCTCGTTTTGTGAAAACCGTCGCTTCTCTTCAGTTCCCAGTCCGGCTTGCTTCAGAGCAGCAATCTCGTCGACACATTCGTCTCGCTCAGCCTCGACCTTTCTCTTCGCGGAAAGCGCCGTCGACAGTTCCGAAGACAGACGTTTTACCTCGTCCTCCATCTTTCGTGCTCTGAGAATCGAACTTACTTCTTGAACCGTTCTGGAACCCACCGTTTGTCAGCCTCTCTGGACTGAATCAGCGCTTCGTCCATGGCAGCACGAGCCTCCGTCGCTTCCACCTGAAACTGAGGAGTTGAAGACGGCACGAAATTTGTGACGGGCCTGAATTTCCTTGGAGTTCTGCTGGGCTTTACGCAGCTGCCGGCTGAGATCTTCAATCTGCCTCTGGAAACTTTCTTGCTGCTCCGTCAGGCTCGCAATTTGAGCTTTCATCTGCTTTTTGGCCGAGAGGGCCTGTGTCTTCTGACGACGCTCCGCCTCGAGCTCCTCTGTGAGGTTGCGGTTCTGAGTGATCAACGCCTTCTTGCGATCCTCCTCATCCTGCTCCCGTGCGGCTAGTTGACGTTCGAACTCTTGTCGGTTCGCCTGCTGGTTGACTTCCATTCGGCTGCGAGCATCTTCAGCGAGCTGGACGGCATCTTCCAACTCAATGATCTGAAAAGAAAAAGATAGTTTGAAAATGAGCACTGGATGACCTGTTGCTCTGCCTTCGAAAGTTCGTCTTCGAGCCTTCTTTTCGCTTTTTCCAACTCGAAAACGCTTTTCCCGGCATCATCTTTTGTCGATGCCTGAAGAGTCCCAATTTCACGCAGATGAGCGCTTCAACCGACCAAATTATCAACTTCGAGTCTCAGATTCCTCCGTTCTTTTTCAAGCTGCTCTATCGCGTCTTTCAGTTCAGAGATTTCGTTAGTGAGCACCAGCTGACGGGTTTCCGACTCACGAAGCTGGAATAAGGTTACTGGATAGCAAGTTATTTTCGTGATACATTAACAAAAAGCTGCTTTTTACGAACAACAAAATCTTTTCACAAAATTCATCACTTCGACGAAAAAAACCTATATTTCAAAAACATTCTGAACTTTTTTCTCTCTTCCCAAGTGTGCATCAACGCGACTTCTAATCATCCCCACGAAAAGCTTACAATATCTCAAACACTTCTGTTCAAGATAGAAACTGAGTTTAAAATGATTGATTTCGACTATTCTCGGAAAATAAGTTGAAAGGAACCATTTGTTGAGCGCTGTCGCGTTCTTGCTGAGCCAGCAAGACGTTGCTCCGTTCGTCAGCGAGCTGCTGGTCGAACTTTCTCTGACGCCGCTCCATGTCCCGCGTTGCAGCAGACAAGTCGGCGAGTTCTCGCTGTGCGTCTTCGGCCTCTTGCTGAGCCTTTCTTTTGGCCCTTTCGGCCTTGTCTCTGACGGCTTCTGCCTCGTCGGCCCGTTCCTTCTCAGCTGCGACCTCGCGGTCCTTCTTCCGGCGGACCTGAATCATTTGAGATCACTTCTATTTCCAACTTTCAATTGTGATATACAAAAAACTTAGCGCTTGGATGTTAGGACACCGTGAGATAACTTAAGAGATCAAATTGTCTATTTCGATTTTTAACTGAAACTCCCGGCATGAAAGCTTTTCACATCAAAAAATGAAAAAAAAAGAAAGCGTTCGTTTTTTTTGCCAATCTGATTCATGCACACGGGATCAGGGAATTGCAATCACAAAGTATCAAGCTGAGAAATGAACGGCACTTCAACTCGCATTTAGTGACGCTAAAGCTATTCTTTTTTTTGACCTCTTCAATTTTTTCGTTCAGCTCCTCGTCGAGCTTCTTGCGTCCTTCGGCCAGCTGCTGCCTCGCCACGGATAGTTCCTTGCCAATTTTCTCAGAGGCCCCCACGGCTTCTTCTTTTTGCTCGACTGCCGTCGAAAGTTCTTCTTCAAGCTGGCGGATTCGAGCGTGCAGATTTGCTCGGTTGCGGCGATCTTCCTCGCTAGCCTGAAAATTGAACTCAAAAGTTTCAGAGAATTCTAGAAAACAACTTCATTTGAGAAAATTACCTCCGTGAGTTCTGTGAGTTGCATGTCGAGGGAGGCGATTTTCTTTAGAAGGTTTGCGTTGGTCGTCGACTCAGTATCCTTGGCTTTGCTCAGCGCTTCCAATTCGTTCAAAGCCTGAGAAAACAAGTATAAAACTGGAATAAATCAAGGGCAATGCCTTGTTGAGCTTGATGGTGGCCTCTTCGAAGCTCGCCTGAACCTCCCGAACTCGCTGATCTTTCTCAACAAGAAGATTCTCAGCGTTTTTGCGTCTTTTCTCGGCCTCGCCACGCGAAACTTGCAAGTTCGAAAGCTCGGCGTTGAGATTATCGTTTTCGGCTTGCAAAGTCGCTCTTGATTTCTCAAAACCCAGCTTTTGGCGCTTTAATTGATCGAGTTGTTCAGTCAGATCTTCAATCTTTTTGTGGTACTGGGCTTTCAGAGTTTCAGCTTTTTCTTCGTTGCCGCGTTGGAGTTCTTCGAGTTGTTTCTGAAAAAAAAAAAGAAAAGGAAAAAGCAAAAAGTTAAAACCTGCGTTTCACAATAAGAATTACAAATACTCATCCTAATTCTTTTTTATAACCGGCTTTAAGAAAAAAAAATTTCAACTTAAAAAACTTACTACTTCGTGCTCGTATGTAAATGAAAGGCACGAAATATAGTTCCCAAATTGGGGGAAACATTTTTTTCATTCGTTTTTCTCTCTTTTCGAAAATCCTCAGCTCCGACCCACCTGGAGATGAGTGTATTCCTCGTCGCGCTTGGCCCGCATCTGCGAGTTGAGGGCGCTTTTGTCGTTGGATTCCTCGAGCTCCTGCTTGTAGCTCTCGAGTTCTTCCGCCATGTCGCGTCTCAACTTCTCGGCCTTCGTCCTGGCGCTCTTCTCCTTGTTCAGTTCATCGGCGGCATCCTCCAAAGAAGCCTTGAAGTCGCGATTTTCCCTCTCGAGGTTCTGTCGCGTCGCCATTTCTTCGTCGATTCTTCAAGCGTATCTCATTTGCCATAGAAAACAGAACAGCTGCACAAAGTTTTGGGAGTATGTAAATTTAAACAAAAAATTAGGGTATTTCAAATAAATTTCGGAAAACCGAATAAATCCCTCACACACGAGCTCCTACGGAAAAAACTTTTGCAATTCTTAGAGAAAAAGTGAAGTTCATATCTCATTTTACTGAATTTCATCTTTTCCAAAGCTTTGTAAAAGTTCAAGTTTACGAATAATAGCACATCGTACTTTAAGTTGAGATGAGCGATTTCGGCGTCTTTTCGAGCGAGAAGAGACGAAATCTCTTCGATCTTTTTTATGTTTTCTACCGTCGCTTCCTGTTCTTCTCGGAGTTGCGACTCGGCGGTTCTTCTGTTCGATTCCAGGGCTGATCTCTGTTGCTTTTCCCTGTAATCAAATTTGAACGGAGTTATGACTTTCGGTTGTAAAAAAACATGAAAACAGTTTTAATTTTTTTAAAAAAACCGGCCCCCCTTTAATTTTTTTCGTTTTGTGAAAAGTTTCAAGCTTGTTGAGTTGCTGAAAATCCACAAGCCTTCATTAATTAAAGAAATAAAAAGAATTTTTAATCGTTTCTAGAGCAGAAAACTTTTCAAATAGCAATTTTATATAATAGATAATGTTTTTTTCTTTCCTAATTTTTCTGAGAAAAGAAGCAAACTTTTCAAGTTCATCGTTGAGTTCAGAAATGGTGGCTTCCAGACGAGCTTTCGCCTTGGAAAGCTGCTTGGCGCGTTCTTCTTCGTCAATTACTTTGGACGCCAGATTCTGACAACGTTCTTCCAAAGCTTTCTTCTCTTTGACCAGCTGCGAAACTGTTTTTAGAGAGAAAAAAAGACTGTAAACCTTGTTTCCATTATCCTGGAGTTCGGCTCCTTGAGACTCAATTTGCTTCAGTTTCATGTCGATGTTCGTCTTTTCAAGAAGAAGTTTCTGTCTGGACCTCTCTTCGTCTTCCAGGTTCTCTTCCAAGTGACGGACAGTATCCTAAAGTGAGAATGCAGTCCACGCGAAATAATTCTTTAAAAAAAACATATTTAGAACTGAATCTTTCCTCTCTCAAATGTCGTTCATTGAACCTTAGGGGAAAGGAAAAAAAAAACTGATTTTCAAACGCTGATCTTCTACATTTTCACATTACACATCAAATCCTCGGTACTGTATAAATATTCTGTTTTTTCATAATAACGCATAATTTCAACTTATCCGGAAAGTGTCTTACGGATTGCTAAACCACAGTCAGACTATGGCCTCACTCAAATCAAAAAACGGGTTTAATTTAAAGAGGGTCAATCAGATACCATGAGTTTTCGGCGATCGTCTTCGATGGACTTGACCCTCGTCTCTTCTTGTTGCAGTTGTCTCGACAGTTGCTCGACCAGACTCTCCAGTTCAGCCTGAGCAATTTCTCATCTCGAGTCAAGTGAAGGAAAATGAGACTTTTCTTGTGACGATGCGGGTCCGTTCCTCGTCGAGCTCAGCCCTTTCCATCACTTCAACGTCGAGCCTCTCCTTCAGTTTCGTTCTTTCTTCATCAATCTCAAAGAGAAGGGTCATCTGCGAGCACTTTCTCCTGACTACAAACTTTTTCCATCTGTTGCTGAACATCGGCGATGTAGATTTCGCTGCGTCGCAAACGTTCCGTAGTGGCCTTGAGTTCTATCTCCTTCTCCGCGATGACTTCATCCTTGTTGGTCACTTCGAGCAGAGGCTTCACCTACAAAGAATCCGGTGAATATGAGCTGGATGGGAGGGAAAGGCCTTGGTGAGGAGTCGCCACCACTGCCACTCGCGAAGCCGCATCCAGGCCTTTCCGTTTCTCTGAATGATTCGGATGGCCGTCTGTTGGTCTCGCAGACGTGCCACGTATCGTCGAGCGAGGTATCCACGGCAGTGGGCCTCAAAACCATAATTATTACTCATAATAGATGGTAAAGACTGCCCAAAAGCAAACCCATTCTTTGAAAAACCAAGAGAAGAAGGAATTTTTTGTTTTTCAACATTTTTCAACTCACAATTTTTTGAATATTCAAACGATGATGAAAACGTACGGAAAAAAACGTTTTTCTCAAAATAAATTTTACAGCAGTTATTATACCATTTTTCACCATTTCTGCCCACCTGGAAGGTCTCGATGAGAGCAGCAAGCTTCGAGTCGCGGAGTTCTTCGAGTTCGGCGACGACACCGGCACGGAAGAAGACCTTTGACTGGCCGATTCGGTAGAGGTTGGCGTCGATTTCCTGTGAAACGATGATGCGTCGGACGGCTTCTTTGCCGTCCATGAAGCCTGGCGGAATGGCGTCCGGCGCCAGCAACTTCTCATAACGCTGACGGAACTCCTGCCAACATTCTTTGATCAAAAAAGGAAACAAGATAGGAAATCAACCTGGAATGGAAGTCTTGTCGGGAATCCTTGGCGGCAAATGCGAATTCCTTCCAAAACTCCGTTGCAGCGGAGTTGATCCAGAACAAGATGAGCGTTCAAAGATCCGTGCTGAGAATGGTATAGAGGATGGTTCCAAAGACTGTTTCCGAACCCGTTTCTCGTGGTTAGGGATGATGCAGCGGACAAAGTGGGGATTCGTGTTGGCGAGTGTGCTCATCAGTCGCGAGAGCTGGTCTTTGTAGAGCTGCGACACAGTTCGGAACATTCCTTTCTTCTGGACTCGCGCTCCGAAAATCCCATTGTCGCTGTTCTCCGTAGCACTCAAGCTGCACACGTCAGATACTGAAAAAGTCAGAATCTTAGGATCAAACTGAGCGCTTCACTTTAGAGGACTTAACTATGGAGGTGGAAAGCGGAAAGAGTGTTGGTAATCGAATTCACTAGTGGTTTATTGAAATTGGATTTTTTTGATAGACTTTGGACAGATTAAACAAAGAAATACATCAAAATTATCGATTAATTGAGGAGTAAACTCGATTTTTTTTTTATTCTACAGTATAAGTTTCCTCATTTTAAATTCATTGATTTTTGAAAGATCTTAAAAGTAACACAGTTTTTCTCATGTTACTTTCGCGCACTCAGAACCCACCGTCCTTCCACATTTCAGAAAGGATCGACTCCTTGGAAGCGCGGAAGACGTCGATGACGTTCTCGTTGAGCGGATCCATGTTCTTCACCCGCCAGCCTTTCGCCTCGTAATCGACTCGGCCCGCGTAGTGCACAACCGCAAAGTCGCTCCTGCTTGAAAACCATTAGAAAAAATAATTAAAACCAAATCCAAACAGTTTTCTATTCACCTAATTCTTATAAATCTGCAAAAAAAAAAATCAAACAAGCTTTAGTCAAGTGCAGATCAGTTTCTGGCTGTTTTCCAACACCTCTTTTTTTCTTAGAATAAAAGCTGCAGCCACAAGAAAGATTAATTTTTCAACATTATCTATAAAACCAGATTGATTTTAAAATAAAATACAGTATAAAATGATACTAATATGATTTTATAACCTGACGAAATAAAATTTTTTGGATTTCTTCAACAATCAACGTGTTCATTGTCAATACTGCACAAAAAAAGGAATAAATCGCCCAAATTTTTCGAAAAATAATAACTAAAAAAAATGTTTCACTCTTTTGACAATACAGACCCCAAATCTTAATGGAGAACGAAAACTCTGATCTGGTAAAATGAAAAAAAAATTTTTTTTCTCAACAATGCAATACAAACTTGGCCCTCATCTCAGGAACCACGTATTTGGGATGTTGGTGGTGACTGGAAGTGAGTCTCTCGACGAAACTCGTGTCGCTGCCTTGAGGGAACAGACAGACGTCGTCCAGAGTCGAGAAGATTCCCATTGGCTGCAGAAAGAGCTCTTTTATTTAACATCGAAATGAAGCGCAAATAATTTGGAACGTATCTATGGTCAAAGTGAGAATGGTAACAAGATTAGAAGTTGAATTCCCGAAAGGGCACCTTTTCGATGAGGTCGATAGTGGGCTGGAGGTTGAGACCGAAATCGAGGAATTTCCACTCGATGCCCTCGTCGAGGTACTCCTGCTGTTCGCGGATGAACATCGTGTTGTTGAAGAGCTGTTGCAGCTTCTCGTTCGTGTAGTTGATGCACATCTGCTCGAAAGAGTTCACCTCGAAGATTTCGAACCTGAAAAAGGATCCTCCGTCTGCTCAGTTCTGAAGGTCGTACCCTGCAATGTCCAGGATGCCGATGAAGCTGACGGCAAGCTGTCGAGTTCGATCCAGGGAGCGGTTCAGACGTTGTACCAACCAGCTGAAACCAAAGAGAATGAAGATCGACAGAAGTAGAGATTTTCGTTAGAAAAAAAAAGAACAATATCCAGATTATGGACGTTTAAGAAGGAAAATTTGAAGCGAACCGGAAAAGTCGCTCATAGCAGGCCTTGGCAATAGCTCCAACGGAAAACTTGACTTGGTCAACGCTTTGTGCACGATGAACCAAGTCACGTTGAACCTGCAAAAACCTCACATATTAATGAAGACATACTCCTGAGAGCCGGAGCCACAAAATATTAATGAGAAAAAAATAAAACGAAGAATTTATTTGAGAATCATTATGCACATTTGGATTATTCTTTTTTTTCTCTGTTAACCAAAAAAACGAGTCACTAATATCAGTTTTCCCACTTTTCCAACTGATAAAAGTCTATCAGAACTATACAGAGTTGAGAGAAAAAGTGAGAGGATTTATTATTTTTCTGCCTGAAGGAAAAAAAAAAACGAATTAAAAAAAAACTTCAATGTAACCTTGATTTTGGGCTTAAGGAAAGCACGCATGAGGTCTGTGACGTTGAGTCCGAGCAAAATGCTGATTTTCTGGGCGACGGCGTCATTGGTGAGCACCGCCTGGTCGCTGTTCTTGCCTTCCTGGGCAAACTCCAAGTTGCCGAAGAGCATGACCGCGGAAACGACGCGCATCGCAGCTCAAACAACAGATCCACACGTCAAACTCGGAATTTAAACTCAGAATTTCTCTAAAATTCGATGCGTCGTCCGGTAACCGAGCTAACGATCACTCTTCATTTTTTATTTGTAAAACACATTTTTACCAAGATTATACTTCATGTACACATAATTCCTTCTTGATAGCTATCTCAGAACCAAAATCCAAATTTTGCAAACTTTTCTCTTTGCTTCTCTTTCAAAAATGAACTTTTTTAAAGCTAGAAGAACAGACTTGATCTACCGGACAATCTTACCATGTATTTCGGCGTCGGAGATGCCCATTATGCTCATCGCCTTCATCGTCTCGCGCAACTCCTGGACGTCGTCGATTCCCGGTAAAGTAAGAGCTCCGTTCGTCATGAACTTGTAGCCAGCAGCCGAGTCTTCCAGGAGAAGAGCTTCTTTAGCAAAGTTTTTTTTTTTTTGCGAACCATTGGTCTAGTGAGCAAAACCTCGCTGAGAAGTAGGAATGCCTTTGAGGAGTTGGTAGAAAATGTGGAAAGAACGTTCGTTGACTGCCTGTCGCAGAACGCGCGACTTTTCCAACAAGTAGAACTCGATGTTGGCGCCAGAAATGCAGCCGGTGACGTCGAAGTGCACGCGGATGAACTTTCCCTGAAGGAAATCGCTTAGAATACATAAAAATAAAAGTAAAGGTCAAATTTTGTTTTTAACAGACAACAAAAAACATAAAAACACTGGGCTTTTAGCTTCACATGTTCCCCTCGACTGATGCACCGCAATTTGGGCTAGCCACACAAATGGAGCACCAAAATAACTCAAAGTTTGGATATAACTTGATAGTTCAAATAAAGAACGAAATATGATTGATTTGGGAGTAAACTCACAAAACGACTCGAGTTATCGTTTTTGACCGTTTTGCTGTTGCCGAAAGCTTCAAGGATAGGATTGGCCTGTAGAAGCTGTTCCTCCAAGTGTCCCTGGCAAGAAAAAAAAAGTGCCGCTTCAAGTTCGGACATCTGCAAACCATGATGCGGCTCTGCGAAGAATCGAGGTCGACGGAGGGTTTGCGGCGTTGCAAGCTGCCACGGTTGCCAGCCACGTGAGCCAAGTACTGGATCACCTTCTTCGTATTTTCCGTTTTACCTGCGCCGGACTCGCCGCTGGAAAGTTATTTTACAGAGCAAGAGCCTAATTGTGGCCTACGTGCAAAGAATCGACTGATCTTCCCGTTCCTGCAACATGTTGCGATATGCCTCGTCGGCAACCGCAAAAATGTGAGGCGGCATCTCCTTGCGCTTCTTACACTGCAAAAACTCTCATTGGGCATTTCCAATATAGGTGATCTTCTCGCTAAAAACTGTGGGCAAGAGCAAAACTGAGAAACCCACCTTAAACATAAACCCGAGTAAATTTCAATTTTTGAGTCGTAATAGAAAGCATAAAGAAAGGAATTTTTGACAGACAAGTATCTTTATACTGTTTCTTACTTCTAATAATCTCCCCTCAATCCTGGTCGCATGAAAACCAAAGAGTAGAAATATTTAAACTGGCTTTTTGAACTAAGTCAAGCAATGATCATGAGAGAGATAAGATGAGAGGAACCTTAAATTGTTCGGCGATGGAGTCAGTATAAATAGGCAGGCGTTTGTACGGATTGATCACGACACAAAACAAGCCGGAGTAAGTCTGAAACATTCCTTCAGACTTTTTGAAAAGAGAAATATTACAAACGTAATAGAGATTGGAGAAATAACGCTGGCGGAGGTTGTTGAGGACCGAAGCCTCGTTGAGACACGTCAACATGGACATGTCCTCGCACTTTTCGTATTTGGGCGGATTCGGCTTCTGGCAGTCGTCCGCTGAGACGCGCTGTCGCTCGCCAGTTTCCTGCAGCTCCACGTCGAAAGTTCCTGAAAGTGAAAACTTCTAGGATCTCCATGCTGTTCAACGACTTGAATTTATTCATCTCAGATCAAATGGTTGCATTTTCAACCTTAATTGCCCTGACTCTTTCGTCATAACTTACAAAATTCATCAAGGCCTTGAAGAAAGAAGTGCACTTTTCACAAAAAAAACCCCCGATTCACTTTGAAATTTCAAAACACCGTCATAAGCTTATGGGTCTCATCAAAATTTTTGAAAACAAAACTCAAATGAGCCAATAAAATCGGAAAGAAAATAAATGATTGACCATATTTAGGAACGTACCGTCAGAATGCTGATCGCCGACGACGGCGGCTAAAGCAAAACCATCTTTTTCGCTGGGAATCCAGACAAGACGCTTGCGAGCCCAATCTGCATGTAGACTCGGGTTGTGGTAGTCGGTACGAGCCTGGAAAAGCAATCAGAAAAATGCTAAATTTTTGTAGACAAACTCGGAGAAGATCGATTTCCTCGTTTCTCGAAGCCATTTTCGAAGAATCCCCACTGACTGAGCCTTACGTCACTATGTACAACAACGCTGAAAGCAGGAAATGTTTTTCCTAGGCGACTTCGTACACGCGATTTTTTCTGTAATTGAAAACTTTTCATATTTTTTTCAGTAAGCGTGAGAAAATTTCCATCACTATATTTTCAAGAGTTTGATTGGGCTCTGTGATTTGTTTTCAATCTGAAATTTTCTGTTAAAAGTGAAAAAAATTTATTTTGAAAATTTGGATAACTTTCCGAAGTTCAAAATTAACGCCACTCTGATGTGGAGCGCCAAATTGGCGCCACAACTCTTTCTCTGACACACACTATTTCGTCGTTTTCTAGCTGCGAGATAACGACGAAATAGTTTATGTCAGTGAAAGAGTTTTGGCGCCCATTTGGCGCTCCAATTCAGAGCAGAAAGTGACAAAAACAACAAATACATTTAATAAATAATTAATTTCAAATTTTGCGAAATTACTTTAGCATATATTCATTATCCGCAAAGCTTATTTTTGGCATAAAATTAGAGCTCAAACTGAGAAAAATCTACGAACAAAAGTGTCTTATTTGAAAAATAATGAAAAGGCAACTCAAAAAAAAGGTATACTCGAAAAACTTTTCCATGAGGTTTGAAGCAATGAATAGAGCATTTTTGAAATGCAAAATGAAGATGAATCGACTTTGTAAACGAAAAAAATAGCAAAAGAAGATAAAAATGAGTCAGTTCGAATGAAATTCTTTTTGGCGCCAAATTTCAAACCGAGCCCGCGGCAGTTGGGTCAAATCATCCTTGCGAAAGACTATTCAAAGGCGGAGACCAGAGAAAATGAACGGCACGCAATTTCACATTGAAAAATAACTTATATAGAAGGAAATTTACCCAACTTTCTTGAATTTGTTGAATAAGAAAAAAACACATTAAACAGAAGTTCAGTTATTTAAGAAATAATTAAACACATAGATGTTTTTTAAGTCAAAAATAATCAAATGAATTATCAAAATCGTTCTTAAAAATTCGAAAAACCCTTATGCAGGAAAAGTCAAACCCATATCGTCAATTCTACTTTAAAAAAAAACGTGTTTGTGAGCCTAATTCTGTGACAAGAAAAAAAGAAAAGTATTAACAGTAAACAAAACTTGGACCTGAATAAGAAAAAAAAAATCTTCTTGATGAGATTGGAGACTCTTCTCTAATCAAGACTCCAATTGAGATACCTCTACAAGGCGTGGAAATAAATTTTGACGATGGATTTTCTCTTTTCTTTTGTTCCAAAGAACACGAGCCGTGCAGGTCTCGAATGGTTTTCAGAAGAACTCTTCGCCTCGAAGTTTCAAAAAACTCAACCATTCTCGCTTTTTAAAAATTAAATTTAGAAACAGCAAAGAAAATCCCTATACATAACTTTGAAGTTGAGATTCGCATTTTGAAACACAACGTTGACGCACGAAAATCCTACAAGTCCCCAAATTTCGCAGCTGTCGAGATGGCAGTGCCGGCACTTTGAAGGATCCAAAAAATGGTTGCAGCTGCAAGGGCAGTTCTTTTTTGCAAGTCAAACAAACTATTTGAAATTCTGTTGAAGTTTCAGATAAAAACTCAATTATTTTTAATTTTCGATCATTTATCGTCTATCCAGGTAGTCTATTCGCTGAAAAATGCCTTTTTTGTATCATCCGGTACAAGTTAATAAGCTCTAAATTTATTAAAGTCGGTTTTCCATGTATTGCACGAAAGATAATGGATCATCAAATCGAAAATTTAAAATGTAACAAAATAATTATTGATTCAGTATCCAAGTTCAGGAGGCGTATCTCGAGCATCGTAAAATCTTGACTTGTGATAATCCAGTACCTGAAAATTATTATTTAATTTGTTCCGTTTAAATTTATATTACCAATTTTTCTTTGCGCAACAACTCTCCATTTAAAGAACCATTGTTCTTTTGAATTCGCCATATAAAACGGTTAATGGGGTGTCCTTCTCCTTTCCACAATCTGTAACAGAAATAATCCAAACACACGCCTGTTTAAGGTGGCCGGTCGTATTACGGTAGTTTGGATAGGTTTTTCAATAATAAAATGATATCTTGTGTACTTTTTGTGACGTAACTAACCTTGTAACCTTGAGAAATAGGTCCCTTACCAATTGCAAAAAAGAAAGAAAAATTAAAAAAATTTCCTGGCTCCGAAACTGACTGCGCAATATTGACCGGCCACCGGCCGCCGTAGTACTATCTCAAACATGCGTGAACAGTGAAACTTTTTAAGAATGCGTTAGAGTGCTACTCTATAAAACAATTTAATAAAAATTACCTGACAGCACCGTTGTAAATAATCAAATACAATAATGTTGAAGTAACAATCGCCGGGATTGTCCGTGTTGCTGGAAGACGCAGTATCTGTTGTAATCTATAGGTTTTAAATTTTACAAAAAATGCAATAAAGTATAACCTCAATTTCCAGCTTGAAGTGCCTGTGATGTTCAGCTTAATTCTTTCGCGCTCTTCCATAACCGTACCTAATAAAAAAAGTTTCACAAATTGAACAGAGGTGGGCTTATTCGGAAACGTTTGGTTTTATTTTTTTATGAACTTTTTTTCCGAGTTCAAAGTATTTTTCTGCAAAATACTCAATGACTTCTGACTCTCCCAAATTTGGTTTTTTTCACTTTCTGACGGCAGTTATGAGCTTCGCGAAATCATTATCCACGCAGCATCACAAAGGAAAGTCAAATGAAAAAAATTTTTTGAACTAAATTTAGAAGTAAAAAAAGAATGACGTTCTATGGTGCTCCACTGAGAATTGGTAAACTCGGTCATCATTCGATTTGCGTTCTGCGACCGCCTATTAAATAAATTTTTCCGGGATCCGCTGTGAAAATTTTTCATGTTCTTGTAAAATTTCTCCGACTTGAGACGCCTATAAAGTTTTCCACGGGCTATTAGTTGCTTTTTTCAAACGCGTTTTGTTCAATTTTCGGCGAAAAATTGAAATCACGCGTCACTTGGAAAAGATTTTATGTTTAACACTTAATTCCTTCTTCATTTTTTAACACTGAAGTCCTTCTTTATTTTCTCTAATCAGTTTTCCATTGTCATTTATTTTTGGACTTTTCACAATGACTTCACATCGATTGGAAGTAATTTCGTGAATGGTTGCGATTCTATAAATCGGTCATACTTTGACACTTCGAAATTTCGAACTTTCTTTTAGCGATCATTGAAATGACCAATCCGATCACCTTTCCTTTTAGAGAACCTTATTACACGTTTTTTGATGACCGCATCTCTGAAGTTATTTTTCAATCCGAATTGTTTCCCTCGACAATAGTCAAAAAAAGAATTTATTTTTATAAAAAATCCGAATTTCTCCCGTTTTTCGCTTCTAATTGCCCGCTACTGCGCGTGAAGGCTAGAGCTGATTCGTATGTTGGTAGCTGAGGTGCTTCTCTTTTATTCCGTGCGTTCCTCCAGAGTATTGCGCTGAGAAGTAGCAAGGAGTTTATTAATAACGTGGCTCCCGTTACGAGCCATACGTAGAAGAATTCAATCTGAGTTAGAATCATTTATGCGTTTATTTGGGGAAAATTTTTTACCCGATTGCCGTCGGAGAGGCAGCTTGGCTCAAAATCTGCAGTCAGTGATATTAGCATCGTTATCAACATGGTCAATGTGAATAAGAATGTCATCACGGTGAATCTAAATTTATTGCTTTCTTCTTTGAAAAATTGCGCAGGGTTTCAATTCTCACGCTATTAGGGCTTTAGAATGTACGGATGTTGTTGAAGTAAAGAAAAAAACGCTTCCTGCGAGTATTGCTATAACTCCGTAAAAAAATGCTGCCGTGACTGTAATTAGATAAATCATAGTTTTTTTTTGAAACTGGTGAACGGCTTTACCTGCGATATAAGTTATTGAAGTTCCACTGGATCCGCAATTATTTATGTGCGAGAACCAGTTCAACGAGTAGAAGACGAAAGCAACCGAAGTTATGATTGAGTTGAAAATGAAAACGATGTAAATTAGCCGAACTCTGGAGGCAGCTTCCTCTGTCGTTTTTTTTCGCGTTGACATTCCGATCATTCCTGCAAAAAAAAGAAGTGAAAAATTTCTGGAAATTTTTTTCTCACCAGCTGTGTCTTTCGCTTTATATGAGTTTCGCTTATCAGGATTTCAAAATACGTGTTCCATACGCAAATATTTTATCAGGTGTCGCCACAGATCGCACTTTGCCCCTTCTAGCTTTGTTCGGTGCAAAATTCATTTCCTCAGAAAAAAATAGGAACTGAATAATAGCGTAGGCTAGTATCATTATATTGTTTCATAACGATTTGTACTATAGTTTGATGATAGTGAATAATTCACATGCAATTCTATAGGTATTGTTTTTTTTTTTCATACTATGGCTTTGCGGGATGAAATGAAATGTACCTGATGAAATGAAGTGTAATTGCGTCATACATCAATTTTCTTTCAGGCGCAACTAAAATGGACGACGCAACTTCGTCGGAGGAACATTCCCACTCGGAAAAGTTACCCGTTCGTGATATTTTTCAGTATCTTATGAAACAAAAACTTTTCAAGGAATCCGAATCTTCAGCATCAGAATCGACACATAAACCTACTGATAGAAAGTCTGTGGAAAACCCAGCAACGTCGGATTTTGTAGCGATAGTCGACAGTTCAGGTTTGATAGTGCCTTTTCAGCAATGATCAAAAGGCTTCTTTCATCTTTGAAAAATATTTCGAGTTCGTCGAAAACTTGAGTTCAATCAGGAGAAAATTCACATTTTTATTCGAAACTTTTTTTTTCCATATTTTTCTACGTTGTAGATTCAAGAATTTTTTAGATCAATAAGAAAAAAAGTGTTTTTGCAGCTTCCATTTTTTTCCCTTAGTCACCTTGAACCAGAATGATCGAAAATACTATCTTTATGTTGATAACGATGTTTTGCCTTTAATCGTTCTTTGCGCGGCGTTGGTCGCGCTACACATTATCATGGAGGCTATTTGATCCTGATAAAACAAAAAAAAAATTTGGAACTTATGATTCAGGAGAAATGATGGAGCTTCCGACGGCCAAAAATGTACTATTCATGACGACTTTGCAAGCTTCCTTTCCCGGAGCAACTGGCCTGAAGTACAAAAACCCGAAAACAGGTGCAAGCCGCGCGGTTCAGTCAGTTGTACCTTGCTCTACACTCCGCAGATGATCTTTTCAGAGTCGATCCATCCGGTTCTAAACTTTTACCACCTACAGACGGCTGGGATGGGAAAATTTTCAATGCCATCGTTCCACGTAAGATTTAAGAGCTTTTAATTTTTTTTTGTAACGAAGAAGCTGGAAAGTCTACGAAAGAGAGAAAGGGAAGAGAGAATAGAGAGAAAGGGTGTTTTGATGGAAAGTTTGTGCCGCTGCATCTGAAGACAATATTTTTTTCAAAAGTGTGTGAGTGAAATTTTGAGCCTTATGTAATGAGAAAAAGTGATATATGTGTGCAAATTTTTGAGATTATAGGATTTTTTCATTCTTTGTGTACCAAAATGACTAGCAGAAGTCACGTCTGTATCTACGAAGAGTTCAGAAATTGATTTGTTCTGCTTTTATTTTTTTATAACTCGTTCGATGTTAACTCAAAGTAGCCCGACTACCAGAGATGATGAAAAGAGCTGAAGAAAAGTGTGAGAGAGTGCGTTGGTGCAGGAGTGGACGTGAGCGCGAAAAGACGTAAAGTGGATTCTGACAACAACGAGTCGGACTCCGAGGGAGAGAACGGCGGACGTTCGGGCCGCAAGAGAGCGGTTCAGTTGAAGCTGGAGCCTGAGGCCAGGCGACCAACGGATCTCATCGTTCTGGGTATCCCCTACAAGACCACAGACGACACCTTCAAGCAGTACTTCGAGTCGTTCGGCAACGTCATTTTCGCCGAGGTCGGCCGTTATCAATGCTTGTTTTCAAACTTAGGTTTTTTGAACTTTGTGAACATGCAAAGTTTTTTTTTGTGGAATTTGCATTTTCAACGAGCTTCTGAAAACGCCGTGATCCTTATCTGATATATTTTTTTTCCTCTCTGGTTTTTTAAATCTGAAGTGATGAAATAATGACCAGGCTTATCAAAAATAGAAAAAAGTGTGATAAGAGAGAATCACCCAGAACTTTGCCCCATTTTCTTGCAGACAATCACGTAAATCAGTCATAAAAGTGTGATAAGAGAGTTTGCCTTGAACTTATTGTTTTGATTATGATTATCAAGATTTGTTGCGAAAACCTCTTTCGCTGAAAGATTAGTCATGTCAAACATTTTTCGATTGACATTCTCACTATAGCTTAATGTTTTGAGCAATGAAAATTGAGGAGCGATTGAGAAGTGTGAGCAGTTTGAGGGAGAGAAGAGATCACAAAATGTATTGTGCTACAAACTTTCCTTGTTACAAACGTGATAATCTTCAATAATAGGTAAAGAGAAATTCGGATGGATCTTCGAAAGGCTTCGGTTTTGTGCGCATGTCTACCATAGAAGAGCAGGACAGGGTTCTTATAAATCCACAGCATACACTTGACGGCAGGAGATGCGACGTCCGTATCCCAGATCAAAGAGTACCTATTGAGCAGCTTCCCGTCAAAGTTATGTCTTTAGCAATTTCAATTCGAGCCGACGCAACACAAAGGACCGCGAACTCCGATTTCGAAGCTTTTCGTGGGAAAGCTCTCGGCTTCTATCAACGAAAGCAAGCTTACATCCTTCTTCACGTCAGAAGCGAAGCGTCTCAACGATCAGGCCAATGTCATGGACGTCTACATTCCGAAGCCGTTCCGCAGCTTCGCATTTGTAACTTTCAACATTCCAGATGTTGCGGACCGTCTTTCCAAGTTTCTTTTTCGAATTTATTTCTTTCTACATGATTTTTTTGAGGATAACCAATCTAGTGATAGAGGGGTCGCCGGTTGTACTCAGTTTGGCTGTTCCCAAAAACGAAATGTCTCGAGATAGAGACCGCAAAACGAGGTAAAGCATTTCCGAATGAGCGAGATTTTCGTGCAGGTTTTGGGATAGGGGGCGAAACTTTTTAAATGATTATTTTTTTTTGATTCTATGTTCGCCTAGAAACACAAAAAAATTGTGTCCGCAAAAAAATGTACATCCCCTCCTGAGGGATTGTTATTATTATTATATATATATATATATATATATATTTCCAGTTCAAGATATGCCGACTACGATTATGGAAACAGAGTTCCTGATAGACACGTTCGTATCATATAACTGGAATTTGTAAAAGAAATCTCTTTGAAGCAAAACTATTTTCAATCTTCGAGCTATCGAAGTGAGTCGCGCTCGACTTCGAACTACGACTATCCCCAGCCAGTAGATCAGCGAGGGTCATCCCGCAACGGCTGGTACAGATCCACGTAATTTTTATTTCCATTATACCGCTAGAGAAAACAAAAGATCAGGGGTAATGTGAATATCCATTAATAGCCCGAAAGAAATAAATTAGAACCATGGTTAGAGTTTGAGTATGAAAAAGAAAGAACTTGAAATTTTTTTTTTCGAATAGTTCGCTACTTTTTGTTCTTCTATTTTATAAAGTAAATTTTTTTTCATGTCAAAAAGCTTATTTCATTGTAACGGTTTAAACTATTCAGCAGACTAATATATAAGGTCAAGAATGCTCAATGGAAGAAGAGCATTGAACATTTTTTGAGGTTGAATATGACGGTTGCAGAGTGTCTCCCGCGCCGGTTTCAACGATCACGGCGACGACTTCTCAACGACCGCAGCCGCTGATGTCGATCCGGCACAACTCGCCGCCTCTGGGAGCGCCGTCGCTGACGAATCTGATGGCTCCGATGGGACTGTCCGTCCAGCCGCCGACCCACGCAATGGCCAACGTCGGAGTGCGATACGGCAATCCGACGCCCTTGATGCAGCATCCACAGCAAGCCTTGCCCCCGCCTCAGACCTTTTCGAGCCCTCCTCCTCCTCCTTCCAACTATGTCACTGGGACTCCTGGTTTCACTATGGCCGTTTATCCGACCAAGGAAAGGTTTCTAATTAAGAAAGTAATTTATCAAACAATTGGGATTCAGTATTAAAAAATGTGCACGCACTGAATGCAAAAATGTTAAAGACTGTTTTACGAGTTTTATTCACCTTCACGAAAAGTTTTCAGTCATAGGCTAGAAGCTGAGTGGTTTCAAGATCTGAGAAGAAAACCCGTTTACCATTGATCAGAAAATGTTTTTTATATTTTCTGCTTTATCCTGTCAAGGTTTCTCGATTTACTTTTTGTAAATTCACTCAAAATTTAGGAAGTTTTATGCCGTGTTCAAAGCAATTCCCGCGAAAATCAAATTCATCTCTGAATCCCTAAAAATTTTGGTCGCCTTCTTCACACTCGGACGGCTATTTCAAATTTTTCGGAATCACTTTGAACACGGCACTAACTACCCATGAACTTGTCCGTCAACAAGACTAGGATTTCTTTATCCATCGATTTAATGCTCTGGTATCATTTTTCAAGGACAGGCAACTTTTTTTGAAATTCAGAGGCAGAATAAAATTAATAGTTTCATTTAGCTCTCAAAGCTTGCTCTACGGGCAGACGGCCAACATTGCAAGTGGACTCGACGCCTTGGACTTGAATCCGAAGCCGGAGTTGTTGAGTGGTTGGTGACTCTTAGTCTCGTGTTCTAGGACATTTACAGCCGCTTGGAACGCTTTCTTCTCGACTTTGAGCAATCCACAAGGACAGTCGAGGCCCCTTCCTGGTCCGTGGAAGTGACGTGACGTTTCTGTAAAGTTATACGCCAATCGTTAATTTTTATTCACCTGAAAAAACCTAGATTTATAAAACTTCTAATTGTCTTATTCTGCATTGTGCTTCATAAATTCTCTGTGAATGCTTATTTAAGCCTTGTTTTTCTTTAAGTTCATTCGCCCACGTATTCTAGCATAACTTTGTTATCGTGCCATTTTAGCTCTTTATTTGTTACGAGAAATCGTTCATTCGCGTTTGCTTAAACTTCGATTTCTATTGATTTTCCGAATTAAAAAAAAATTTTATAATAAAAATCACCTTTTTAGGCGTTTGAAACAAGTGAGAAGAAATTTAGTTAATATTTTGGTTAAACAACAGAGATTGTGATCATGCAAAGTTAGAGAATGCGTCGTTCAATCATAATCTAACAAAATGAAGATTAAAGGATTGCTTTTCAAGCGAGAAAATGTGAATGACAACAATTTTTTTTTGGTTTGGCCATCTAGAACCAAATAAGTAAATTTTTTGACAATTTTTCAAAGTGATGGGAATTTTCAAAAGAATGGGATGGCCAAGTGGACTCTGCAGATGTCGTCAGGCAAAATTGTAGATGCCAGAGAGCTCGGAGGCGCCAGTCGCTGATCACCTTTGGCGAAGGAAGTGAATGAAAGATGCGGCAGGAAGACGTTGTTGTGGGAAGGGCCTGGAACAGCCTGGAGCGTCGATGCTCCGGAGGGCGGTCCAGGCGCTGGCGCCACGAACCGAAGGTGCAACGGAGAAGACGTCGCCTGCAACTGCAGAGGTCGAAGACCTTTATCTTTCGAACAGACCGCGGTGGGGACGAAGCCGTGGAAAGGAATGCTGGCTGTGGCGGGCCTCGAGGGCAGGTCCAAATTCGAAAGCACCTGGTTACTCGCCAACGCGCGTGATATCAGGCTGATAATCAGCGGATCAACCACAGTCTCCGAATCAGACTGCTGCAGCTTTTCTTAAAAGATTTATTCCCTTTTTTTTCAAATGAAAACCAAAATGGCATACATCAAACAGTATGGATCGGAAAACAGAATGGATGAAAAAGCCGCAATAGTAGCTTTTTGAGATTTCTAAAGTAGTTCATTATTGAAATCCTGTCTTCCTATCTCGTTTTACGAATGATCGCAAAGAAAATAGAGCTGACCAAAACCACCCAAAAAAACATTTACAGATACATGAAATCCCAGCAAAAAAAATTTGAGTGAATTTTTGAAACCTTCAGTTGAAATTTGATCTTGAGTGATAGGCAACTTTAGCGGCGTATAATCTTCCCGAAATCTGACAAAACGAAGTTTTTCTCTGACAAACCTGGTTTCCTGACAGTGGTCGTGCCAAAATAGTATGTGGCCGGAGTCGTGGTTGGCAGCAAATGCATCCAACGAGAAGCTGGTGTACTCAAGGGTCGTCGTCGGAGCTCTTTGCCCCGACTTTCGGTCCCAGAAATCGGCGAGGCTGTCGTGTAGATGGGTTTCAATGAAATGTGCCTCACTCTTGCTGTTGCTGAGAATTTTCGCAACATTTGGTTTATTTTCAGATGGAAGGCTAACTCTTGGTGGGCAATGTAGGCTTTGTGAAGAAGGTGGTCTTTGGAGTCGTGGCTGTCGTCGTCGTCGTCGTCGTAGTCGTAGTCGGAATCGTCGAAGTGGGAGCACTTGGCCTGACGGGGGTTGTGAAAACGGCACGATATGCGGAATCGACTTTCGAAAGATCTTCTTCCGAAGGCGTTGGTCCTTCTGCAATGCTCTCGGACTCCTCGGATAAGCTCGCCGGTCTTACCTTCTCCTAGGCCGAGCAAGTTTTGCCAAGGGCCATCCATAGCGAAGAGCGGACTTTTACTGACGACTGGTAGGAATCTCGATGAAACGGTCGAGTTGACATTCAGAAGACGTTGCAATAGAGCAGAAAAGTCAAACTGAGGCGTCGTCCCAGGCCTTAAAAATCTCACAACTTGGGCAGGAGCAAACTTGTTTGAGGTAGTCTTTGTTCGCTCTTGTTATTTATCTTAGCAAGGCGCTAAAACTTCAATGAGAAACTTGGCCTCTTGTTATTGTTGCAATCTTTGCTCTGCGGATAATCTTTTGTTCCGCGTTGCTTCGTCATAATGTTCGATGCAAAAATGACACGAGGAGTCATCTGAACTAGCTCCTATCGAATGACGACATGAAGGTTTTTAGAGCCATGATTCAGTTTAGCTTCTTATCAACATTGAATTGGAAGCTGATTCTGAAAACATACCCAGTGGCTACTTCTGGATCCCTTTTCACGCGACGCATTCTTCGGTCAACTACGGCTTTTCTGCTCTTCACTGTCTCGACCCTCTGCTTTTCTTGGTTGGTAAGTGAGCGGATCAAGCGATCTCCGACGTAGACGTGGTTGTTCTGAAAAAGTTTTCCGTTTTTTATTAAAGATTAAAAGCGTTACCCTGACGATGCATGAGGAAAGAACCACTTCTACAGAATCGTCATGTCCACCGCAAAATGAGGGCACCAATGGGGCGTCCGGAAAGTCGATGCCTGTACTCACCGCACTGAAACTCGTCTTGATACGCTTTTGTAGTGGCTTGAAAACTCTCCAAAAATGAATTAACAAAGAAAGTCTCTGAGGTGACCGTTGACAGGTAGTACTGATGTAGAGTAATCAAACAGAAGAAATTATCAGCTAAACGCCTCAGGGTACTGGGAAAAAATAACGTTCAAAATTTCCAGAAAACGATTGTACTAGCCCAGCAATAGGAGAACCTTCGACCACGCCCCCGCGTGGGCGAAGGCTCCTCAGTTGGTGGGTTGCTGGTTCCGCGTGTCCCCTCTGTCTTTCCTCGACTCCTGCCTGCCTGTATTTCCCTTTGTCAAGCAGCTGACATCCCAAACAGGAAGGTCCAATACGCCAACCTTTAGAATTGTATCTGGAGGGAGTCTCTAGACTCTAAAGGCGGACTTTTGGAATACGATTAAGAACAAATCAATTGCTCTGCACTATCATAATGTATGCAGAAGAAGGAAAAAAAACTTTCAATTCTCAAAAAACCCCGAAGAGGAGTCTCCTGCGTGTTTTGTCCAGATTTTCCTATGTACCCTGTGTCCGTTAGCAGATGATTACTTTTGTTTCCGGGTAGTCTTACCTATGACTACCGACCACAGAAGTTTGGACCGGATCTGCGATGTCCACATCAGACACTTTCCTTGCAAGTTTTTTGTTTTTAGAACAAAGGGGACTTTCGTGAAGAACGCGTGCGAAAACTGACTCTTTGAAGGCGCTCAAGTCTTGTTGGTAAACACGGAACAGTTCGAGCTCGTAGTCATCCAAAGAGCGCGTCCCCACGCCGTGAAGAAAAAGAGTTCCGTCCTGCAAGCCATAACTACGAGCTTTTGATATTCTTTCCTATATATATATCGTTTTCTGATTTTCTGCAGCTGACTTAGTTCTGAATACGATTGGCCCAAGGTTCTTTGCACGGAAGGTTAATTTACTTGCAGCGTCTAAGTTATCAAAAAAGCTAGCCAAAATACTATCCGCAGTACTAAGTTTTTCATTGTTGGATCTTGCACCAGTTATCAATTTTTGAGAACGGATACTTCAAAGACGAAGTTTCCTCGACAGTTTTTTGGCAACGAAAAAGTTTTGAAGATGGCGGTTTTACGGATCTTCAGAAAAATACTTTGAAAAACTTGATGTTGAATCGCCATGATCAAGATTATAATGTCAGGAAAACGACAGACTAAATATATAATTATCAATTTGCATCCTTTTTGGATGCACGAGGTTGAATAACATGAATTTTAAATCTAGGAGAAGAACTCACTACGACAGCGCAGGCAGGTCCAACGTATCCATAGCCCGGCTGGACGTCTTTGGAAAAAGCGGCAGCCGTTGACAAGAGGACGCTTATCACGCCTATCCGCAGGATTCTTCCCGCCATCAGAGCAGCTTTCTATTTTTTTTTAAGAGGTCTGTTGGTCAAAGTGACGCCGAAAAGCTCAGACTCCGTAGTAACGAAAAAAAAAAACAGCGTTTTTTCGGATTTCTGTTCTGAAAACAAATATTCTGTGAGAAAGGCTGCATATCCACGTTAAAAAATAGTTTTTCCTGTTCACAATCATTTTCTTCTTACTTCAAGTTTCTTTTTTCATCTCATTCTACACTGTTTCAGACCTGAAATAGCATGAATACTCGCAAAATCCTCAGAGTTTTTTTTTCAGGATTTATATTGCGAAAAGGACTTTCAACTTGACAAGAACTGAAAACCATTATTTTCGAGAATAAGAAAATTTTTAATCTTCGAAAAAATTGTTTCTATGTTCGCAGAAACAATAATCTTTGGTTATAAACTCAATAAGCGACATAAAATATTTACGTTACCTTTGAGAGGGATTTTCGAGTTTTTTTTGAATTAAAAAGGTGAATAGGGGTCTAAAATATTTTAGTTTCGAGCGAAAAAAACGCATCTTCAGGAAAGAAAGAGGAATCGGATTTTTGAAAGGGAAGTTGGTATGATAGAGCTACCACACCGAAGCCCAGAACAAAACACGGAGAAAAAGGACGATTTTTGTCCTGAGAAGGGGCGTGAAACGGAGGGCCGACTCGTGTGTCGACGACACGTGTCGCACCAACGGTATTATCCCACGGTTAAGCCTCGCGACAACACAATCGGCCGCTTCTTCTTTGTGCCCCCAGGCGCCGTTCTCTACCTCTTTTCTTTTCGGCTTACAAGCCGTCCTTTCAAGGTTTATCTCCACCATTTGGCTTTGGAATGATTGGAACGGCCATATCAAGAAGAAAAAAAGATGCCAAGTTCTGCTACTGCCCTCTCTCACGAAATCTGCATTCAAGTTGGTTTTCTTATTCTCAGTTCAATCAGAAGAAAAACATTTAAATTGTTCGAAAAATTCTGGGTGTAGTCTGTACAAAGTCGTTCTATGAATTTCCGATGAAATCTAAAGAATTCTTTACACGATTGTTCGAGGGTGTCCAAGTTTTTTGTTCTTTGAATACATCTCAAACACTTCAACTGACAATTATCATCACTAAAATTGGTCCACATGTGTCGAGAATTCACATGGAACTTCGATAAGCTCACTTTGAATTAACCATTTTTCGGCATACTATGAAAACCAAACTGAAAAAGGATTATCATCAATCAACATTACACTAAGTCTGCACCAAAAAGTGAAGTTCAACCTTTTATTTAGCAGTGAAAATCATTCAGTTAATATCGATTTTAAGCTCTGCCCCCTGTGTTTTGGTAGCGTTACCGTGCTGGTCTTTATATCCTGAGCGGAGCATTTCGATCTGAAAACTAGCAATAATGAGAATTTATTCGACTTTCGACTCACCTCGTCTCTCATCGGCGGCATTCCTGCTGGGACTTTTGGAGGGGGAACAGTAACCTTGATATTGTTCCAAGTTCATAGAGATACTTTTCACCATTTCCTCACCTTCACGGGAGTGTCAGAAGCAACCTGACGACGCTCGTGATTGATGACGTTGGCGTCTATCGTCACTGACGGACGCTGGGAAGTACTTTGAGATTTGCTCGACAACGCTGACATTTCCTCTTGTCTCAATCTGAACTATATTTGTTTATATCGTTCAAACCATCCTTTTTATGTGTGCTGACGGAGAAATGGACTAAACTCAAGAAGAGACTTCTCAAAAGACTACTCAGGTGAGGTTTTAAATAAAAAACTGCGGTCTACATAAATTAGTAGAAATAGGCTCTGCGGCTTCTAGGATAATTGAATCTGTCATTTCAGAACCACAGCTCACTAAATATGAGCTCTTCTTCAGAATCTATAGCTATTACCTCAAAATTTCGAGAAAATTTTCGAGCTGAGATTCAGAATGAGTGCAAAAAATACAGCATCTCCTCATCCTTCGTTTAGATTCAAAACAGGCACTAGTGATTTATATTAAACTATCATTCAAAAAGCGGGTCATAATGGAACATTTAAAAGTACATGTTCAAACCGAATCCACGATTATTTTTTCATTACCGTTTTATAAATATTAAAAACTTGATTTTTCAACAGATCTCATCAACGCTTCAAAAGAAAGGACTGACCGAGATGGATCTCGAAGAAATGAGAATTGTCTTCGCAATACTTTTTTTTCTTTTTGATTGACAGAAAATGTTGAAAAGTTCGTGAGGGGTTCTCATTATTTCTGTGAAGCAGAAAAAAAAAACTTTTCTGACTCTAAACGGGCATCCATCAAGGTTTTCTGCACGTATGTGTATGCAGTCGAGCCGAAAAGGACTGTGAAGTTGCTCAGCCACCTAAACGACTTGCTTGAAAGAGCAAAAGGAAGAATAAAAACAGACCAGAGGGCCGTTTTCGCTTCTGCCCAGTAAATGACGGCGATCACAGTCTGAGCCGCTGCCTTCGCTGTTCCGGATATATTGTGAGTCAGAGGAGACGTCGCCTGACCACTCAATAACATAGTTAGTTTTAGACTTATTTCGAAAAAAATTAGTGCAATTAAAATAAGTAATTCGATTTCTCCATTTTAACATCAAATTTTGCTTACTTTGACATCTCGTGGGCCTCAATAAAGCTTAATACGACATCTTACTATAATAAACACATATGAGGATTTTCCAAATCACAGCTAGGTGGATGAAAAAAGCTCTCCAGATACTACTGAATCTCTTATTTCCGCGAACTTTTTTTTATCGTACTATAAAATCTCTTCGAAAATTTTCTCAAAACAGCGCTGATAGAATCATACAAAAAACCGAACCCAAATCTCAATCACCTGAATCTGCCAGCCCGTGACGTAACTCATCATGAATCCCAAGAAGCCGGAAAGGACTAGAGGAACCCAAAATGCGGGATCTCGAAGCAACGGGAAGTTGATCACCTCTCCGATTTCCCCATTCAGGGCCACTAACGGTATGAATAGGATGAGAGCGTTCAGATTGTTGTACATTGCGAGCTTCCAAAGGTTGTTGTCTACTGATTTCAGAGCACTAAAACGCAATCGCAGGTTTTATTGAAAAAAAAAAAGAATTTTATTGTTTTCCATAAACAGTTAAGGGGAACAAAACTTGTCGCTAATCAATTAAAAGTTCGTAAAATAGGATGCTCTCATCTGGATCCTGCCTTGTCCATAAAATTACCTTCTCGTGAGAAATGCGTAAAGAGCAACAAAAAAAGAAGCAAGTACTCCATAAAAAACTCCGACCGTGGAAATCGAACCTGAAAGAGATAATGATTCCACTTTCAAAAAAAACTACACAAATTTAGTCATTTGAAAAAAGGGCAAAAGAAAATAATTACGGTTTTGAATTTTTCGTGTCGGACCTATTTTCTATCAACCGCAGATGTAAAAGAGCTTTTTCGCAAATGGTTTTCCGCCACTCGTAAATGGCTACAATTAGTCTTTTTTAGACTGAAATTGTTTCTTCTCTGTCAGAATCTTCTTATAAAGCCTTATTACATCAGATAGAGTCGAAATCCATTATATCCTAGCGAGTTTAAGGTCTTTTCAATTTTCAGGAAAATGGCGGAAAATCTTTTTCCACTTTATTGCATACGGCTCAGATCTCAAAGCGAACTTTGCACTGAGGGTATATGACTTTTTGACAGAAAAAAGGGATAAGTTGGCGTGAAACGATATATAAAAATTTTCAGCATTTGCTACTTTGGCTTTTCTCCCCTGAAACTTGAAGTTTCAAAACAACGATCGTTCCGAATGTATTGAAAAAAAATACCGCTGAGATCTTCTTGATTTACGCCAAGACAGAAACCAAAAACAATGAAAAAACAGCAATAGGTTGCCAACGGAGCCGCTTTTTTGTACATAATTAGATAGGTGAGTACCTGAAAGGCACGTTTGGAAATGGAAGCAGTTGAAAATGACTAACAACACTGAAAACAGTTGAGAGGCTGCGACTGACGTAGTAAAAGGAGACGCTGACATTTTGGAGACACAAATTGTTGAAGGCGATCATGCCGACGAAAACTAGGGAGAGTGGTAAAGTCTTGAACCCAGCTTTTTCTACAGAAATTACGGAAACTGCATACTTTTTTGCATGTATTTCTGTGGATCGTCATCTCAGGAAGGTCTAGCAGTTCTGGGCAAAATCTTGAAACTTTGCTAAGAATAATACAGATGAAAACAGATACCAAACACTGGAACCATGTTATGAACAGTGGCGCATTCAACTAAAAATATTTGAAAGCTGTTTTTGTAAATGAATCGGGAACAAACCTTCAATGCATTACTTGACAACAGATATTTGTTAACAAAAACTGTTCCGATAGAAAAGATCCTCAAAATGTTATTATTTATTTTCAATTTCCTTTTTTACTCACCAATAACAGCCAATCGCAGTGACTACTTTTGTGTAGCTTTGCAATTTAGAAGTTCTTTGTGTCTCGGAAAACATTTTCAGATATTGATCAACAACGAATATAGCGATTATGGAACGACGAGATGAAAAATTAAAATTTCTGAATATTCGTGGGGTCACGCACGGATTATTAGATCGAGCAATAAACAATTTTCAAATAATATTACGTGTCCTCAAATGATATGATATTGAAAGCAAGTCTATCGCTTGAAGTAGATTTTTTTTATCGGATACCTGAAGCAGCCGCTTCAGAACTTTTTATATTTTATTCTAATTTTTAAATACTTGAAATGTATTAACTAGGAACGAAAGCTCAAAATTTCAAATATTCTCAAAATCTGTGCAATTCTCATAGTTATAAACGCTGTTTCAAATAAAACGAAATCATCTATTTTTTTTTTTGTATTAGTCATGGATGTAATCAACTAGGCCGTGAACAAGAGCTTTCGAAGTTGTAACGAACAATCGCCTTCGGCTATCTAAAAGTCCAAAAGCGTAATCAAAAGAGTTGAAAGCATGGTATTATGGTTTCTGCTCGTCCTTCTGTCTGTGCGTACTTCCTTTAGTTGCACTTTCACGAGCTCAGAATATAGGAGATGTCGTGCTGGAGCCCGGAGACCTTGCTTTAGGTGGAAGCCTGAGAGCGATCACTCCGAGTGAAGACTTTACACGGAGTTTCGAACATGATTCTCAGTTTTAACAAAGTACTCTCTAACGCTGACGAGTGGCACCCATTGGATTAATACGTCATAATTTTACAAAACGGGTGCTACTGCCGACCTCCCGGTATTTTTTAACGTTTCGGGTGATCGCCTGGGCCTAAACGGGGGCTCGGCGCGTGAATTGGGCGTTTGCGTAGATCCGCTGGAATTAAACAGGGTCTCATCGCAGCTAAAAATTGCGTTTCGGGGTGCTCTGCTGGGGTTAAACGGGTGACACTGGTGAATCGAGAGGTAGATACAAGTAGGTCCCGGGTAGCAAGTCAAGTCAATCGGCGAATCGTAATCGGTGGTCATTTGTATGCGACCGGGTACTATCTCTATGGTACCTAAATAGTACCTGATCGGTATCTGGATGCTACCGGGTATGTACCTGAAATTCGCGATTGCCACTGTCTGGCACATCGATCGTTTATATAGCATCATTGTTTTTTTACACCTTTCCAAGCCTTCCAGGGTCTTATTGGATAAAGCTGAAACAAAAAATAACGACCCGGGAAGCAATTCCAGACTTTCCGAAAGAAATCGCGAATGTCAGGTATGCAAGTAGCTACCCGGAAGCTACTTGCATCGACCTCCGATCCAGGTACCGTAGAGATAGTACCCGGTCGCATACAAATGACCACCGATTACCATACGCCGTTTAACTTTTTCAAAAGTTGCTACCCAGTAGCTATTTGTATCGACTTCCCGATCCATCTTCGTAGCACCCGCGGGTGCTACTCGCCTGGTACCCAACGGGTGCTACTGGCCATCTTGAAATCCGTTCAAGTTCAGGGGATTTACGGAAATGCCCGATTCACGCGCCGAACCCCCGTTTAGGCCCAGGCGATCACCCGAAACGTTAAAAAAAAAACACTGGGTGATCGGCAGTAGCGCCCCTAGTGCACCCGTTTCGCAAAATTTTGACGTAATGGGTGCTACTCATGCACCAGCATGCGAGTACATCTATATATACTTATCATTTTTTTTAAACATCATTTTATCAAAAATACCGCTTTATTGATTCTATCCTGTTATAGGAACCTAATTCTTTTTTTCTAAAGTGAAAAGCTAATGTAAAAACTGTAAAATAAATTTATTTGAGCCAGGTTCAGTGGATTTCAGAGAATACCACTTCATGCGGTGTTCAAAGTAATTTCCACGAACTACGAAGTTGCCTCTGACTCTTTAAAATTTAGTTATATTTTTCTTTCTTTGACGGCTTTTTTCGGATTTAGCAGAATCACTTTGAACACGCATTAATGTATATTCCGTCATTTCCGAACTTTATTGCAATAACAATATTGTTCATGTGAACGCAAGTTTGATTGAAATTTAAATTGCGCGTCCGATAAGCTGGTTTGTACGCATAAACAATTTTCCGCCCACAGTAAAACGTTTATTCAAAAAAAAAAAGCGGCGTTTCACGTTTCTAAAAATGTTCGTTAATTTTTTTGTTTCAAGAATTGTAAACTCCTACGTTTTTGATTTTCAGTTTTGCACGATAGAAAAGTTTGAACCAATTTCTAGTTCGAAAGGTATTGAAGTTTTCTGTCATTTCTAAAAGTGTAAAAGCTTATTATTCGTTCGTACTAACGGTTTTTAACTGTTTAGTAACTGATTTAGTAATTTTCATTGTTCTCACTCCTCTCTTTTTGGCTTCTTTGATAATTTTTATTTGAGAATCCCTGCATGCGATTCAAAACTTGCTGTAAGCGTTTACTTTTTTTTTTTTTTACGACATTTACTTTTTTTAAATCAAAATTATATGTGTTTATATACATTTACTAAAAATTTTCGGCTCTTACATTTAAATTTGTATTTTAAAGTGTGTAATTATGAGATTAAGGTGGTTAATAACATTTACAATGGGATTTTCGTGGTATTAAAAAAGATCTTCGCGGTAATGAAAAGATTTACAAAAAGTTTGATCATCATTCAATAGGATTTTTTTTTTCGGTATCCTATAAATGCCTGCGGGGCCTACGAAAGGCGAAAAACCGGAAAAGCGTTCACTTCAGAGAGGCAGCTCCAAAAGAACAATGGAAGTTGAATTGAAGGAGGTTTTGCGTTTTTTGCAGACATATATTTTTGAATGTATCTTTCTTTCTTCTCAAACACATTCACTCGAAAGGATGTGTTTAAAAAGAGAACAAATTATGACGCGGAGAAATAGGATTTTTTGTAGAATAGCATATTTCTCAGATAGCCGTTTTTTCATTTCAAACACGACTTCAAATTTACTGTGCCAGTGGATAAAAGTTATTTTTAGGGTAGCCCCAAGAAAGTTCGCATGAGTGAGGAACCTTTATGGCCGACAGGAGATGAGGAGCCTCCATTCCTTCCTAACGCTCCTGGCAGTAGTCAGGACAACTTCTCCCACAATTACAGGGTTTGAAAAATTCTCTTTTTAAAATCTGTTTTTTGCAGCCAAGCCAAAAATCAAGTTCCAGTCCTCATGCAGAGACCAAGAAAAAGGTTGCAATCAAAAATTTGAGAAGTAAGCTGAATAGATTTATGGTGAACGCATTCTTTTCATCTTTTTAAGAAAAAGACAGAGAGGTGGAAGATATAAACAGAAATGGAGAAGGTCCCCTGATTCTGCGAGAAGATATCGAAGAGTGGCCTGAGATTCAAGAAAATATCGATGCCATTTTTTCGTGCACACCGACCAGAACCGGTCTTGAACAATTATTCACGGTTTGAAGCTTTTTCCAGAAAGTATTTCGTTTTTGAGTTTTCAGCTCGTCCAAATCGCTTGCGAGAAACACAAAATGAGAACTATACATGACAATCTGAGAGTGGTTCTGATGGATTTCGCATTGAAACTTAAGTAATTTGTGCTCTTATTCTGTTGCCAATCTAAATCTAGGACCCAGCTCGATAGTGGAGATGTGATGGCTCTTTCCGAAAGTACCTGTGAAGAATATTTGCTGCGATTTTGGAAAATTTGGCAAGTTTACCCGATCAGAATGGTCAGTTTCATTTTTCTGTCAAAAAAGTGCTGATCTCTTTTTAGGAGCTCGTACGCAATGTTTTTTTGCACTTGGACAGGAATGTTTCAGCTTCATCGTGCGAAATAGATTTTCTACCCATTTGGTTGGTGTGTTTTAGTTTCGTATAGATAACATGTATTTCTGAAGGGAAGCTTCGATGCGTGTATTTCGGCGAACTTTTTTCCTCGAGGTCAGCAAAGAGTATCACACGAACAAGTTGTTCGTCGCTCTTTTCTACGACCTACAGAGAATGATGAAACGGCTCGATGTTGGTTGAATTGAGGAAATTCCCTTGAAAGGAAGTTCCAGGCCGAAAGCAACGCGATTCGTGATCTGATATCCATGATTTCGACGGTTCGAGTGCAGGAGGAGTTTCTAGCCTATTTGACCAGGGAGCTCAGAGAGTTCTACAACAACGAGAGACATCGCTTACTTCCTGGCGCCTCGGTTTGTCGTTCCCCACTTCTAAAATTCTCCACCGTCCAAGGATAATTATTTCACTTTGTAGGAATGCGTATGAAAAGTATTCTTGAATATTTTTCAGATTTTTAGGGCTTTTTATATTTCATTTTTGGTTCACTTGCCCAATAATAGTAAATTTCAACAGGAAAGATTGCTCTAACAAACCATTAATCAACTTCCATAAAAGATAGATAAATTGGCTACTTCAAAAAGAAAAATTAAAGATCTTCTAGTGAGTTGAACAAATAAAAGTTTTATTTATTTCGAGAGTAGTATCGAACGGAAAAGAAAGAAAACTTATCAATGTGCTATTCGATGATCATTTCAGGTTCTCGCGATTTCGTTGAAAACAAAAATATCGTGATATTTTCGTAATTCTAAAAGAGAAACGTTGCCTTTTTTCGTTTTTGCCTGTCGGAGGCGATTCTCCATCAAATTCACCAACAAATAAAAAATTCCTTTCAAGTTTGAATTTTTTCGATTTATGTAAATACAAGCTATTTAATGCTTCTTGGGAGATAATATATAATTCCGAATAAACTATAATAATAAAAAGTAAGAGGAGTTAGGTTTGAACCGATCCGAAAAACATTCTTAATAATATCAGCTAGTGAGAAATTTAATGGAGAATTTATTCGCTTTTCAAAAACTAATTGATGATATGAGCGGTATTATTTTCTAGCCAAGAATCCAATTGTCCATTGATTGACGGATGTGTCAGTCATTAGAAGAAGGAAATAAATGAAAGGGAAATCGAAAATTCCTGCCATGTGTGGAACTGATTACAGTGCGGAGAGTACATGAGGTACGTCGACGGTCAAGTCAACGAGTACGCCCATCTGATGCAGCTCCACTTCGCCGACGTCACCGCCTTGAAGGCTGTCCACAGCGTTCTCCTGGAGACCCTCGTCGCCTCTGCCCTGCCTTACGTCTTCCAAAATGGTTCATTCTATCACAAACAAAAAAATTTGAACAGAATTTCAGAATTTAATTGAAGGTTTCTTTTGATGTTGTTGACGGGATTTTCACTTTCCTTTAGTTCTATAAGACTAAATATTAGAGAAGAAAAGATGCCGCGATTCGTCTCTTTCTGAGCTGTTCGTTTTCAAACGTTCTCGGACATTGTTAAAGTGAAATGAACGCGAATCAGACGTGTCGGGTGACCACTTTAGGCGTCAGCACTCTTAAGTAATCCCTAGAATTTCTCAAAAACGTCCGTTTCGCTTTACCATTTTCCGAATTTGTATCAGAAGTTGTTTTGAAAAGCGGCAGGGATCATTTTAATGTTTATAACTGTCCCGCTTCGAGAGCTAGAGCAACAATATTTTCTAACTTTCGTTTATAGCCTTCTTTCGGAAAGGTTTTTTTTTCCGAGAAAGAAAAAAAGATGACTTCAAAAGTCGACAAAAATATTTTTCGGCAGCGGAGTGTTTTTTTTAAACGTTCCTTTTTCATTTCTTTAAAGACATTTAAAGGAGGAAAGTGGAGGCATAGAAACAATCAATTTCGGCTTCTCACTTTCGGAATTCAGGATTCGATCTCCTGATGACGTCACCAGACGTCGAAGACGCGAGGTGCACGTTCTCGCTCTGTGTACAGTGTTCTGGAGGCGAGGAGACGATGCGCAACCATTTTGTTGCATTCATCAAAGTTTCTCTCGATGCAAACGGCTCTTCTAATCGTTTGGATGCAGAAAACTGGAACTCAGCTGATGAGCTCGTGTCAGGACGCCGACTTCTTTAACGAGCTCCTCTCCTTCAAAAAGCGAATGGACCGCATCGGTATTTTTCGTCTTCGAGATTTTCTCATGGTCCGTTCTTTGCAGTGACTGAAGCGTTCCGTGGATGTTTGGACGAAGTCAAGTTCCGACAAGCCGTTTCTGATTCATTTGCGTCGTTCATCAACACTGGAGGGAACAAGGCGGCAGAGCTCATTGGTTTTTTTTTTTTCAAATCTGCAGCTTAAAAGTTCTACTTTAGCCAAGTATTTCCACGGGCTTCTACGAAATTTGAACAAAAATCTGTCCGACGACAAGCTGGATGAAATGCTCGATGACGCGATTGTCATTTTCCGGTTTCTCCATGGTTTCAATAGTTTCTCCGCTTGAATTTGAGGCCTTCTTTTCAGGAAAAGACGTTTTCGAGGCGTTTTATAAAAGGGACCTGGCCAAGCGACTTCTTTTGGATCGCAGTGCTTCTGTCGATGCTGAAAAATCAGTTTTGTCCAAGCTACGCAATGGTTTCTCTTGTTTATATTCGTTTTCATTCCCCGTTTCTGCAGAGTGTGGCGCCGGCTTCACGCACAAGTTGGAAGGAATGTTCAAGGATATGGAGACGTCCGTCGACTTGAACCAGCTCTTTCAACAGGTTTTTGACGGCCTTTTTTCAGTCGGCTTTTCATTAGATAAACACAATCTCAAAAGGGTATTTGTTTCTCTCTGAGTGTTTTTTTTTGTGACGAAAACAGGAACAGCCATCTTATAAAGATACATGTAAAAATAAATGAAGTATTCTGTAGCGATGTAAAAAGAAGGAAGAAGATTTCTTGTTCAGCACTTGGAGCATGTGAAGAAGCCGCGCTCAAATGTCAACGTCCGAGTGTTGACGACGGAACACTGGCCTTCCTACGAACTCTATGAGGTATCAAACCATCAAGAATGCCCTGAACTCACTGTGTGCTAGTCAATAAAATAGAAAAAAATGCTTTCAATGATTTTTCTTTTCATTTCCCTGGAATTTATCGAAAAAAAAACCGATTGGCACAGGATTATGATTCAAAAATCTAGATCAATCTGCCGAAACAGTTGCGGGACTCTTTGACTGACTTCACCGATTTCTACCGATCGCAACATGGAACCAGAACTCTCAACTGGCACTACGCCCTGAGCACGGCCGTCGTGACCGCCAAGTTCAGGCCTGGGGTCTGCCGAAAGCGAATTTCCGAGTTTTGACTCCTCGTCTTTCAGTGCACCAAAGAGTTGATCTTGTCGCTTTACCAAGCCGTAGTCTTGCTTTTGTTCAACGGCTGCGAGAAATGGACGCTCCAAGAAGTTGTCGACGCTACGAAGATCGGTCAGTAATGATTGTCAGCCTGGGGATATTGAAAATCCATTCTTTGTAAGGCAGGGTGAATGAATTTACATCAAATAGTACTCAAAGATGCGTTGACATTTTGCTGTAATAGTGAGAAATCTTCCTCAAAACAATCACAGAAAGCGATAAACTTTCAATCAGCTCCAAAACACATCGTGACTGCTTTGTACACTAAGAATAACTGACGAGATAAATGCGAGCTCGGTGGCGGTACATTGACTAACTCGCAAAAATGTCGCTTTTTTCTAGGCGCGATCCCGCATTTATCTCGACGCGACCTCGCATTTTTCTCGGCGCCATCTCGCATTTATCTTGCATTTCGGAAATTTTCAAATTGCGAGAGAAATGCGAGCTCGCGCCTAGAAAAATGCGAGCTCGCGCCCAAACAAATGCGAAACCGGCGCGAGAAAAAATGCGAGATGTTTGCGAGCTCGTCAATGTACCGCCAGTGTCTCGCGTTTATCTCGGCAGTTATTCTTAGTGGTAGATTCACAGGGCGAGAAAAATGGACTAGGAAAAATTTTTATTTTTATTCTCATCCCAGGGTTTTTTTTAAAGGAGCAAGTCCAGAAGGCAAAATGGAATCTGCAAAAAGTACCTAAAAAGACACGATTTTCTTTTTCCAGTGGTTAATCTGTTCTTTTTTTATTTCTTGCATTCTTTTTTCTTTCGTCTTTGCATTGGAAAATTTTCTTCGAATCTGTCGGCCAATCTTTCAAATGACAAAGTTTTGTGTAAAGATATGAATCACAAAATGAGATTGAAGAAGTGAAAACATTCATTGTTATTAACTGATTGCCAAAAAGATTCCATCCATTCCGGCAATTCAGCTTTATAATTAATCATTGTTACCTCGGAAGTTGAATGATGGGATTTGCCGTGTTCGATTCGACGCATGAGTTATGGTTCTGTTCCAGAAAGCACCGAGGTTACGCGAACAATTCTTTCGTTGGTTGGTGGCCGCGACGCGAAACCGCGAATCATCTGCAAACTGCCTTCCACTTCGGATCGAGACGTGCGCAGAGAAAACCCTCAACAAATGGCTATTATTTTAAGATTCAGAAACCCGAAACGACCATCGAGAGTGTCGGCAAGGACTCCTTTGTCGTTAACGCGGCCTTCGACTCCAAACTCTATCGGGTCCGAGTGGCGCAGGTGCAACTCAAAACACCGGTAGGTTCTTTTCACCAGAAAAGGAAGATGGTTTCTGGAAAAAATTGTTTTGTAGAAAGAAGAAAAGGAGATAGTGGAGGCCGAGGTAAACCACGACCGGCAGTACCAAATCGATGCGGCCATCGTACGGATAATGAAATCCCGCAAAGAGTTGTCCCATCAGATGCTCGTCGCTGAGCTGTTCAAGCAACTGAAGTCCGTCTTTTATAAGTTTCTCCACTCAACCCAAGATTCTTTGGGAATTGTGTCTAATTTTGAGGCCGAAAGTCTACCTAATGCAGATCTCATCAAGATTTTTGAATTTAAGAATACTATTAAACTGTGAGAAGTACTATTCTGAAAAAGGAACTCCAAACTCTCAACTCTTACAAAATCAACAAGATCGGAGAAAAATCTGGGAGAAACTGTTTTTCATACGTTTCCAAGTTTAGAATGTTTGATTCGAAATTCGATATAGTCCGTTTTTTGCGACTTGAAAGGGGGGGGGGGGACTTCTCTGCGCCCTCATCGTCTCTCGATGACCCTCTCCTGTTGACGCGCTGTTTTCGCGTTTCTGTGACCTCGCCGGCGAGGGAACAGAGAGACTCAGACACTCGAAAACTGACAAGTCGCGGCGGACGGACTATAGGAGCACGGAAAAAAGAGTTTCTTTGCCTGGTTGTACCTTTTTGGAGCTAACGTACATATGAAACATCCTCGATGAGAAAATTTGAGTGAGGGACATTTGGGATAAGGTTTGAAGAAGAAACTTTCACGGCCAACCTAATAGTTTATTCATCGCGTTCGTACTTTATCTGATCTTTTTGCTTTCAGATTCCCGATGAACGCGGCAGACATCAAGCTGCGAATCGCGTCTCTCATTGACCGCGAATATGTCGCGCGCGATCCCAATGAAGTCAACGTCTACCGATACGTCGCCTGAGATCCTTCTCCAGTATCTTTTTCCCAGCTTTAGCCGAAATAGCATCGTCGAGCACAGTTCAATAGTCTGAGGCTTTCAACCTATATGGAGGAGTTACCTCATTATTTGCCTCTTTTGTGTATATTTCCCATTAATAGTTATTTCATGATTTCCTAGATATTAAATGTTGAACGCTTACTCTGTCTAATTTTGTCTTACTTTTTATTCGACGTAATCTCTACCGGTTTTCAATCAGATACGGTGTCTCTTTAAAAGTTGACCGGTTTTTTTTTCTCTAAACACCTGTTGTCCGGTTTTTTGTTCAATACTTTGAAATTATTTTTTGCAGCTAACTTCAACATTTACTAGACGCTAGGGTCTGACTTATAATTTTTTTTTTCGATTGTTGTCACTTTATACATGTTTCGTAGGTGTCTTTTTCCTTTTTCAAATTTTTTTCTCAGTATTTATCAATATGGTCTCCATGTTATTACCTTTAACTGCTGAGTGAAAAATCACATATTATCTTGTTAAATAAATATTGATTAATTGCAACTGGTCGCGAAGTTTCGGAATATTCGGTTTTCCAGCCATTTATATGATATTTTCAATCTCTCCTGCTTTATTTCGCCTCCTCCACTTAAACTTTGTATCCCCGCGTTTTTGTTCTCGCGCGGCGAAGCGTTCGTGGCGGAGCGGTAGTAGCACGGGCCTCCGCTCGCGCGACCAAGGTTCGAGTCCCCTCAACGCTCACTCTCTCGTTTACCCCGCTCGTTTCTCATTTTCTCTCATCAAATAAATATTGGATATCTCAGAACACAATCATGAGGACATGTCCTCATTGTGGATGTGGGGAGATCGACGAAGATGCAGCTAGAGGTTCTTTTTTTTGTCTGTTGATGTCCGTTTAATATTGAAATTCAGGCGATGCAACGTGTATGGGCTGCGGAACCGTTCTGGAGGAGTCCATCGTGGTCTCCGAAAATCAGTTCCAGGAAAGATCTGGTGGATCCGGTCATACTCTTGTCGGTGTGTCTATTATAGTCGTTCTGAAATTTTTCTGTCTTCTAAAAGTAAAATAAGCTTTCGTTAATAATGACTATTTGTTGAAGAATCGATTCAGAAAATTGAATGTCGGTAAAATACAATAAAACAGTGACTTGTGACGATTAATTGGGCACAAAGGAGAATATTTTAACGGAAAAAAGGCCTATCCAGTAAGCTGTTACATTGTTTCAGGTCAATTTGTTTCGGCGGAAAGGGCCGCCGCCCAAAATGTCCACGGCCTTGGGAGCCAAGAATCTCGTGAAATGACTTATCAAAAAGGCCGGAAAGTCATCGAAGAAGTCCGTCAAATAAAAAAATCTCGATAGTTTGTTTCTTTTTAGATCGCCAGTCAGCTGCGCATCAATCAGCATTGCATAGACACGGCTTTCAATTTTTTCAAAATGTGTGTCATCAGAAATCTGACACGAGGACGCATGCGGTGAGCTTTTCTTCGGAACTGAACGTAATCTCAGGAAAACAAAGTATCATCTAAAAACAGAGAAACTTACTGAAGCAGAGGGCGACTTATCTTAGGCTCACAAGTTTCTTCGTCTATTCGGAAAATAAACAGCGTATTTTTATGAAATAGGTCCTGTAGCATTTTCCAAATCGTTACAAGAAAAGATTAGAGAGAGTTGAAAATGACATGTAGAGCGTTCTCAAAAGCCTGCTGGTGAGCTTTGAGAAGCATAGATCAATTCCGAAAGGCTTCAGGGAGAAGAGCCGTTTGTAACTTTATTCTAGGGGATTTAAGACCACCTCTTCGAAATTTCTAGCTCTCAGTTTCAGAATATACTGGTTCATACACGCTATGAATGTTGAGTAAATCAGTAATAATCAGTCCACGGAAAAATCTTCTAGAGTGAACGTCGTCGCATCGTGTATGTACATGACCTGTCGCCTCGAAAACACCGCCCATCTTCTTCTCGATTTCAGTGACGTCACACAGGTAATTAGCGATCGAGATTGAGGACAGCTCCTTTTCTCAGGTGAATGTGTTCGACTTGGGCAGGACGCTGTCGTTTCTCACCAGGTCGCTACGAATAAATCTTCCGTCGACGGACCCGTGCCTTTACATTATGCGCTTCGCCTGCATGCTCGAGTTCGGCGAAAAGCAGAAAGAAGTAGGGACTCAAGTTGTTGGAGAGATTTGAAGGAATAAACTCAAGGTGGTGAACTTGGCGACGCGGCTAGTGCAGCGGATGAAACGCGACTGGATGTCGACGGGCCGTCGGCCGACAGGTCTCTGTGGCGCGGCGCTGCTCATCGCTGCCAGGTTCAAAGTCTCTCCAAACCGAACATTTCTTGAGTCGTCACGATTTTTGGTCTTTCTTCCAATAAGTGCTTAGAAAATGTATAGTTCAAAATAACCGGAGTGTGGCTTCATTTTCCGGATGAATATTTCATTTAAGAAAAAGTTTTGACATTGGCTTTTTTTCGAATAAAAGTTGACCTCAAATCTCTTCTAATTGGAAAAATTTCTCATTCTTATCCATTTGAATAGATGTATAGCGAATATTCATGTGAGATTTTATGTGAAGAAGCGATCGAAAAGAGCTGTAGTCGAAAATGTTCTTGTGACAAGTACTGTAACTACCTTTGACAAGAGGCTTGAGGGAATTAAAGTAAATATACCGAAATGAAGGTTTTGTTTAACTTTTTGTGACCGACCCGGCGGAGCAAAGAAGTTTTTTCTTGTTTTTTTTTAAGCTTTAACTCCATGACCGCGGCCTAGCGCCGAATCTTTTCATGAATTCAAAGCATATAACCCAGTTTCTAGAGTATTTGAAATCAGAAAAGGGTAATAAGCGCGTTGTTAGGCAGTAAAAAACGTTTTGATTTGTTTTAGATGCGCAGATTTACAGCAAAAAAGGTAGCGGTCGAGCTGAAATCCTGCAGTAAAAGAAAAATTTAGACTTTTCCTTAAGATCGATGAACTTCAATCGCACGATATCAGACGTCGTGCGCGTCGTGCACATCAGCGAATCTGTCGTGCGAAAGCGACTCGACGAGTTCAGCCAGACGCCGTCGGGATCCCTCACCATCGACGAGTTCTCGACCGTCGACTTGGTCCTCTCGCCTACATACTCCTGTAGCTGTAATCTCGGATCTTCAGGAACACAACGAGGATCCGCCGGCGTACAGAGAAGCGCGACGCAAGGCCCAAGAAGAGCAGATGCGACGGGAGGCAGAACAGGCCGAGCAGATGCATACTGATGTATATTTCATTGCACGCTCTCAATTTCAGAAACAGATAGATTTAAAATAACCAGAGGAAAGAAACTTAAGTTAAGGGAAACTTATCTCACAGTTTTCATTATTTCCGCTATCGGAGATTGCTGAGCCATAGGAATTTGCATACAGTAAAGCTCAATAAATTCACCCTGGAATTTCCTATGTGTAGTTCTCAGCTCATCGACTCCATTATTTAAATGAAGAGTCGTGTTTGAGTATTACATAGCTGATATTGAGACCAACTTTGGAAAAGTCGAAGTTTTGTAAAAGAGAAAAACGTTCAGCTGCAACCCGTCGAGGAAGAGCTTGAGAAAGCGTTGGAGAAGAAAAGACGAGAAAAGTTCAAAAACACAGCTTTTGCGAAACTCGTCGGCGGAACTTTGGGTGAATCCCGTGTGTCTGGACGTGTTGATGATATTTCGGTCACAGAAGGCGTCGGGAAGGCGGAAGACGAACTAGTGCGATCTGAGGTTCTCGACACTGTTTACGGCGTCGCCAACGAAGAACCTGGGTCTTGACCCTTTTCTGGCATCTTACAACCATCGAGATTCAGATGCTCCAACGACAATTTCGAAATGTTTCGACCGTCTTTGGAATCCCTGGGAATCCGCAGAAACGCCACGGCGCCGGAGATTGAGATCAAAGATCTGCCTATGAAACCACCACAGGAAGAAGATAACTTGGACGGTAATGTTATTTTTCCGAAGTTTGATAACAATAACAGTTTAAGATATCTCTGATTCCGAAATCGACACTTACATTCTGACGGAACAGGAGGCTCAAATGAAAGAGAAATACTGGATGAAAACGAATGGGGAAGCGATGAAAATGATTGAGCAAAGGTTGGCAGGAAATGAAGACCTTGTTCAGTTTTTGAATGAAGGAAGCGAGCGAGGGACGAGTTGGAGGAGAAGGAGAAAGACAATCCGAACAAGAAGAAGAGGAAACCGCGCGTTCGAGGGACGAATGCGGGCGGCGCGCAGCCGACTTCCGCCGCCGACGCCATCGGAAAAGTGATCCATGTGAGTGCAGGCAAACGTATCTCACTGACAGGTATTTCCAGGAGAAAAAGCTGTCCAACAAAGTCAACTACGACATTCTCAAAGAGATAGACATAAAACGAAAATTACTAGATCAGCCATCCGTTCCCAGTTCCGATAACATCGTTCAGGTTGGTTTGGCTTGATGATTCTGTCTACAGCGGCCACTTCGATTTATAGTAGTTTTTCAAAAACTCATATCGATATATTTCCCATAATTTCCCATAATCCAATAATTAACGTACCTTCGATAGAACTAGTAAGACCTCAGGCTCTTCTGTCGTTCAGTATAACGTATAAAGAGAAACTTGAATCCACAAACACAGCAGCCATCTGCGGACCTTCTTGATATACCTGATGAATATCCTGAAGTCTTAACTTTCACAGCTCTAGATTTAGTTTCGAAAGACACCATTCGAAGTGAAACAATATACTCAAAATAAGAGAGTATTGAAGTCCTCACGAATACATATCACGTTTTCAGCACATTAACGATTTGGTGAAGGTAGCTTCCAGTGATTCAAAACACACAACGGTAAGCCAAGGAAGAAAACATCTTTCAAAACCGTCTCAAGGAGATCCGTGGCCACGGCACAGCTGCGCCGGAGAATCTGACGAATCATGAGAGGTCGATGGCGCGTCGGAACGTGAAGAAATCGACGGCCGCAGTGGAACTTCAAGGCGTTCTCGACGCCGTGACGTCACTCGCCGATGATGGCGTCAAGAGCGAAGTTCTCACACCAATGTTCGAAACTCTCGGTAGATCAGTAGGAAAGCTTTCCTTTTGAGGAAAACTTCTCTGTCGCCGACGAAGAATGCCGCACGGCGCCGTCCCAGCTGTCCGGCCGAACATCGCCGCCGCCGGCAAAAAAACTCTCTTTGCCTCTGAGGAAAGGCCGTCTTCGAGTGCTGAGGCTCCCCAAGCCAGACACTGACACCTTGGTGAGTTGCACCAATATACATTATTCTTGCAATTCAAAACTTTATTCCTGAAAAGATATCCCAAAAATATTCACGATACGCAAAAACTGTTAGGTCTTCAACCTCTTTGGTTTAGGCGTTTAGTTAAGGATCTGGTATTATCACATCAGTTTTTGCATAATAAGTGCTGGTCAGACTCTCCCATCCAGGTACATAACAGCTTTTACCGCCCCAGTCAGCTCAGAGGAAATGGTTTTAAATTAATAAAAACAAAACCTTTACTGGTTTCCTTCAATTTCTTATCACATCGCATTACTAATGTTTGGAATGACATTGAACATGAATTATTGGCAGAGGAAGACAAAAAAAAATTTAAGGACATGTTTTTAGTGTATGCAGAAAATGTTGGCGTCGAGAATATTCTTTCAAGTGTTCACAGATTTGTGCCATGATCAACTTGGTTTTAAATATCTACTTATTATGGTTCTATGTTTCTTTTCTCACACAAAAAAACTTTTTTTTCTTCACAGATGGGGTTAGTTAATCCACCTAGTGGTCTTTTTCCCTCCCTGCAACATCACCATACCATCCCGATGTTGCGAAAAAATAAATAAATTGATTGCTTGATTGATAGTTTTTTTTTCATTTCTATTAGAAATGAAAAAGGAAGTATCTTTCGGCTTCTTTTTTTTTTCAAAAAACTTGGGTTAATACGTGAACATAAGATTTCAGCTCAAATCGCCGACAGACGTGAAGATTCCGATTGAAGCTGTCGACTCAGTCGTTGGAAAACCAGCAATCAAGTCACGATATAATCGATTGAAACCGAATTTAGCACCTTCAGCAAAACCAGCTAAACCTCCGGTCGCTGAAAAGGTTTTTTTTTTCAAACTTTTTTTTTGATATTGAACTACTTTTAAGACCGAAAGAACAGAAAATGCTGATGATGAGAAGAGTGTATCGACGAAAGAAGCGGAATGTCCTCAGTTCGAGGTACAGATAATCATCCTCAAAAATTGTATTCCAATGAGCCGTTCAGAATAAAAAGAGCAGCGACTCTTCTACGAATACCTGCGCTGAGACCAAAACTGTCACGAAATCGCGTTATGTTCGAGCGAAACCAAACACTGGTTTGGCCAAAATGGTTACGAAAAGCCCAGTGAAAAATGTCGAGGTTTTCTTAGTTGGTCTTTTTTCAGTGTTTAATCATTTGCTTTCAGGCCACACCTGTGGTGGCCGTAGAAGAGCCACAGGAGAAGAAGTCCAAACGAAAGGAAAAAATCGCCGAAGACCCGCCGCGCCGTTCCTCTCGCCGATGATTCCGAATGAAGTCGATGTTATTGGCTTCAACAGTTTCCAGAAATCATCAAGATTTATGCATAGATTAGAGTATTTTAGTGAACCTTTGGCTGTTATCTAACTATACCTCCTGTTAGCTCTGTTTCTTTTCTTTTTATTGACTGTTCCCGCTTCCTCTGTTCGAATTTGATTATTTTTCGAAATGAAACATTCATACATTAAAAAAATTGAACAACTATTTCTTAAATTTCGAAAAATGATACTCTAGATGAACTTGTTCGCAAGCGCGAGAACTTTAGCGAATTGGGCGTTGTCACGTTTGCCGAGGAGCCTGGTGGGAATGGGAGACGTGACGCGGTTGCCGAGAGGATTTCCTGAACGTTCTGGAAGTCATATGGCTGAGGACGTTTGTGAAAACCTTCTTCGTCGAGAAGGACGATATTGTTGGTGTCTGTGTTCGGAACGCCGTGTTTCCTGTAGTTCACGTGGGTGTTGGCGCCAACAACATAGGCCTTGCGCATTTGGCCACGAATCGCCACAAGAATCTTCAAAAATAATTTCTTTTTTTTTTGGTTCAAGAAGTTTGTTGGAGAATTATTTTTAAAGTTTCTACAGCTTCTACAGACAAGAAGCCATGAAATTATAAGGAGAATTTCGCAAAATGTTGCAGAAAACTGTCATAATCTGAATCCGGCGGGACATTTTCTGGGGCATATGATATTTTGACATACCTTGTCGCCCAAAACCGCATGCGGCATGTGACGTGAGCGGAGGCCCTGCTTGTAGACGTGGATACAGTAGGCGAGTTTTCCGGCGGCGTCGGCCTCCTTGCCGAGCGCCGAGTTGTCGACGACATTCAGACGCGTCCGTCTGTGCACTCCCATTGTCGGGGGTCGCGTCCGATGCTTCGAAAGTTCATACCTCAAAAAAGGTCCCTTTCTCATTGCTTTTGCGACCACAGTTGGATTTACAGAGAGTTTGAAACGAGAATTTTATTCGAATAACTCTATCTATAGAAAAGAGCAACGGAAAAATCACAGGAGAACAAATAAACAAAATAAAATGAAAGATTTGGACAACTACAATTGTCAATCTTCTGAAACGAAATCTGAAAGTTCGGAAAAGGAATTTGCGGAAAATCAAATTGAGCTTCGGTCTAAAACTGAAAACAAACTATAAAATTGTATGTGTGCGAGAATAGAAGCTTGTGCAGGTTAAATCTTCATCTATTCCTTTATCTATAGCTTCCAAATATGCTTGGGCAAATTTTCGGAAAACTCAAAACGTTAATCTTAGAAGGAAATTCTCTACGAAACTTTCTAAGCGATACAGTCACGACTAAGAAAATGATAGCGTCCACAAACTGAAATGAGAAAATTCTCTTTCCATATATGCCTTGTCGGGAGCAAATCAAACATAGTAAGCGCCATTCCAAACTTTTGACTTCCGGATCTCCGGCGTCGCATTTTCCATTTGATAAGGACAATGACGGCATCCGTTGCCACAGCACTTGCCGCGGTACAAATGGTGCGAAGTGGTGAAGACTACGTAGCCGGTCATCGGGTCCAGGTAACTCAGCTTCCTCTCGTTGATCGCCTTCAGATGAGCCAGGTAGATGGTCCTTTCCTGGCTCGTCAAGCCGTTGTAGTCGTTCCAAGGGACCTTGCACTTGTTGATCGCAGCTTCGTAAAGTGTGTAGTTGGCCACCATTTCTCCGTCTTTGTACTTTTCTAGAGCAAATCCATTTCCCGCCTTTCTTGGTGTGTAATAGGCAGGGGCCGCTTCTTTTGCCGAGAGACGGATTTGACTTCTTGGTGTAACGATGACATCATCTCTTTGGAAGTCCTGTACGGCGTTCGGATTAGTTTCGCCTTGGGAGCTTCTCCGATTTGGAGGTTTTGTGGATAACCTTCTCTTCGTTCTGAAAACAGGTACGTGAGAGAATCTTCGACCTTTAGAAGTTCAAAATTATCGATGTCTTCGAACTATCAAAAAAAAAATCTTGTGATATAAAATAGAACTATTTTCTTTTCTAATGCTTTGATGAAGACTTTTTACTCACGTACCTATTTTTCATATCGGTTACTAATCACACTTTGAAAAAAAAATGAATGCAAAAAAGATCTTTTTGATAAAATTTGAAGCACAGACGGATGAGAAATTAATATCAAAGCAAATAAAAAATATTGAGCGAAAAAAAACTAACTCTGGCTGAGGCCACCAGCGGCCGGAAGCATTGCATCTGGAAGCGGTTAGAGGCGAAAGCACGTTAGATAGAAGACGTGACATCCCACTACAGCTCGCTATCGGAGCAATAGACATTTCTGAAATCGTTATAGCGATAATATCAGACAACAAAAAATCGTTAAAGAACTTTATACTTACCCAGCACAGCTTGAAAAAAGGATTTCTAAACTACTCTCAATAAAAATCATTATGAAGGTCATAAGCTTACTCTTGCGCAAGTTACAGATTACTCGAAAACTTTTGAAGAACAAAAAGGTTAAATCATTTAAATGTACAAAAAGCCTTTCGTGGGGTTCGATGCTCAAGGTGTGAACGGCTTGACTGTGCCCACAGACGTTACACCTCAACCTACGTCAAAAAGAAAATCTTCCGCGTCCAATTTTTGTACTTTTCAAATTTAATCGTTTTTTTTTATTTCGTCGTCAATTTAGAGTTAAATTACTTCAAAGAAAATTTTCATAAAATTTCAGGTTGAAGACTTTACGTATTAAGAAAAAAGTGATTCCCTTAAAAAGGAAGTTATCTTTTATTTTTGATTTTGACCGTTCTCAGCAGGAATGTAAGAGACTCGAAAGTGAAGTTCAGATATAAGCAAACAAGTTAAGACAAGAAATTTTTTCCTTTACTCTGATCTATCCCGATGTTATCATTTTCTAATTTGTTTATTTTTCAAGTTCAGCAAGTGCTCAAGGCGATGTCAAAAAATGAATCGTCAACATAGTTTGAATTACGCTTCTGATTCTCTCCGCCGCCGTGAATTTGTAAGTTTCAGGTCCTTGTTTTTAACTATAAGTTTCGTTATTCAATGTTTTCATTCAATTTCTTGCAGCAACAATACCCGTGGTACATACAACAAATGTTCAAGGTTTTCGAATTGGTCTATTTCATATGTATGACAATATTCACGTTCTTCTCACAGTTAGTGAAGCGCGTTTACAGAACGGTACCAACAAAACATTTTTTCATTCAATGAACTTATTTTCAGTATTGCAAAAAGCAGGTGATCCGATATGAACATATCCCACTGTCTCCATTGACTGCCCATCGTTTAAGTAGGATTCAGGAAATGTTTGAAAGAAAATGGACGAACTTTTCAGCGTCTGTGAGGAAGAAAATTATGGTGCTAGATTTGGACGAAACTCTAATTCATTCCCACCATGACGGCGTAGTACGACCAATGGTTAAGCCGGGCACTCCGTCAGATTTCACTATCAAGGTTTCTTTTATAACGATTTAGAAAACTATGAAAGAACTTGTTAAGGTTGTGATCGACAAACATCCAGTCAAATTTTCGGTTCATGAGAGACCGCATGTAGAGTATTTCTTAGCCGTTATCAGTGAATGGTTGGTTCTCTTTTCTGTTGAAAAGTAAATGTTTGTGCCGTGTTCAAAGTAATTTCCGCGAAATGCAAAATGGTCTCTGACCCTCCAAAATTTAGTTATCTTTCTCTTTCTCTGACAGCTATTTTGAATTTCGAGGAATCACTTTGAACACGGCATTGAATAAGATGTATCCTCTCATTTTTATTGTTAATTTGTTTGCAGGTACGATTTAGTTGTTTTTACGGCAAGTATGGAAGTTTATGGGTCCGACGTAGCGGATAAGTTGGACCGCGGACGCGGAATACTCAATCGAAGGTCAGAATTTGGGATAAATTTTCTTGAGGAGTTTGAAAATTCTCAGATATTTCCGGCAACATTGCACTATGGATTATGGCGGCTACACGAAGGACCTTTCAGCTATCAATCCAGACCTTTCTTCCATTTTCATCCTTGACAACTCGCCAGGCGCCTACCGCAAATTTCCACGTTAGTTTCTTTTATTTTCTACGCAAATAGTTTCATAAACTTTAGGTGAAATTTTTTTCGAAAAGGTCTCGTTCCCGAGTTTCTCAAGACAAGATAAAATTTAACATGACGCTCTTTCTTCCAACTCCGCCCCAAACACAAATGGCACAAAAAAAGTCTGCTCTTAATTAATTTAAGTCAAAAACGATAAAAATTTGTTGGCCACCTATGTATCGAGAATAGAATTGGAAATAGAAAGATCTGAAACTTTTCTCTAAAGGCAGAGGAGCTAATTAAAAGGTCCGGAATCAATAAGTAAGGTTATTTATTCAGAACGGGTTGATGCTTCCGACACTTTGAAACGTTGGACGAATATTAGAAAAACCAAGTATCTAAATAGAAAAAGAGCAAATTAAACGTTTATTGTGAAGATACGACTGGAGAAAGTGAAGAGTTGGCTTCTAGACAACGCGATTCCGATTCCGTCGTGGTTCTCGGATCCGAACGACACATGTCTTCTGGAGCTGCTGCCGTTTCTCGACGCCCTCAGGTTCACTTCAGACGTCCGCAGCATTTTGTCACGCAACCAGCAGGGCTTCGCCCAGAACTGGTAAACCTTTTTCTCGGCCTCTTTATCAAAATGTTACACACGTTCTTTATGACTCGTTCCCTATTTCACGCCGGTTTTGCTTCGCAGTATACTAATTTCAATATCATTTCAATCCTTTTGTTCACTTGTTCTTTTTCTTTTTTTTTCACATTATCCTTTTTTGTTAGTCTTGAGAATTTTAAGTAAGTTCAGCTTGATTCGGGTTCTCCGCTGTTCATTTATCAAATAGTAGAGAGAAATCGCAAAGTTCTAGTTGGGTTGCTTTTAGAATACGTTGTAGTTTTGGGACGTTTTACTTGAATTATGTTTTTCTCTGTGTATCTACTGGTATCTTTGGAACGAAAAATGCTCCTTGTTTCTGAAGTTTCCTAAAAAATAGTCTAAAAACAAAAAAAAAAGATGAATGGGAAAAAGAAAATCAAAGTTTAAGAAGAAAAAAAACTATATCTTTTTGATTTTCATTGTTGGACACCTCGGGCTGCAATATATAGAATCGCACTATTGGCTGTTTCTCTTCACAGATATCTCTACCAAACGGTAATCTTTCAAATTTACAGTAATCTTGTTTTTGATTATCTCTTTTGCATTTATGTTCTTTTTTTCATTTGAGAGAGGCACGTTATGTACCTCGTCAGAATAAAAAAAATTGAAAAGGGAGAGCCTCAAAAAGTCGAGAAGTTTTTGTTGTCATGGGAACGAGGTCACTGTCGCAATTGGATGTTTCTAGCTCATCCAATAATTTCCGTTGCACTGAGAGAAGCATTAGAGTTCAGTTTGCAGGAAAAAATAGTTCTTCCAGCAACACTTGTTCTCCATTTTGAGCGAACATGGGGACTGATTTGAAAAGGATGTATTCAGTTTTTATAAAATTCGAACAATAGAAACAACTGTTTATTTTTACAATATTGCCAACATCCGTAGATTCTACGCTCAAGCGTTGAACTTCAGTAGTCGAGCATGTCACGTTTCATCATTTCGTTGAATCGTAACATTCGGCATCTAAAAACGTTTATTGTTCAGAAATTGTATAATGAGGCAAACTTTTTTATAAGCAAAGTAGACTTTTGAAAATTGAGCTCAATAAGAAAGCTCCCATTTGAAAAAAATTCTATCCATTTTGTGCCTTTCAAATGTGATTTAGCGATTTTAGTTTTACCATTACTCGCTTATTACTTCACAAGGGAAATAAGTTGGTTTTCATCTTTAATACTTCAACTTCACCGCCCGGTGCAAATCAAAAATACTTTTCATAATTCAACGGATTTTCATAAACGTCCGCAAATCTCTCAGAGCGAATTTTCTGTGAATTAAAATTTTTCACAGTTTATTTTTCCTAGTTTTTTGATTTCATAGGTCAGAATGATGACAAAAGCTCTATCTTTTTTTCACGAATAGCTTTTCTGCAATGAGGTGAGCGCAAACCTCTCTGGATAGAAGATGCACCAACTGGTGACTGAAGGAGCCAAAGCTCTGGTGTCGCGAGGTCCAAGTCCGCCGTTAGGAGCTGCTCCCAATTCAGCCGCCCACAAGCAAATCAGCAGCATCAACGCGATCAGCCCTCGCATCTAAAAAAAGGCACGGATGGAAGCAGAGACTTCAGCTTTTGTAATGATAGTATCGTATGTTCGAAAAATAAGAAAATAGGATAATTCCAATCTGTGAAGACGCAATGGTTCGGAAAAATTGTACTAAAAAGCGCCCCGGCCAAAATCTTTCAATTTTTTTTTCTCAGTTTTGCCTTCATCTCATCAAAGTTACGAGTTATTCATCCTTATGGACATCAGGTCGTGAAATTCCCATGCATGATTAAAACAAACAGTTATGAAATGAAGAGAAATAAAAGGGATACAAGTATTTTGAAGGCGAGCGCGAAAAAACTCTCAATATGAAAAGAAAACTATTTTAAAAGTTAGATAAAATATTTTTCCGCCTGGTTAATGTACCCAAGTTAATGATGACAAATAAGTTTGTAGTGAGATCGAAAGGTATACCGATTTGATAATAATATAGATGAAAAAAAGACAATTTTAGTTTCCTGCACGGCAGTTCAGCGTCAAAAACGATGTATAATATGCGAAATTGGAATTTTCAGTGGCCCGGCTCAAAAAGTAACTTTTGAAAAACTTTCTGTTGTTCCTCAAGTTCGACGTTCGCTTCTTTCGGCTAACTAGGAGTGCAGTTGGCATGTGCTCAATGTCTAATTCCAAAATAATTTTTTTTTTTCACGAGTTGGCGTCACTTAATTCTGTTTCTATCATAGAAAATGAACTGGACATAATCTCAAAACGGATGGAAGTCGCACCTTGTCGACAGAAAGACTGAACTTGACGCTCATAACTGCACGCAGTTATAACTCTTCGTACCAAGAATAATATATTTTTGGGCTCAATTGCCAAATTGTGAAATTTGATTTGAACGAATCAATGACGTGAAATTCAGCTTGACGTCTTTCCAAAACAAAAAGTGCGCACTCCTCAGCTTTCGTACTTTTATACGGTCACCTTTCGGGAATTGTAGCGAAGAAACATGAGGAAAAAAACGTGAGTTTCTCGTTCCGTGGGAAAAATTGGTATGTTTTGGAAAAATAAAGGAGCTATTGGAGTCGTTTGGACTCATTTCGTTCGTCTTTTTCGTAACTAATGGAATGAACTCCTCCAAATGAAGATGTTGATCATGCTTCCTGTGGCTGAAAGCCTATTTTCTCGGTCATAATAGTTACGAACTAAGTAATTTATTCCAGTGGGCCGAAAAACTTTGAAAGTTGCTGAATTCGAGTACTGAATCTCATCTGGCGAAAGTACCGTTCTTCACGAGAATGGGACTCTTCAAGTCGAAGTTGGAAGTTCGAGACTTTTGTCAGACATATTGAATAGATTTTCAAAAAACTTATGAAATTTTTGGAGTTACAGATACGTTTTTTTAAAAAAACAACGAATTATTGAAGTATGAATTCTCGCAAAAAAATGTTTTAGCGCAACAATAAGAAGACATATAAATGAAGCTTCTAATCAATTATAGAGCTATAAAAATTGTTTTGTACTCGTTTTGATTGAAACTCGAGGCTGGAAGCATATATTATTCAACTTCACGCGGCGCCTTGGGCAGGGGCTCAAATTTCAACAAAGCCGAGAAATATATATTTTTTTTCTATCTAAATGTGGCTCAATGAAAATAGAAAAATTCCAAGTTTGAAATTGAGGTTTAAAAAGGAAAGACAGCATAGAAAGACTGTGGGTCTTGTCAAATAGAAGGCGGATTCGGTCAGACTCCGCCCTCGAAATCTCATTTTCCCTGTGTTACTCCAAATATGTCTTTTCTTCTGAGAAGCACAACAATGGGAGGAAATGACCTGCCAAGTCGTGAAATATTCAGTAATCCTACAATCCCACGAGGAAAATCCCATCAGCGCTGAGCTTTTTTCGCTGCCTTCATTGTTTTCCTTGCATTGTTCGAATTATTTCATCTCGATCAAATGAAAGATTTCAATTTTATCTGAGGAATCTTCCTGAATTTCAACTCAAAAGTCTAGAAGAATAAGAAAGAAAATGGTGTGAAACGCGTCTGAAATCAGCAAGTCTCATCATTTTTTCGATGAAAGTCAGACAAAAGTGATTTTCCAATGGATCCTTTCTGATGGCCATAGTTCAACTCGACGACCAAAGACGATATTTTGGAGCTGTCGTCACAACTTCCGATTTATCGCTCAGCTCAAAGTCGGAGCAAGTAGAATCATCGGACAATGTCGACCGGGAATGTCATGCGATAAATGTGAGAAAGTCTCATACCAGACCGATTCCCACGGAAAGCTCTCATTATGGGCATTTCTGTGTGGAGAGCCAGTCACCTAAGCGAATTCTTCTTACGCCCAATTGATACCTGAGTTTCGTGAGAAACAAATCGTAAGAGGAAAAAAACTCGAACTTAATTTGATGAAAGGGAGAAAGAAGCTCTAGGAAGTTATGAGCTAAAACTTTGCTACTCAATTTCCGGCTCTCCGAGGTCCTTTTATGGGTTTGATACGACTCGAGCGAAGTTTTCACTTTTATTTATTAGACTTTAACAGCAAAATTGCGTAGACGCAAACAACAAAAAAAAAACAAAACTATTCAAACAACTAGGTAAAAAGCTTTGAAGATGTTTCCACTGAATAAGAGAATCACCGTATACTTGCTACCGTGGTTGAAAAGCGAAAAAATAGACATGGATCATCGGTAATAAATTCTAGGAAATCGAAGAATTAACAAAGAGAAATTTTCTTTTCTTTACCGGTTTAAAACAGACGATTTCTCAGAGCTCAGAGGTTAAAGGGGATGAAGGAAAAGAGAAATTGGAAAAAACAATACGAGAACAAACGTATTTTAGGAACAGAACGGAAAGAAATAACCAATACAAAGAGAAGGATTTCATTTCTTATTTACAGAAGGCTATCAACGGATTTTCGGTTAAAAACTAGAAGATAGTTGAGTTAAAAGCTTTTTCATACCAGGAACAGAAAAATCCGTTAAAAACCAGACTGGAGCATGAGAGGAAAAACAACGGAGCCCCAAATGCACATTGTCGAGGAGAGAAGAACGTATGTATATATATCTTATATTGCTTTGCAAAACAAAAGTTAACTTGGTTAAAAAAGTATTAAAACTCACTGACCACGGTTGGAATAAAGTAACAAAGAATGAAGAAGTGAAATAGCCCTAAATCAAGTGAAACTGAATGATTTTTACAACGAAAACACGGTAAAATTTTTTAACGCGTTGAGGATGCAATATAATCAAACAAACAAGGTTCGGACAAAAAAAACACTAGAGATACTTTCAAAGGCCACCGTTTAGATACTCGAATTGACAATAAGGAACAGAAATGAAGAAAAGGTGGAAAGCAATCACTTAAGAGCCTTGGGCAAAGTGAGCTAGCGGAGTTATTATGAAGGTTCAGAGAAAAAAAAGAAGTGGCTATCGCACGAGCCACTCAGTCTTTGAGGCAGAAGTTGGTGATGTTGTAGACAGAAATGTCTTCGTGGATTCCACAGCAACTGAAAAAAATTACATGAATGAGCAGAATAGGACGAATTGATGACACCCAGAAGGCGCATTGAATGATCAAAAAAGTTTGGAAGAGTTTCATAAATTCAGAAAATCTTTTTTCAAATATAAATTGAGCAAATGAAAGAATTTATGTGATACAGAACCTGTGTGGAGGAAAAACTGTCAAAAATAACGCGCAATAAGGACAAATGCCTAGACCGGCGCGATAGAAAATCTAGTGGCGATACATTGACGAGCACGAAAACATGTCGCTCTGCCCTCTGGTGGATCTCGCGTTTTCTCGCTTTTCTGCCGCATCAAAAACATTTTGAAAGTTTTTAAAATGCGAGGCCGCGCCAATAAATGCAAGACCGGCGCGGCTACAAAGCAGCACTTTTGCGAGGTCGTCAATGTACCGCCACCGACCTCGCGTTTATCTCGTCAGTTATTCTTAGTGTAGGTGTGGTTATTGTAGTCGATGGGGAAACAAGTCGATTTCTTTCTTTTATTTTTCTAGCGTTCATGATGGTGGTTTCCTTGTATTCAATAACCCCTGCCATTTCAACGTTAATCATTACAGACTCCTCCCAGACTCCAAAAGCACTCAAATACAAAAACGCGTCAAGTGACTCAATATTTGATGCATTGTGACATTTTTCTCCGTAAGTTTTTTGAAATTTTATTCTTGAACTAGGTCGACAACCAGGAGCAGCGAAAAGAAAAAAAACTTTTAAACACAGAAAAAGCCCAATTCGAACTGGAAGGATTTGGAATTTGTTTGATTCAAAAAATTTTGAAATTTATTTCAAGTCCAACTTTATGAACTACCAAGAATATTGTTACAAGAACGAGTTCTTGTCGAAAAAAAAAAGACTTACAGATTCTTGATGGTGAAGGAGCCGTTGTAACTGGCTCCCGACCAGCCACGGAGGTAGCACGGTGCGCTGAACGACGCCTTTGCCAGCTTCAGAAGGCCTTGGTAGGTACCCAGGACGCCGCCGCCGACAGCCACAACTGGAAAAAAAAGTGATTAGATCAGAAATATTGTTCGAGCTTACGGAGGATCATGAAGTTGACGATGAGAACCGTTTTGTCAGTGCGTTGGCAAACTCTGGAAAATCCATTGAATACTTTAAGCTTGAAAATTAGCCTTCCTTTCGGTGTTCAGAAATGAAGTGAAAAAAGAAGTTAAAAATCAGACCACGTTCAAATACGCTTAACGAGCAAGAACTTCTTTGAAGTTCAACTGTGAAACTTTTGTGAAAGTCGAGAAGCTTTTTTGCCGAATAAAAAAGGTTTGATTTCAACCTCAATGTTTTCCTCCACTATTCAAAAAAATGCCTTTGCGAAGTTCATTTTTGGAGCTTTTCTTCCCAAGCTTCATTTTGATGGAATCAGATATTATTTGAAAGGAAACTAACTGTTTGAAAGTAGGATAATTTCCTTTGCGCCACTCTTCTTCAGTAGCCGCTTCGCACCACAAATAGAAAAGCGAAGGCAAAACGACACAGCCCATAGGAATCGTCGAAGCTCCTGCGAAACAATCCACATCGGTTTCAATCAAACATCCTTTTTCTCTTTCAGAAACATGCGAGTATCAGAAAACTTTAACTAATTTTCATTCACAAAATGAAACCGACCGACGAGATTCATGACAGGACCGAAATCCGGGACCGTGAGGCCAACAAACAGGACCAAAATCATGACGACAGTTCGGGTAATGACTCGGCCAGGTCCAAAGCCTGAACAACGTGGGTAAACGTCTTAAAGAAACGAATACATACTGTGAGAAATTTTGAGGTAATGCTCGAGCTCCTGATTGAGAGGATTGATGACGATGACGAGGGTCATGATGCAATGGATGGCGATCATCAAGTTGGCAGCCAGCTGAAAAAGCATCATCATATTCGCTCCAGCGAAGAGCGAGTCACTTGAAGCCATTGGGTCTGGATACTGTAGATGACCGAGTCGTACATCGACGTACCGTAGACGACGTAGGCGAAAACGGACAGCGGCATGTAGAGGAAGACGACACCTGGGAAAAATAAAGACTCAGCTTTTTGGAAAACTTTTAAAATATGCTTCGGTGAAAAATAATCTTTGAATATTCTTTGTAGAAAAAAGTTCATCTGTTAATTCCCCTTAGTTTTTTTTTCATTAACCGGAAAGAAAAATGAAGTTTTTTGCTTTAAAAGAAAAATAAATACCAATAAAGCCGACGAGGACCGACTTGCTGAACTCGTGGGGATTTTCCATGTCGTGCTGGATCGTCGGAAAGACGTAGTGGCCAGAGAAAGCGAACAGAAAGATTCCTGCAGAACCGGCAGAGGTCGGCTGCAGCTCGAGGAAAACTGACCGAGGGAGAGAATCATACTGTCAGGAGTGGTTTCCGGATAGGCTACGCGGGGGAAGCATTTCGGTGAGTCGATTCCTATGCCGATGAGGATCGAAAGCACCGCCACCACTGTAGTTATCATCGCCAGCACGATGACTCCCCTGAAGGGATCACTTCAGTGAAGTACAACCATAGATCCTTTCGCCCGCACGAGAGAAAAAGAACTAATGAACCAATAAAGCTCTCAATTTTTCATTGAATATCTAAAATTTTCGGGCTGATTTTAGTCTAGATGGAAGCGAAGTAACATACATGATGAAACTTTAAAAAAAAGTTAGAAAATTTTTTCAAGTTTATAGAACAGGGTAATTCGGATAAATTAACTAACCAGAACTCGCCAGGACTGCGAAGGAAAGTGAATGGAAGAATCACAACCGCCAAAGTGATAATGACCTAAAATTATTGTAAAATGAGAAAAAATTTGATGAGAAGAGAAATAAGTTGGAAAAGACGTCACCATGCAGTTGGACATGGTGTGGAAATCGAAAACGTGGGTGACGAAGTAGTGGATGATGTTGGCAGAGAGAAGCAAGTAGACGACGGAGATACCGAAAAGCGTCACGTTTCCCAAAATCGAGGTGAACCGCCTGAACAAAACTTTTTTTTCAAAAAACTTGACAAATCCTTCAATAAAATAACAATAACTAACTGCATCATGTTGCCCATAGTTCGCTTGGCCATTTCAGGGAACGGTTTTCGGCAAACGCCGATATGAGGGTTCCTGAGCCCCAGAAAAATTACTTGGTTTTATTTACTAATACCTCTCCATCATCTTGCACCAGACTTTGCCCAACTGATAACCGGTGTACTCGAAAATAATGGCAATGGTTACCATGAAAATGACACCAGGGATCAAACCTGGAGAAATTCTCATAATTTATTTTAAATATCTGAAAACGCAAACCGCTGAGCTTGAAAGCAACGGGCATAGCGACAACGCCTCCGCCGACCATGTCAGCGACGATGAAAATCGCTGCCACGACCCATCCGATTTTGTGTCCGTGCTGATGAGGCGCTAAAAATTGCATAGACTTCTAAAAAAAAGCAGATTATTGGGTTCTCAGAGAAGTTAAGAGAACCTTTTTTCAAGTTATATAACAATGAGAACTTTCTCAACTCACCAACAGCTCCGGTGGACATGAACATCTCCGAATAGCAGTTGCTGATAAGAGGTTGCCCGGGCACTCCGTTACTCGGAAGCAGCCGGTGATTTGCGTCGCCGTTCATGTTCAAACCTTAAAAAACCGAAACTTCCATTTCTGCTATCGCGAAAACTCAGAAAACATAGTTTGAAGTTTTTTGGGATTTCAAAAATGAACTAGAAATAACAAGCGAATTGAATTTAGATAGCGAAGAAAAAATACCGGTGTGTTGGAATATGTGTATAGCAATTGGAAAAAAACTAAAAATTTTATCAATGAGCGGCTAATGAACTTTAATAAGAAAAAAATATTTGAAAAAAAAATTTTTTTAAATACGCAAGTGAAAAAAATGGGGGAAAAAAATAAAAAAATTCAAAATTGTGATTAAAAAAAATGAATCGATAAACGAAAAAAATTCAAAAATCTTTTTGATAGAGCACATTTTTCACTATTTTCTGAAAAAAACACCTCGGATCATAGTACGTACTTAATTCTCTTACTATTATATATTTATAAGTCATTTTTCATTTGAAGAGATTGAGTAAAGAAAAAAAGAAGAAGGGATCATTGGATGGTGGACGTGGATAATGAACTTAAGTTATGAAAATTGTTTCTTCCACGTTGATGACACGCGTCTGACTATGTGTCACGTTCACGTCGGGAATATTTTTTTAGAATGTCTTTGTATTCACGTTAAAAAGTTCAAAAAATATGGCGCCTAGAAGTCATTCATTGAGCGGTTGTTGAAAAACTTTGGAAAGGTTGGTTGGTTTAAGAAGAAAAAAGAAGAATTTAAAACTGTCGTTTTTTTGTAATCAAATTTTTTTCCGAAAAGTTTGAACAAATAGAGTTTTTTATTTTTTTAGAATAATTTCCAAATGTTTTTAAATCATTTTTTTAACTCAGAAAAGTTAATTTAAAAAAATTGCTATAACTCAATTACTAATTTTTTTGCTATATAAACTGGAAGTTTTTTTCACTTTGAAAGTTAATTGGAGCGTTATTCAAGAGATGGCGCTCCGGAAGTAACACTAATTAAAAGTTTCTGGCTGAAGAAAGGCAAACATAGTTAGAGCTTTTGAAAAAAGAGGCATGAGAATAGGTTCGTAGAATATTTTGAAAAAAATTTTTCATCATTTTTTGGGGGGAAGCATATGCTGTAGAAAATAATTTTTTAGCGCTGGAGCAAAACCTATAGAGAAAGCGGTGAAAACGGTTGAAATGATAAATTGAAAAGACAAGAAACGGACGATAGACGGTTGCAAAAAAAGCGGGGCAAGCACATCGAGAAGGCTGAAGACGGCGCCGCCCCGAAATGACAATGACGAATCGACGTCAATGACGAGGACGACGACTGTGAGGACGTCCGTTTCGGCTTCGACTTATTCGCCAACTTTCCTCTTGAATCTCCAGGACACCACGTCAGTGGCAAGCCTTTTTTGTCTTTCCGTGACGCTATATTGCGTGAATTCGTTCGGTCATCATTTTCAATATTCTTTGAAGTATGCCCTGGCGCAATGGTTTGGCAACATGGCGCAAGGATTTGGCAACCCTGGATCAGCATTTTGAACATGGTATAGAACAGAGGTGGAGGATGGGTGCCCACTGGCCCCCCCTGCCTGCCAAGCCATGAACGCCCAAAAGCAGAAATGACTTTTTCAATTATAAGTCAATGACTCCTTTCTATCGCTTGGCCCAATGGCTGCCCTTGGCCGCCAAGCCAAGGGCTGCCTTCCCAATCCTCCACCTCTAGTATAGAAAAGTTTCATCGTTTTCCACGTCATTAGTGGGGAAAAATTATTCAGGTAAGACAGAGATGAGCCAAAAATAGTCCATCCCCTTTTGAGAAAAAAAGTACAAACTCTATATCAAAGACTTCTAGATTAAAGTGAAAAATTTTTTTCTAGACTATTCCAGACTTTTCGAAAGTATGTTCAGACTTGTTCCATCTATTTTTTTGAATTTGAAACTGCGGCTGTTCTGAATATTGTCAGTATCTTTGTTAAAACGACTACACACGTGGAGTTGACAATGATGAAACTTTTGGATCTCAAAGCTTTTATTCATCGAAAACGTCTTGTCCGAAGATTGAAAAAAAAAATTAAGAATGCTATCAATCTTGTCTTCATACTTCTTAAAATTCAAAAGAAGTATATATAGTCTGTTCAGATTTTAAATGACATGTCCCCGCTCAAGCTCCGCTTTTAATGGGGCTTGCTACACGTTCCACCTAAATGATCACGGTTGGTCAGAAAAGTCGAAAGAGCGATTTTGAATTTGGCGCCAGATCAGAGAAAAAAAAATTGATTGCCGCTTAGACGGTAATTCATCATCGGTGGCGTTTGTACGCGTGGCTGGGGGCGAGAGAGAGGCTTGTAGAACGAGACGCAGAGACCGTTAGTTTCAACTTTTTACCGTCGGTTTCTTTTCCGGCAGCATCTTCTCTCGTTTTTGCTTTTCGCGTCGCAACCATCAAAACGCAACTTTCCACGTGGAAATCGACCGATCGGGTTCAGATTCCGAACGCCTCCTCCAATCCTTTCGCTGCCTTTTTTTGCTGCCAGCTGACCCATACAGTCTGCCCATCGATCTATACCCTTCCGATGGAGAAAAACTCTCAGGTTCAGTGAGTTCGAAATGAGACGTGTTACATCCTGACCAATATAACTCTGTACGTCTTATCCGCTGCGCATATTTCAGCACATTTGGCTCATTATTGGCTTCGATAAAATTGAAAGGAAATTCCGGGGAAATTTATCTTTTTAAAAAGCTTTTAGACCACGAGACAGAGTTTCTTCGAGTTCAATACGTTCAAAGGTGGGGTATTCTGAGAGAGTATGTGGGAAGGCATAATAGAAGCAATCCAAATTCTGATCATGATATAGATCTCGATTTTCTGAAAATCTGGCAGAGCATAATCGACCTCAGGAAGTTCAGTTGAAAAGCATATGAGGAAATGACGTTAATGAATGCGGGAAAATATTTCGAATGCAACGGGAAAGAACAGTAGAGCAGACTGACTGGAAAATAATTTGCTCAGCTTTTCCGATTTGACGTTTTATTCAAGCTCAGACATGCTGTTGGTGTAGTTTTTCCGTTTGCGGTATTAGATACAGGTTTACGATCTTTCGAGTGAAGGGCAAAAAGTTGAGAGTTGAGAAATTAAAGGAAATTAGATGAGAGGTTCTTCAGAACCTCCTGATCACAGAAGCGTTGAGGCTGAATGTAAAACTCGTCTTTTTTGGAGACGTGGCGCTTCGAAGTTGCCATCCTGAAGCCGAGCATGTTTCAGTACTGGATGGCCAATTTCCAGAGGCTACATCTCCAGAACGAGGCGAGATATAAATTCTGTTTGAACTAGTTTGTGATCAAAAGCTTTTGAAGTACCGTTCAGCCAAGTTTGATCAATTTCTCAATCCTCCATCATTTTCCGTTTTTTTTGTCAGATGACTGACTCCATTAACTACTCTTTCATCTGTAAATTTAGAATAACAATGCAAGTAGAACAAATATCATCAGAACTTGACAGAAAATTGTGCAAATTCAAAAAAAAAAAACCAATACTCAGAAAACTCAAAATCAGAAGTTTAAACAAAAAACTCAGGGTGAGGATCTTCCATATAATCTACTTTTTTGCGCTGATAATCCCCACCGTTCCGTAGAGCAAACAGAAACTTTAGCCGATGGCACCAATCGAAAACTCCTATATTTATTCCACGTGGTGATTTCCGATGCTTCAATAAGTTTGGCTTTGCAATCATTTTCAATCTTCAACTTTTGAGGTTCAAAGGTCGAAGAATAATGTTCACCAAAATTAAAAATCAAAAAAAAAACGGTTTAAAAAAGTCGGCTTTTGAAAAAGATCCTCAATGAAATTGATAAACTGAAAAACTGGCCATTGGAAAGCCGCTGAGGGCGAAACAAAGTGAAGAGAATAAGTTTGAGAGGACGAGCAGAGCAAAAGTCGAGATCTGTGGAAAGGAGGAGCTGATAAACAGGCCGTGGATCAGGTCACGAGAGCACATTTTGTCTTGATGTACAACACGTTCGTTGGTTTTTGCAACTAATCAGTTAGTGATTGTCTTTTAAAAACGTCCCTGTTTGAAACTTCGGCAGTCAAAATAAGTCTAACGGCAAAAATATGGCTCGTTCCGCGCGAGACGGTCACCTTTTGGAAGAGTAGCAGTGAAAACTACCTTTTGCTTTAAAAAAAAAATGCAAAAAAGACGGCGAAAAACAAAGGTCTTGAAGCGAAGTGGGGTCAAATTTGATCTAATTCTGTATACGGTCCTTTTCGCAGAAAAAAAAAGACGCAAAAAGCTAAAAATTAGCATATCGGACCATTTGATTAGAAGATTACCAAAATGGTCTGAACCAGCGATAAAAAAGGGCGAATTAGAACTCACAAAGTTCTAAACTTCTTCTTCTTTCCACAACCTTTTTTGTTATCCATTGACACAATTTTTATTATTTGTAGGTAGAATCAAACAAGAGATTAATGTGTCAAGATGAGAAAGGATGAAAAAGAAGAAACTCACATCATGGATGCGCCTTGCCAGAACCGACAGAACTTGACTCCAATCCCACTGAAGCTTGCAGAGACAAGATTCCGTTGAACACAGCCGCGAAGGACGTCCCAATTCCGCGCAGACTTGCTTGATAATAGGCAGAAAAGGAGGCCGAGTAATTAGAAAAGAAACCGACGACGAGCAGCCGAGCAGAGGACGACAAATCTCCCTTCTTTTGGCCAAAAAAGAGAGAAGGAGTGGGCGGAGCCGGAGTTGTCTCAAGTGCTTCGTGGCGAAAACAGGAAATGTTCGGGTGCAACAGTTGTAAAATCCGCCGTGCCAGCCTAGCCGGATCAATCACTTTTTTCCACCGGAGCATTCCCGTGCACCAGGCATTGTCGGTGTGGCCAGTAGGAAAAATAAGCTTCAAGGACCTAGATTTATATCAATTAGATATTTAAATCAGCCGAGATTTATATCAGTTAACAATTTAGTTTAATAGTCGGAAAGGAGCTCTCATCATCAAGCGTTGTTTGATTTTTTTTTTTAATAAAAAAAACTCCGGTTTGGTTTGATCTACTTTTTCAAACATGGTCAGAATTAATCAGTAGGCCTTGAGGGTCTAAGAACCTTCAGAAAAAGTACTTGTGAAACAAAATAAGCTTAAAATATATGAACAGGTAGAGAAGTTGTAGACAAGGTTAAGATCACGTGAACTGAGTTCGAACTTTAGGCTACGAGTTTTCATTCCAAAAACTTAACTGTTTTTGATTTCTAACACGTTTGAGCAAAAAAAAGTTCACTCAATTGGAATGTTAATGAGAGGGCAAATCATTCAAAAGTCACAGGAGCCTGCCTTTATCGAGAATATCTGTTTTTCGTTTTCGACATGTTTGACCAGCCCTTCACATTGTGTGCCGAACCATGTTAACGACAAAGAGATACATTCGAGAAAACAATATTTTATTGAATTCAACAGAGTTTGAAGTTCAACTGACTTTTTGAGATAGGTTTTTTGGAAACTGAAGCTCAGTTTCAGTTTTCGGGAAAGATGATAAAAAAGGGTCTGGAATATCCTTGTTTTCATCGATTTCATCCTTGGGGAGGAATCAGATGCTGGAAAAAACAAGTTCAAAGCTTTCGAGGAACTCAGTTCAGAGGCAATTGGAAGCTGGAAGAAAACCAATAAACGAAGGAATAAATGAGGAGCGAGCACGTGCGACGCTCTTCTCATTCGCTGAACTCAAACAAAAATCTGCAGAGGTCGGACTTCCCTTTTGTTTGAAAATACCGTTAAGCGGCCTATCTTCTTCCCCCTCTTCTTACCTGCCGACGACCAAGAGGAATGCCAGCCTCAAAATAAGAGGGGAGAAAGAAAACCGATGTTTTCGATGAATCAGAATGACGCTAGAGGAAATATTCGTTTTCTGTCAGTTTATTTCCAATCGAGCAAACTTTTTAATAGTTCGTATACCGCTCGGTTGAGACTATTTCTGTGAAGCCTTTATTAGCGGAACAGCGAAAATCAGATGCTCAGAAGCTTTGTATTACTTTTTGCTTCAAGGATAACGGAAAGAACCATTTTCTCATTTTTCAAAAGGACATCTTTGTTGGTTGCACCAGAAAGCTATGAAAATGGGTCTGAAGTAATCTCGCGGAGACGTAAATTATGAGGGTGGGAGGCTTTAACCCAAAACAGCGTTGGAAAGACTTTTTCGAGCGTCAAAGTCGAAATATGAGCCCGTTTCGTCTTTTTTTTCGAGAAAGATGAGAAGATTGGGTCCGCGATTCAAGTTGGAACCACCTCAAAGTGTTTGAAAGCAGTCAAAAAAGAAAGAAGGCGTAGATTGTCTCAAAAATTCAAATGTTTTTAATTTATGAACGAGCCACTCTAAGGAAAAGTGGAGCTCACACTCAAAAAAGAAAATGAGAGAAAAAAGTTGACTAATGAAAGAGCTGCTTCAAAAGCTCAACCAGAGTTTTGGAGTTTCAGAACGATTTCTACTACTTTGAAAGAAAATGTAAAACCGAAAGGACGGCCATCTTCGATTTTTATTTGAAATGAGGGAAGAAATTGGTGGTTTTTTCAACCGATTTACTGCTTTTTCGATTGATTCAACGATCAAAAGGAAGAGAAGGTTCGCTCGAATTTATGGCCAATTTCTCGGTGGCGCGACCTTTCTTTACGGCACATTATCAGCCAAGGTTAACTTAAGAGGAAAAACCGACGAGTTGTCCCAACTCAGAATTCTGTTTGAAAGATCTCTTTAAAAATTGAAGAATCGATAAAACTTTGAAATTTCCTCGAAAAAATAGAGAGTTCCGTTCTACGCAACTATAACCTAGCTGTTCATTTTTTATCACAGAGAAAGAAGTTGTTTTTCAGTTTTAGATGACAACCCTCAATAATAACAAAGCCTGATGGAACCATTAGTGAGAGACCATAATGGGAAAAATGAACAAATCGAATAAAAAGGAACTATCCTATCCACTTAGAAAATTGACTTTTCTGTTGGACCAGTTCAAGCAATCGAAAGTTGTATTCTAGACTGAAAACAATGAAGGGAAGCGCGTAAATAACTGGCTTTGAGAAGTAACAAAAAATCCAGGTTGCAATTAAAAAGTATAGCGACCAACATGTGCTTTTTGTTGTTGGAAACACGAAGGGATCGAAAGACAACAAAGGCGGAAAGAGTGGAGGACTGGCGGAGGCCGCAGGCTGTTCAGACGCCCTTTTCCCCCCTTGGAGCCGCAATTTTTGAGCCATCCACTGGTCCAAGGACACCCACCCATCTGCATAATGTCGCTGCGATTGCAAACGGGCGCTCTATTTCAAAATTTTCGAGTCTTCTCCGTTTGTTTTGGCGTTATAAGTCTTAGATCGGGAAAGACGAGGCTAAAGTGCTTGCGAATTTTGTTCCGCAACCGTTGCAATCGATCAATAGACCAAGCTGGACAAGCGTGGAAACTTTTGGGCGGAGTCTTGTAGATGCATGCCAAAAGAAAAAAAGGCGGAAAAAGATTCTCCTGCTCGCGAATGAATGGAATTCGTTTGAAATCTTCAAACTTTTATCAAAACTATTCCATTGAAGATTTTTCGTTTCAATACAATCTTCCTGGTTTCAATCTCTATATTCCTGTCCTCATCGGATCCCTTCGTGGCCGAAAAACACTTCCCTAATGAATACTTTTTACAGGTTTTCTTTTTTTTTTTGACTATACTTCATAGGGAACTATAATCAATTCAGTGTGAATAATATTATACAATATTTGTATATGGTTAGTGGATAGGTGTGAGTACATGAAATAGTTCCAAGTATTCAGAAAACGATTTTCCCAGTTTTCATACAGCCTCATTCTATTTTTTTTCTGAGCTCCCCGCTATTTAAGAAAAAAAAAAAGGAAAATGGGGTCCACACAAGACGCCGAGCATCAAAAATGCAATTAGCATCGCGCGCCGCAGCGAAATCGGACATTTGAGCCTCCAAACTGTTCTGGAATGCGCCATTGGAGGGAGAAAATCCTTCTCATTAAAAAAGCCTGTGAAAACAGTGTCTGTTAACAAGTTCTACGAGATGATCCTGAAAAACGGTATTTTATAATTCCTTTTCATTTTTAAAAGCCTGAGAGCGTTAAGAGCATGATTCACTAGTTTTTAGGGGAAAAAAAAAATGAAAGAATGAACACAAATTTGACCAATAAGGTAATCTTGAAGCCAGAACGATTCTCATGCGGAGAAATAAAAAGAAACACGTCCCGATATGACGTCATCTAATGACGTCATTGAAATAATGCAGTAGATTTCAGAAGTTATCCATTGATCGGAAGAGCCACTAAAACTCAAGAAGAAAAATCACATGTGACAGCTATTTTGGAAGTTTTCGAAAAGTTTTGCGGCAAACAGAGACCTTTTTTTACAGCTTTGAACGTGAATTTTGGGCAAGGTATCCGCGAAAGTTGGAAAATAAATAGAGAAGCGACACGGAATGATCGAATCGATGCGATTCCAGGCACCATCCTCCTTTTTTTTGAGCTTCATTTTCCAAACAAACAGGCGGGATCTAACAAAACCGAACCACGAAAAAGCTTGTTTGAGCACTGCGAATAGAAAAAACTGTCTTTTTGCCAGAAGGCAACATCTAAACTTCTCGAGTTTGCTGTGTTCATCGGTAATTGGCTGAAGTTCTTTTGATGTGAAATTTTTATATTATCTCCAAAATAGGACAAGGTAAACATAGTATTTCATTTATCAAACTTCATTCACCGCTAGCTCTGGGGGAAAAAAAAGAATGCCGTGACGTGCTCTTTGTTTCCGCACAATTTCTTTCTAATCGGGAAAAAATTGAATATTGTCTCACGCGAGCGGTGAATGAATTAAAAAGAGTGTTCGGTGGTCTCAAACAGACTTGTGCGATGACTGCTTTTTGGGCGAACTACAGACTACTTATCAAATCGTTCCCTCGTGATTTTTCGAGTACTTCGAGGTAGAAGCGAATGCGGAAAAAAAAAACTAAGCGGGTGAATTTGAAATTCTTTTTGCTCAAAAAAACGAGTATTTCATGCAAGAGACTATCGCACGACCTGTTCTGTACAAGGAGTCTTTCATCAAAAGTTGGAGAGCGAGGAAATCGCGTCTGCAACGAATGTGTCATGGGGCACTTCGGACGTGAAAAGAAAAGAAAAAACGGAGCTTTGGCCGAGACGGTGCAGAAGAAAGGCCACACGGGGCAGAATGACATTTCGAGCAGAAGGAGGCGCCGTCGAGAAAGGGGGCGTGGCCGGAGACGGTCAGCGCGAAGCGGCAACGTCGAGCACCTGTGGCTGTGCCGCGACCAGGTTCTTGGCCAGAAATGGGGCGAGCGGGGGGAACGCCGCAGGTGTCGAATCTCGGCACTTGCTCGACGCCGTCAGAAGTCTGTTAATCCTCTTTTCAGAATCAATATAAAAACCTTTTGGGAGTCACTTTTAGCAAAAATCTTAAACTGATCAAATCCTAGTAAAAAAAAAACGGCTCAAAGTCACAGAATGGACCACTTTCTTCGAAGGAGTTTTTGAGACTTTAGTTTTGGAAGACTAAAAATTCAAAACGTTGGAAGCCTCAAATTTTTCAAAAAAAAAAAAAATCCAAGAATCTTTTGAACAGTAAATAAAAAGACATTTCTTCAAATCTTATTCTCCTGAACTCTGTCAAAAACCCATTGAATGCTTGAAAAAAAGAGAACTGATACAGTGTTTAGGAAGTTTCTATTATTTCACAGTGAAAAAAGGAGTAATTTTTTTTTCAAAACGTGTGCCACAAAAACTTTGAGAAATTCGGGAAAGTCTTATTTTCTGTCTTTTCTTGCAATATTTTCTTTGAAGAAGCTTTTTTCTGGCTTCATACTGAAAACTCACTTTTCTATGGAAAAAAGAAGTTCCGACGACGAAGTTTCTGAAGTCGCAAGGAAAGGTTGCTCCAAGGTAATTTCCCTGTTATTTTTTTCCGCATTGTTCTTCATTCGCGTGTAGCCAACGAAGTTGCGGTGGATTAGGCGAGGATAGACGCTTCCTGTCCGTCGATATCTGAAACTTCTTCCAGTTCCAATGAGACAAATTTCGATTTCATTCTTATTTTGGCAATATATGAAACTCTTTAATGATGCAGGCTGGTCTGTTTATTAAATGTTTTTTTATTCAAAAAATGATCTCTGAGTGTTTCTAATCGAAATTTTTGTAAAGTTTCTTTCTCACGTCACTACATTTCTTGGAAATCTCACTGGTTGGCCTTTTAGTGATCCTTTCAACACAAAAGAGGTTCTAACCTCCATCAGAGAACATGTGTTCGCGGAGGCCAGCGACGGTCAGACTTACTTCGAAACATCAGAAGTTTTTGAGAAACGACGTCTCTCTACAGTGCACTTTTAGCGCTCAGAACAAAGTCTCTTTCAGAGGCCGGAGGTTTTTTGGCACTTTTGAAAGTCCATCCTGCCCTAAGTGTTTCGTAGCAAATCTCGCGATGAAAAGCTTTTAAAAGCCATTTCGTGCAAAGTTTCAGGATATTGAAGCCCAACCTAGTATAGCAAAAAGTTGTGAAACTTTTTTTTGACATCTTCTTTCAGGTCGTCTATGTTTCCATCCAGTCATGGCCCTGATCAGTTAGGGAAAACTCGAGAAAAACCATAACATCTAACGTTTTCAATTAACTGAATCAATTAAAGTTCGAAACTTATTATTTAGAAAAATAAATGTTTTTAGGTTTAGGTGTCTCAAAACAAAATATTGTAAACCGAGAAATTTCACGAAAAATAACAGAGAAAGCTTCAAAAACAAATATTCGCTCTGAGAGATTTTCTTCTGCAGTTCTTAACTGGTCGTTGGAGAAGCAGCAAAAAAAAGGAGCCTTGCAGATTGAATAAGTATGTTAGTTCTAACTTTTTTCTTTTTTTTTTTGAGAAGATATGTATTAAAAATGAAACTTGTATTAGGGATTTTCTGACATGATACAGACACGGAATTCACGAAAATGCAGCTTGTGGTTTTTAAGGAGAGAAATATGAAATTAAAAAAACACAATGGCAGACCGCCTATTCTCACAGGAGAGTTCATGCTACTTTGCGGTTGGTAATTTCTTGAAAATTGACCAAAACACTCTTTGTTGTACCATATGGAAATCCTGCAAGCCTCAACCTGACAACTTAATAGTTTTTGCGGAATAAGGCCTACTACCCCCAAATACACTATTCTAACGGACTTTTAGGGTTTTCTTTGACTTTGAGGTGCCCTTTCTCAAAAACGAGTAAGTTCTACAGGTTGACTTTCAGGATTCCCATCTGGTACAACAAGGAGTGTTTTGGCCAATCTTCAAGGAATTCCCAACCGCAAGGTAAAAAGAGCTCATACGTCAGTTGATTTTTCATAGGTACAAAATTTAGTTTCCCATCACGCGTGAGCTTTTTAAGACATTGATAAGCAATTTTTCATCTACCAGAGGTGAGATGTCTTGTTAGGAAGTTTGATTGGAACAAATGAATATAATATATATCAACTCTTCCCTTTCCTTTTTCTGAAACTCGTAGAAAAGAAGGTCGGAGATGACTTTCCCAGATGGCTGTCAGAAACGCACCTGGTCATGATCTTGCTGACGCAGCTGTGAGTGACGCCGATGAGTCGTGCGATGTGGCTGACGCGGTTCCCCTCTTTGTAGAGTTGCACGATCTTCTGTCGGTCCTCCAAACACAAAGGCCGTCCTGGGTTGTAACCGCGTCCGTTTCTCGACTTGGCTGTACTTTCTTGGTTTTTGGTTGGATGGTTGATCTACCTTCCGAGCATGAGCTGGAGGTGTGCGCCAGATGTCCATCAATGCTGGGATAAAGCTTCGGAGAAGTCAGCTCACAAAGCTTCGTCATCAAGGAGTACGAGATACTTTGTTCTTGATAGCTGAGGGGTAAAGACTGCGATGTCGGCATCTGGAAGCTAATATTTCCTATTCGGGCAGAACATTTTGGGATTGCTTTTTTCGGACCAAGTCGCGCTCTTCTTTCACTCTTCCTTTTTTCAAAAAACACCTTTCTCGAAACTTTCAGGATAAAAGCCTGCACGACAAAACATTTACTTTCCCAGGTGGAAAAAAAATCAAAAGAGATGCCGACAACAGATACGATCAGACGCTTTTAGATCCAAGTGTTTCTATGTTTTCTTTTCTTTTTCTCCTCAGCTCGCAAAATCGTTATATTCTTTTAAATGAGTCACAAACGAATGGAAACACACTGTTGGATAGACAAAGTACGGTGTGTTCATCTCATCGATCCGATTCCTTGCAATCACACAAAAACGTCAAACCTCTCCTGAAAACTAATATTGATACTGGATGAGCTTCGAAGATGAAAAAAGACTGTAAAAAGCGGTAAAAACCACAAATAGGTTTTTTTTTTGAAAAATAATTACAGTAACGCGCTGCAATTTGCTCTTTCTCACTCGAGAATAACTGAAAACTGCTAAAAATATCATATCGTCTGCCATTAACTTTTGGTCCAACTAACTTTTAACAACACCGCGTTCGGTTGTTTTACGATAGTTAAAAACTTTTTGGTCCTGAACAAAAATTTATTGAAATAGGTCATACAAATAATCTCAAGATATAGATAGGAACTCATTGCTGAACATTTTAACAAAAAATGTGCGGCTTCAGAATAGAAGGCGCAATGTTGACCGAAAACTGATCGCCTTAGCATGAATATTCGTGAGTTGCAAAGTTTATACGCGTTCATTGCTTTTGTTTCGAAAATTGAAATGAGACGGAACACCTCATTCGGAAAAACTTTGAAAATTCCGACGAGCCTGCCCTCTTGTGTCCATGTACCGCTTTCAGTGCTGTTTTCAAACAACGCAAGACAGGGCGCAGACCCGTCAGACTGTCCCAGGTTGAGGGCGTGAGGTAGGACAGTTGAAGATTTTATTGTTCATAGACATCAAGTTCGAGATTTGAAAAAAAAAATAAAAAACTGTTTTGAATCTGCACGTCACTGAAAAATCATCAAAACACTGAATAAAAAAAACTTTATAAGATTTTTGAAGCCCGAAAATCACGAGTTTCCGTGGAAATAAGCGGCATAGTTGAAAGAAGAAAAATGAGGAAAAATGAAGGTAGAGGAAAGAGCATTGGTGGACCATCCAATATAATACAGTAGATTGACAATGAGACGCGGTTCCCCGGAGTTTCACTTGTGCGCCACGGCATGTTCATTGCCGATGGCGCCGTCGTTACGGGCTTTCTTCTGCGCAAAACGTGCGAGTTTCCGCCAAGTCTACAGCAACAGAAACCAATAATAACCTTTTTTCTTTCTTGTAGGTTGATACAATTAGGAAAGCCAATCAGATCTATGTACACTGGTTCTGAATTTTGCAAATGAATTCGGTGAAGTAGTAATAATTAATAAGGAGGAGATTTTGACACGGATGAGTTTATATTTTGCGAAAAAGTTTGAGATTTTTGGTGGTACGAAAAAAAGTCAGCGAATTTTCGAACGCCATCTTTTCCGATTTTTTCATATCGCTAGGGAACTTTCCGACGGCGACCCGACCAATTCCTTTCCGACTTTTCTCCCTTATAACTTTCGACTTAAAAAATCCATTATCATCGTTTTCCTCTTTCTTCGAGTTTTAACCATGAATTCACTACCTATTGAATATAGAGGGATTCGAAACGAAGAATTTATTGAGAAAAAAAGTCGGAAAAGGAATAGTCGGAAACTTCTCTGTCGGAAAGTTCCCTGGCGATATGAAAAAATCGGAAAAGGCGCCGTTCAAAAATTCGCTGGCTTTTTCATACCTGCAATTTTTTTGGAGAGCTCTACTACTGCTTCAAAGAGTAGTTAGAGCTTTATTTGCCAAAATATAATTGAAAGATTCATAGGACATTGTATAATACGTATGAAAATTCACCTACTTTCGTTTATAATCAATCATCCAAAAACTACAAAGAAAGCTTAAAATCAGGTCGAAAATTAAAAATTACTAAAAAAATCTTCACAGAGAAACGGAGAGAAAGTTTAGGAATCTGGTGAGGAACAGGAAGCGATCGGAACGAAATGCCAATATCCTCGGATAAGTTTGGCAGACGCAAGCGCCAAGAAATAGTGCGTGGACAGGGAAGACGGTGGCCCCAGGCGACCAACTTTTTGTCCGAGCAGAAGACCTGTTCATGTGTATATGGATAACGTGGTGGGTCGGCGCCGTTTCACTGTTTTGGCATGGAATCACCTTTGATTGCTAGCCACACACTGTCAGAGCCCTTTTGGAACCAAAAACCCATAAAAAACGGACTTTTGTCGAGGTCAAAAGATTAGCCTTCCGAAACCATGAATATCCAATTTTCTGGAAACACTATTCACCGTAGAACAATACAAAATACGTCAATGATCAAAATAAAAAAAAGAGTTTCGGAACTTTACTTTATTAGAACTATACTAGTCGATTCGATCTATGGCTGAAACAACTAACATGATGATTGATTGATTGATAGAAAGATAAAACACGAAATAGTTAAAAATAAAGTGTATGTTCTGGCAGGAACTTAAATTTTAAAAAAAGGAAAGCAAAACGAACATTTTGCAAATCTGGAAGCCGATCGGAGTCCATCTTTGTTGATTATCAACGAGTTTACGATCATTAGCAATGTAAAAATATGATAAAAGTAGATTGATGCGTGGTCGCCACAGAAGTTGGTGTCTGAAAGGGATTGAAAGTAAATGGATGCGCGAAATTGAACGGAATAAACTTTAAGCAAATTCTCACATTTTCTTTGAAATTATTTGCAAAAAATAAGAACTTTTCAAAGTCTGCAGAACGAACCATTCAAAAAAGAGTATTTCAGGAAATTATTTCCGCGTTCAACGTTGATTTGACATAGGCGAGTCGAGAAAAGGTATCGTAGGACCCTCTGAGGTATATTGCAGGCTCTGAAGCCTTACGATGGTACCTCGAGTATACCTCTGAGGATTTTGAGAAAAATAGAGATAGACACATTATGGTATCTTCTCGATTCGCCTGTGGACGCGCGTAGCGAAACAGTTTTACTCGTTCAAATGCACGAGCCGAATCGCAGGAAAACGCGGTAGATTCCCACAGCGTGATTGGTTGGCTCCGCCCATTCACCCAAAAATATGTTGGGTGGAGCCGCCCAATCACGCTATGGGGATCCGCTGCGCTTCGGCGCGAGCCATTGAACAAAAAAAAACTGTTTCGCTGCGCGCGTCAAAATAGTTTGAACGCAGAATAAAAAAAGTTGGAACGGTTCGGACTCAAGGTTGTGTGATATAGAACTTTTTAAAACTGAGACGAGATCGAGAGGAGAAAATTTTTCTAAAAAAAAAAATCGAAAGAGGCGCGATGAAATAATTTGAGTTACTTTATTAAAATATTGGACTATTAAAATAATTTATTATCTTTGTAGTAAAAAATCTGATGCTTTCAATTTAAATACGGAACTTTGGGTTGAGCTTCAAAAAAACAAAAGCTTTTTAAAAACTTTTTTTGTCAATAAAATCGTTTTCGGAATTCATAGGGAATATTTAATATCAAATAAACGGTAAATTATATTTCACAAACAGATTTCGCAAATTAAAAACCCTTCAGAAGGCTTTTTTTGTTACCGGTAACAAAAAGTTTGAGGCTATAATAAAAATTTTTGCGAAATCCCTTCAAACAAGTCACTTACTTTGAAAAAAATGTAAAAACAGAAATAAAGGAATAATTTTGAATATATTCGAAAAAAATACAATTGATTTTTTTGCGCGTAGATTATTTAGCTTTTTTTGTTAGTCTCGGGCAAAGCACCAAAACGTACGCCATTTCACTTTTTTTGTTTTTTTATAAAATTTTTATAAAAAAATTTTTATATTTTATATTTTTTTAAAGAAACAAAAAAAAGTTTTTTTAATTATAAATTTATATAACTTTTTTTATTTCTTTATATTTTTTTATTACTTAATTAATTAATTGACTTCATCCACTAAGAATAACTGCCGAGATAAACGCGAGACACTGGCGGTACATTGACGAGCTCGCAAACATCTCGCTTTTTTTCTCGCGCCGGTCTCGCATTTTTCTGAGCGCCAGCTCGCACTTTTCTAGGCGCGAGCTCGCATTTCTCTCGCAATTTGAAAATTTCCGAAATGCAAGATAAATGCGAGGTGGCGCCGAGAAAAATGCGAGGTCGCGCCGAGAGAAATGCGGGATCGCGCCTAGAAAAAAGCGACATTTTTGCGAGTTAGTCAATGTACCGCCACCGAGCTCGCGTTTATCTCGTCAGTTATTCTTAGTGTCATTTGTCATAATCTTTACTGCTTATTTATCGAAAATATCACGTTGAAAATGAGTTCGTTTCGATTTCCGAAAAGAAGCGAGACACTGTCCCGTTAACTCGAAAATTTTTCACTGACAAAAATTGAGTTAGGAATTTTTTTACTTTTTCATTTTTTTGATATGCCGAGATACAATAAGAATAACTGCCGAGATAAACGCGAGACGCTGGCGGTACATTGACGAGCTCGCAAACATCTCGCATTTTTTTCTCGCGCCGGTCTCGCATTTTTCTGGGCGCGAGCTCGCACTTTTCTAGGCGCGAGCTCGCATTTCTCTCGCATTTTGAAAATTTCCGAAATGCAAGATAAATGCGAGGTCGCGCCGAGAAGAATGCGAGCTCGCGCCCAGAAAAATGCGAGATCGCGCCTAGAAAAAAGCGACATGTTTGCGAGTTCGTCAATGTTCCCCCACCGACCTCGCGTTTATCTCGCGAGCTCGTCAGTTATTCTTAGTGATTAACGCGATGTCGGTGGCGGTACATTGACGAACTCGCAAACATTTCTCTTTCATAGGCCCGATCTCGCATTTTTCTCGGCGCTACCTAGCATTTTGAAAACTTTCAAATTTTTTTTCGAGTGTGTGAAAAAAGCGAGATAAATGCGAGGTCGCGCCGAGAAAATTGAGAGATCGCCCCTAGAAAAAAGCGAGATGTTTGCGAGATCGCCAATGTACCGACACCGACCTCGCATTTCTCTCGCGCCAGATACCGCAGTTATCTTTGGTAATATCTCCGTGTTTTTCCATTTCTATATACAGTTAACAAATATTTCTTTTTTCTTTTATGGTGAACTCTTTTTTTCTTTCATTTTGTGTCGGAGATTAGACTCCAAAGTCTTTGTTTAAATGGAACTGAAATTTTGTTGATATTTTTCAGTTCGACAAATTTTCAATTCCTATTTTTTTGAACCAGTAACTTTGAAAAATTTTTAAATAACTTTTTTGCATCATTTTTTTCCACATTTGTAAAAAAAAAATTAGTTTTCTTACTGTGATAGTATAGTGGTCGGTTGATTATTTCAAAAATTTTCGACAACGAGCGAATGTTTATAGGTTTCCGATCTGTCTCGTTTCCGGCTTTGATGACGTGATGAGGCGGCACGAGTACTTGATCTGTGTGGAGCCGTGCCACCGCCGCTTTCTGTTCTGCCAGACATTTCCAGGAAATTTAAAAGGTGTCTTGCTGGAACGGACTTCCGGTTGTTAGAAGGAAAAATGCATAGGTGATTAAGGTTCGTTTTCAACTTTGCTGCTTTTAAGGGGAAACATTTTCTGAACACATCAAGAGAACTTTCTGACATTTTTGTCTAATTCTTTCGCATGTCCTTTCGAATGTTAGGTTCCCAGAGAGTTCTCTCAGGATAAATGGCTTATTCGTTTTGCTGAAAAAAAAACCAGCATTTTTTATAAGATTTAGCGGCAAATCATCTCCATGACGACCTAGGGGTTTTTTGAATCTTCTAGAAAATCCAGCTTGAAATTATGTATTTTTTCTTGAAAAAAACTTTTTCAGAGACATTTTTTTATTTGAAATATATGAATATCATAATATTAAACAAAAAGTCGATAGTTCGTAGGCGGAGATTTAAAAAAATAATTTTTTTGAGCGGTTTTTCCTTGTTAAGATTCGGCTTTCCTGAGCTGAGCTCTTTCATCAGCAATAGGTAGATTTGAGTTTTTTTGAACTTGAAAGTTTAAAAATAAAATATTTTTTTCATATTTTAGTACTACTATAGTACTCTACTGTTTTTGAGACAGTTAGAGTGGAAAACATTTGTTTTTCAGCTGTTGAAATGGATAAAATGATGTTCCTCGGCATCATTCCATTCTTCCTTTGGGAGCAAGCCCGACTCGGCATATAAGTCTTTATTCCGTAGCGCACGCTAGCAGTGCGCTACGCCAGAGTGATGTTGTAAAGAAAGTTGGGGCGAACGCCCACAGGCGTTCGTCACTCAAGAGCACATGTTCACTTAACACAATGAGATATAAACAACCATTACATCCCCTCCGATTACGGAAGATGCTTCGTCCCCGAAGCAAAGGAAAAAATGTAAGATATTAAGAGCGAATTGAAAAAAGTTATGGGGAGACATAGGAAAAGAAGGATAAAAGGGAGATGCTTAACATTTCAATACTATTGGGAAATATAGAAGAGGACTATCACATCCCCCCGTTCGCCGAAAGTCTCGTCCCGAGACTTCGTTGAAATGGGAGAATGGTTGTCCAAGTGAACATGTGAAATAAAGACAAGATGGAATAAATGCCGGACTCTGAAGGCCTGAGTTCGGTGCTCAACAATTGATTCGCTACTTCGATTTGAAAAGGATAGAAATTTAAATTTTGAATGGAAAAGTCTCTGATGGAGGTCTTACAAAATACAACTTCTTAGTGATACGAATTCATACTTTAACAGACCACACTAACTGTCAAAATGCAAATTAATCAACAACATCCGAATTTCTTATTTGAACAGCCACGCTAACAGAACAATTAATAAACCATTACATCACACCACAAATGTAATAAGTTTGAGAATCATGTATTGTTGTTTGTGTATCCCTAGAAAACGAATTTAAATAAGGCACATCAGAGATATATAATTCAAGCAGAAAAAGTTTTACTTGCGTAACCCAGCGAACCGCAAGACAGTTGTTCTTCATTTGCTCGAGTGCTACTTCGTAGAGGTCTCGCAATAAGCCACGGTAGAGCGAGCGACAGTTCGTATCATCGAAGTAGAGTTTTAATGGACTGGTAGCGAATCAAGTAGATATTGGAAGCAGCTTTCTCAGATGGAATATGAGGAAGACAGGAGGAGATCTTCCGCCGGATGGTATGTGGCGGAAGTTCCCGGGACCTCCATGAAATGGATAAAATGATGTTCCTCGGCATCATTCCATTCTTCCTTTGGGAGCAAGCCCGACTCGGCATATAAGTCTTTATTCCGTAGCGCACGCTAGCAGTGCGCTACGCCAGAGTGATGTTGTAAAGAAAGTTGGGGCGAACGCCCACAGGCGTTCGTCACTCAAGAGCACATGTTCACTTAACACAATGAGATATAAACAACCATTACACTGTCCATAAATTTCTTACACAGATAGCAGCTCAAATTTTCTGAGTTCAAAGTTCAAAGTAAATAGACTATGTTTAGCGCTGCAGCTTCTCTAACTTTTTAGAATCTAGTTTCCTCGACGTTCAGCGGGTCTTAGCGCTCGTCTGCACTCTCTCGCCGGTCTGTCTGTCTAAATTCTCTCCTCTCTCTGCGGCACGTTGCGTTTTTCCGCCGACTCTGCACGTGAGCCACTTTATGGGTGTACATGTGAACTGTTTCTTTTTCTATTTCGAGCAATTTTCCTGAAAATCTTCAATCAAAGTTTTATTTACACTAAAATTAATCAAAAAAGGTTTTCAATCTTATTTCTTGTATTATTTGTCCGTTTTCTTGAGTTTTTTTTTTCAATTTCTGTTGGTAAATTTTTTTTTCTTAGGCATAATCGTGGCAACATTCAACTTAAAATTTCATACTAACTTTCGAAGGCATTATTTTTTTTTACGTATTGAGTTTTAAAATCAGTACAAATATAAATATCTTCTTGCGTTCCTTGTTTCCTTATATGTTAAACTCGTGAAATCCATTTTATAATTTTTTCTCTATTTTTTAAACCAAATTCATCAGATCATCAGAGGGAAAAGAAGCCCTTTAGTGACCAAGTTTCTCACTTATATAGTCAATGTTTCCCGACTTGAAAGGCGAAGGAGGCGGGACAAGGGGCGGGACGCGTAGCGTGTGCGCACGCGGTTCTTGCCACTAGTTCAATTCAATTGCCGCCGACTATTTAAAAAGCTCGGCAAGCGCTCTTTTTGAATGTTTTCTACTATTTCTTGATGAAAACATGAACATAATCAATAAATAATTGAAAAAGGAATAAAAAGAACGAAAAACGGGATTTTCAAAGAGTCGATGGCGGTTGAATTGAACACGTGGCAAGGACCGCGAACGCACGCGCTACGCGTCCCGATCACTGCCCCGCCTCTCTCGCCTTTCAAGTCGGGAAACATTGACTATACTCATCTGCAGAAACGTCTAATTTTTATTCTTACAGGTGCGATCATGCTTTTAACTCCACAATTAAAGAAGACTATAATCATTTTAAATGAAATTCAAAAACCTCGTATTTTTTTTTTGCTCGTACTTTTTCTTGACTCAACGGAAGATTCGTATCTCCGCTTTCCAGTGAACTATTTTTCTAAGGGAAATAGCACACTAAAGTCGAATCGTCTCGACTTTTTTGCTTTCTTGTGAATTCAGAACGTCTTTGCATCTAGGAGAGACCGTTTCAACTCATTTTGATATTTTTGTACGCCTGCGATTCTGGAAGGCCAATCTGTTATTAAATATTATCTCTTTCTACCATCTTGATTCATTTTGAGATTAGATATCATAATGTTCTTGTTCTTACAAAGTTGAGAAATTCGATGATTGAGCGGTTTTCAATAGTTCCATTTTTTCATTACTTGTCATTAAAGTCTTCAAAGATATAATTAGAAGTCGAAAGTTCTGTGAATTTTATGACGAATATTCGTAGGGAAAATTCATTCTTTGAATTTATCAACTTCTAATTCGTTCAGCCCTTTCAGTACAATTTTTCAAATTGTCAAGCTTTATAGCTTTTTTTTATGAGTTCAGAACGAGAAACGCGGCCGATGAGTGTTACCAAGACAGAGAGCGCCGTGCGACCAAGTCCAGTTCGCAGATCAAAGTCGAAGAATAAGTTGGCTTGTGCTGTTTGCGGAGACAGTGTACGAGTGCTAACCTATCTCTAACTTTTTTGAACTGACGGAAATTGATTTTTTTGAGGATAAAGCTGAGAAAAAAACAGCCCAAGAATTACCTTGATCAATTTTTTTCGTTGCAGGCGCTCGGAAAGCACTACGGCGTAAATGCATGCAATGGCTGTAAGGGGTTCTTCCGTAGGAGCATCTGGAAAAATCGCAACTACTCATGTCGCTTTGGAAACAATTGTCCAGTCGCTAAAGGTTTTTTGTTTGAATGGTGTATTTTTCTACAAACTTTTTAATAAATTCTTCAAGCTCTTCTAACACAGTAATTGGTAAAATGAAAGTCATAATGTCTAGTTTGAAAGTTTGAAACATGTTATTAGGATTCTCACTTTGTTTTTCTTCATGTAGTTTTTGGAATGAGCTCTTTGGTAACTCACGGATATTTTTAATTTTTAGAATGTTAGTAGCCGTTTAAAAATTAGTTCTTCTTCACTAGCTTCACGACTTTTTTCCCTCATGGCTCTACGACTTTCGTCTGCAGAGCAAAGGAACACGTGCCGTTCTTGTCGTCTGCGGGCGTGTTTGCGGGTCGGTATGAACCCCCGGGCGGTGCAAAGTGAAGTTGCCGAAGGCGAGGCGGTCGTCGTCGAGGCGTGTCCGCGGGATCGAGAAGACGTCGATCGCGTCCCCAAGATTGAGATCGCCGATCAAGACCTCGAGAGCAACGTCCGTGACCAAAGGTCTGTCGGCTTTAGAAAGTCTCGATCTGACTCAAAAACGACTGGTATCTAGAAGAAAAAACTGGGAATTCAAATGAATAAAGTAGTCATTATATACGGGACTCGAAAAAATAACGTTTTGAATTTTAGTAATCGGAAAACAGTCCAAGTCCATATAATGGACGGCATTTTACTTGAAAGAATCTTTGCCTTCCCCAGCTTTTGATTTCTACTCCTAGTCAGCAGCAATGATTCAATTGTGCTCACCTAGTCCAAGGGAATGACTCGAAATTTTGAACTTTCGAGCCCTCAGAAAGTATTATATCAAGCCGATATATCGATAAGACTTGGGCTGTTAATCCAGTTTCCTCTATACACAACTGCCAGCGATCGTGAACGGCTCATTCAAAAAGAAAATCTCAATTCATAAATAATCCTTCGTATCTTTTTCTGAAAAGATTATACACTGCAAATATACTTCTCGGTTGGACGCTATGGTACTTTGGAGAATTCTTGACAATAATTATTTTTTTCGTGGATCTAGTCTTTTTTTCAACTTCGGAATCTTCCAATATTTTGAATTTTATTTATAAAAAAATTCAATAAGTTATTAACTCGTTGATGTCCTAAAACTATTTTTTAGAGCGTTTTCCTGCCAAACGGACGAGGTCGTTTTTCCGTCAACGTCTAGTATACACGACAATCCCACCGCTTCTCCCACTTCATTCAAGGTTTTTTTTTTCTGTCGATTCTTTACGACCTGAAAAGCAGGGTTTCTCACTTTCTAATACCACTACACGTTAAATAAGTAGATCAGAATCGGTCAAGTACCTCACCAAAAAATTTTCTAAAATTTTCTCTCGAGTTTAAACAGCTGAAGGCTTGATGATTCTTCTCCGAAAGCGCGTTTATTCGTCAGGGAAAAAAAATGCAAGAATTTCTATCTACTACTCTTTTTTTCCGAAGTTCCCCCTCAACTTTTTTTTTTCTCAGCCATTGTTTTCTACTGCTCAATAACCTTTCTAGCGAAAGAAACAGCTTTTGATCGAAGATTTTTTTCAGTTTTTCAATTAGTTGCAGAAACGAGAGAAGATTCTGTCCGAGATCAAAAAAGTCTTCAACAGGGTGGACGGCAGTTCGACTCCGCCTAAGCCGATTTCTTACCCTTTTCAGTTGGCTTTTTACAATCCCCACTTGGTCTGCAACAGAACTAAGGTACTCCTACTTGAGTTGGAAGGTCGAAGCAAGTTTCAGATCAATCCGAGCGGCGAACGAGTCGCCACGATGGCCGAGGTGGTCCAGGACTTTCGACGAGTTTTCGTTCTCTATTCTGACTTGCTCTGCACTTTGCCCGAGTTCCTTGCTCTCAACAGCGAAGATCGCGTAAGTCGCAAGACTTTCTTGAATTTTCGAACCTGTAGCATCTCTGGCTGCATCTGTCTTGACGCGCAAATGTTTAGAGAACCTCTCTGAATTTATCTGTCAGAAAATTTCGTTTCCCAACTTTGTGTTTCAACTGAAGAGTCAGCTTCTTTTGAAAAAGTACTGGTATTGGTTAAATATCATACTGGATGCGTTGAAAGAATAGTTTCTTGGTGGAAAGCCTCGAGATCGAAATTTCTTCTTTATTTCGGTAGAACATAGTTCCGAATTTCAGATTTCGGTGGCAAAGAATCGCTTTGCTCCCTTTTACTGGTGGCTGTCGTGCTGCTGGACGGCGAGAGCCGGCTGTGACGGCGTCTGCTACGCCAATGGAGCATACCACGCCTCCCAAAAGGAGTTGCAGTCGTTTCCCGACGTCAAGTATTCCGTCTGATATGCGTCCTGACCAACAGAACGAGCCTAGGAACGTGACGGAGACGTCTGTGGAGACTGTGTCACTGCCACTCCGTGAGCTCGACCTCAGCGAGTCCGAAATCCTCATCGGATGCGTCTACGTCATCTTCTCAGAATGTGAGTCCGATGATAAGTGTGCGGAAAAGACCCGCTTTGCAGTCCCCGTCTACCCGAAAGTCTCAAAGGCAGGCGAAAGTCTTCTCGACGCAGCTCGAGACTTTTACATCGAGTTGATGTGCAGCAGCTTTCTGTTGGCCGACGAGTGCGACATCGCCGTCCGCATGGGTCGTATGTCTCTCTTGCTCTCCTCCATCACTGTTAGTTTCGTTGAAAAAAGAAGGTCGCTACTTCTTTGTTCCGCATTTGGGCTTTTCTATCGAATTCTGGAAAATACCGTCATGAGTTGCTTATCTTGTTATCTATTTTCATCGTCAGGAAAGAAGACCATTATATAAAAGTTCCGGATGTTGAACAAATGATAAATCTACGTGTAATATTTCCCAATTTTCAGAATCTGAAGTACCTGACGTCAGACAACTTCGAGCTGGGCGATGTTTTTCACATGCTCGATGTCGATGAATTCACAGCCGAAATTTTCCAAGCCAAGATAAAGCAAAAAGGTTCTTTTGACTCGGCCAAGCACAATGACTATCTTTGATACTGTTTTGAAGCCTCTGTTTATTTCGAAAGTAATTGTGTAGGGCTACAAGTCTTTTCCCAGTATTCCCCCATTAAGTTTCGAACGACTTTTTTTTTCGATCATACACATTTTAGGCATATGGATTTTGATCAGATGCTCAGGTTCTTTACAGATTTTGTCTGTAATCAGTACGTATTTCATGGGTTTGAAAAGTACATGAAAGCCCCACGAATAATTAGAATTGAAAATAATGTTTTGACTTTTTTCTGTACTGATATAAGTGTGAGTGGTATCTTGGAAGAACATATTTGGGGCTTCCCCTCATTAGAAGCATAAATCATTCGAGGCACCGCTCAAACTTACCACAGTGATTAGTGTTTTTTGCGTGATAGGAATTTTATTTTACTTTCTCAACGGTTTTGTGTCATATACCTTTAGAACTTGTACATTTCTATTATTATAGCCTCGCTTGGAAAGTTTCTCTAGCCATTTTAAACCGATCACTCACAAGTAAAATATTTGTCAACTTGCAAAGAAAAAAAAATTACCTAGTCCTTTATCACGGACGCGCGGCAGCCTCTCATTTCCAAATAAAAATGAAGCCTTTTTCTCTTGGTCTTCTGGCTGAAAGAGACGCTCTGAGAAGTTTTCGGCTGTTTTTTGCTTTGGCAGACTTCATTTTTCACAGAAGCTGGCAGAAGGTTTTGAAGTTATTTGAAAAAAAAGGATTATTTTCTGGCTTTTGTGGAACTTGGATATTTGATCCATTTAATCTCGCCGTACAAAGGCCATCAAATTCTATGGACGTTTTCTATGAGAACGAATGAGGCTGAACGAGTGATGATGGGCATGAATGCGAGCCGCGCAAATACAGGAGCCGAGAGCCCTGTTTGTATGTCGAAATGTATTCAGTTGAGTCAACAAGGACGGCCCGTGGTCGGCCAAAAGGTTCGTCCAAATTACAGCTTTTCGTGTAAAATCCTTTTTATTCCTTAATAATGTTCTAGGGTTCCTCAAAGCTCTACTTTTAGCTCAAAAGGAAAGTGCAAAAAGGCACAATTTGTGAATTCGATGAAACTTTGCTGAGATTTACTTCCAGCTCCCCTGAATCGAGAACAGGAAAAAAATTTTACGCCTTTTGCCTTTAAGCGGAGCTATGGCCCCTCAAAGTTTGCACGCAAAAATGGCTAAAATTAACGAAGGTTTATTGATGAGTTTGGGGAGATAAAAAGGAAGAAAAAGTTGAAACCGATCTTTTTTGTCGTTTTTAGAGTTTTAAATCACTTTCGGCAAAAAAAAAATTTTGAAGATCTGGAAAAAAATTATAAAATAAGGGTTTCAACAATAAGTAGTTTCAATCAAAGTTTAATCGAAGAACATAAATAAAAAAGGACTTTAAAATGAATAATGACGAGTTTTTGATAAAGAAAAAAAAAGAAAGTACGTGGCCATTTCTTGCGAACTTTGAGGGCCTATAACTCCGCTAAAAGGCAAAAGGTGTAAATTTTTTTTCTTTTTCTCGGATTCAGGGGACCTGGAAGTACATCTCAGCAAAGTTTCATCAAATTCTCAAACTGTGTCTTTTTGCACTTCCCTTGTTAGTCAATTCGAAACTAGTGCCAAAAGTTTTTTTTTCTAGCTCACATAGTGTGAGTGGTCAGTATTTTTTCATCTGAAATAGTAAATTGAAAGAAAATTTCTGTATGATTCATTTTTGAGGGTGGAATTTGTGAATACACCCTATAGCCGATTCACGGCTAGCTTAAGACGCAAAGTGAGGTGGTTTGTCTGCTCTCTCCATTAAACAGGCGCTGTCTCTTTTCTTTTCGTGTCAGGATCCTTTTTTCGATGACTCAAGCCAGCCGTGATTTATAGTCTGTTCAGATTTTGAATGTCAAGTAGAATGACGTCACTCGAAAACGCTCTGTGGGTGGCTCGCTCTCTGATTGGTTTATCGCACCATTATGGGCGGAGCTTAAGCGACTACTTGACATTCAAAATCTGAACAAACTATAGCTATACCTAGAGCTGAGTGAGAGAGGCCCATCGAAAACTTTCAATAAATTTTCTCTGTTGCCGAGTTACAGCGGTTAGAATTCTTGCTTCCAAGTCATCGTTGGAACACAGGCTTATGAGTCGAAATCTTCTTTTCGGTCTTGAAATGCTTGATCTTCTCAAATTTGGTCAGTAAAACTGAGAACAGAATAGTGGTTTAGAAACGCGTAAAAAAAAACGCGCGTTTTTGAATTCTTAGAATAATTCAAAAATACTCTCCACTCCGACCCGGAGTGCGAATAATTTTACGCTCAAATACTATTTTCAGTGAATTTTCTTGTGCAATCGATTTTCAGTATATATGGAAGTTTCAAAGCTTTCGTTGCGGTTTGCATCGCGCGTCATTGTAGTTCTCGCCTATATTCTAATCTTCTTCCTTGTTTTGTATCTCTGGATTTCAACTCCTTCCGCAAAAGGTATGCTATTAGTGTGTCTTTTTTTGAATATGTCAAAGCAAGAATAAAATTTGAAATGGATGAAACTTTTAGAAATCAAACACAGTTTTAACGAAACGAAAATAGTGAAGGAAACATGGAAAAATAAAAAGAAAGTCGTAATTTACGCAGCGACGAAATTTTTTAACATGGATATAACGACTGAGAGGTTTCTCTCAAAATGCCACTCTACAAAAGTGAGTTTTTTTTTATACTTTCGGACAACTTACTAGAAAATGCATGAAACAAGGAAGTTATCGGATTTTAAGGGCTATTGTAGAATCTCTGAGGATCCAAAAGATTTGGATGTTGCTGACGCTATCCTCTTCCACAACGCCGACTTCTCCCCCGAAAAAGTTGGTTCTGAATCTGAGTCAAGAAGCTCAAGTTTTCCAGGTACCCATGCCGCGATTACGGAATCGGCCGCACGTCATTTGGAGTCTCGAAAGTCCGGCTCACGACTCTTTTCGTCCTCTCAAAGGTCCATTGATTATTCGAAAGTTGATGTTTCCATTCGAATACATCTTCCAGACGTCATTAATTGGACGATGACATATCGTCTTGATGCCGATATTTGGTATCCATATGGCCACTTCGTTCGTCGTAAATCGCGTAAGAAAAATTGTAGCTTCGAAAAAAATTCCCTTTTCCAGCGCAGCAAGTTGACTACGAAGCGATTTGGGCGGCAAAAGATCAAACAAAAATAGCGACTTGGCTCGCTTCCAATTGTTTCTCTCAAAATCGCCGGTTCGATCTCATAAAGAAGCTCATTGACAAGGGTTTACCGGTTTGTTCAAAATCCTTAAAAATAAAATGAACGGATAGATTTTAGCTGGACAACTGGGGAAGGTGTGGAAAGACGCCGCCGATCTGCGAAGGAGTCAGCAACCAAGGAAGTCCGTGTGTTGTCGACTTGATTAGGTACAATTTATCTCACAGGAAGAACTTCTGATGAGCTTTTCGAAAATCTCTGTAAGACTTTGGAACGCTTTTCGTAGGTCTAGATGATGTAATATAAGGCTCGCAACAAATAAAGTCGTTTATGAACAACCCCAGAACGAAATTTGTGCGTAGGTAGGCACTATGTGGTACCTTAATATTTTATACTGACCGGTTAGAAATGAGGGTTGTTGTTGGAATTTAATTTAAGTAAAACAATTTTGAAAGTTGATCAATTCAAAAAGTATTGTTCAGGTGCATGTATGATCTGTCACCATTGGAAATTCATCAAAGTGCGAAAAATTAATGTTCTTTCCAAGTTATAGCTTGAAAATGAAAATGAAAACAATAAACCCAGCACTCATATCTAACCAACCAACCTGTATTTAGATGTATCAAGATTTTCAGAGCGTCTGAGCAAATTTTCCGAGAAATCCCCACGACAAATTGGAGGAATATTTTTGAAAACAGTTTTACAGGCCATACAAGTTCTACATGTCAGTCGAAAACTCAAATTGTCTGAACTATGTGACGGAAAAGTTTTACGAGACGTTGCGATCGCGAATGGCCGTCCCGATCGTCTTGTCGAGGAAGTTCTACCGCCAACTTGGGGTTTGCTTTTCTCTGCTGTTTCTAGTTTGATCTGAAGTGGTTAATTCACTAAATAATAATCTAGGTTCTTCAATTCATCGTACCGACAGGATATATCTTTGAATGGGAAGAGAGAAAAGTCCTTTCAGGCCCCCGACGACGCCTTCATAGCAATCGACGACTTCAAAAGTTTAGACGAACTAATTTTTCATGTGAAGAAGGTTGCGGCCGACAAGGAACTCTACCTGAAATATCACAAATGGCGCGAAACCCATGAGTTTGCCAGTAAACACAAATAGAAGAGTCGTAGTTGATCTTTCAGGGTGAAGCCGGAGCACGACGACACGACAGGCTTCTGCGAGCTGTGCCGACGTCTCCAGAATTCGGACCTCGGCAGCAAGTCCTACGCGGACCTCGCCTGGTGGCACGGTTACAACACCTGCGACCAGTCCATCGCTGATCGTTTTCTGGGACCGCCGACTGGATAGATATTTTGGTTTTTATTTTCACTTGTTCATGCAGATTATTATTTTTTTCGATGAAAAACAAGCAGGAAGCGTGGTGACTGTTGATGTCATGTCCAGTGTTCACAGTGAAGGTCGGAAAGTTATCTCATTTTCATTTAGTTTCTGTTTGTCAGAATTTTCTCACTTGGAGTTCATCAACGGTTTAATACTCAATTTTTTGATTTTTTGAGCGTAAAACGTCATGGATCGATAGTTTTTGTCTTTTTTTCGGAATCCTTCTTTATTATTTTAATAATTGTTAAACTTACAACATCCATTCCGTATTTCCTTCTTCTTGTGGCTTACGGTTATTCAAACGAGGTCCTTGTCTTTTTATTTGTTGATTTTATCGAATATTACATATGTTGTTGTAGACTGTTTATAAAATATTTCAAACGATGATGGCTGACAGTTTTTTTTTAAAAATTTTATAGACGATTATTATTAGATCCTTGTTTCGAAAAAGGAAAAAAAAAGCAAAAAGAAAGAATGAACGAAGTTGTCAATAAAAAATGTTCAATCGCGTCAAATATTTCTGCCAAAACTTTTAACATTTTCAATTTTTTTTCAAAAGCTGTAAAATTTAAAAAGGAACAGCGAAGGAATTCGATCATATAACTTTTATGAGCAAAAAAGATGAAATTTCTGCGCAAGGCCTACACTTTCAGCTCGAGAAAACATCGAAATCTCGCCTATCTTCCAAATCGTTCTTTTGTATGAAAAAAAAAGGAAAAACGGCCTTCGAAAGATTCAAATTCTGGATTTTCTTCTTTTTCGCTCATTTATCATATCAAATTATTTCCCCAACTTTCGGAAAAGAGACTTTTTTTCAAGAAAAAAAACGCCGGCCTCTCTATTGTGAATGATAACCGGGTTGAATCCTTTTTCATTCAGTGAGTTCTCTATGAACGCCAATTTCTATCCTCGATTTCACTTCGTATTTTTCCTTATTTCTCATATTTTCATTCCGTTCTCCGTTTATTTTTGCGATCCCGCAGCAAATAAATTAGCGAGTCTCTTCTTCTACTTGGATTACTTGATAAAAGCTCTGTTTTACTGGAAAAAAACTTAGTGACCCTTCTAGGGGGAGAAATGCCACCAGTCATACTGGACACTAGACTGGCCATTTCTAGCTCCGTTTAGTGGCCATTCTGGAGAATAATACTGGCCAATAGAAGGAGACGACCATAAGAACGTACTTACTCCTTGTAGTAGGTACTTGGGAGAACGTAAGAAACCTTGTAGTAGGCACTAGGACTTTTTATGAATTTTTCCGGTCAGACAGTTTGTCGCTATATCGATAGCTTGGGAAATGGATCGAAAAAAAAATGAATATTTATTATATTTTGACAAAAAAAAGGTTGTGCTGAGTAGGAAAATGTAGGAATAAAATCAGCCGTCGTCCTTTTAGAATTTGGTCAGTGAGAAGAAGATCTATCAATGGAGAAATTGTAAAAACGGAAAATACTTTCTGCGATCCTTTTCTGAATAGATCGATCTAAATTGATAATAAAGAGCCTGCCGAGAAAAAAGGAAGAAGGAGAATCAGTCGTCCTGCTTGTAGCCGTCGTGGAAAAGGGTGCAAACAAGATGTTCTCGTCGAAACTTCGATAGAAAATCCTTCCACAAATCTCTTTTGCGTTCATTCTCTACTAAAATCGTGCAAAGTGCAGTGCCTATGCTGGCATTCTGCAAAAAAAGTTGCATGCATTGTGCAGGTCAGAGCTTTGCATTTTGCCCAGAAGAACCTCGCATTTCGCATTTCTTTTTGGTCTCACTTTTGTACAGACGAAAAAAGTGCAAAATGCGAGGTACTTCTGTGCAAAATGCAAAGCACTGATTTGCCAAGTGCATGAAGCTTTTTTTGCAGAATGCCGGCATAGGCACTGCCTTTTGCAAAAATTTTGTAGAGTTGGATAGAAGGTCCTCTCTCATCATGAAGAATCTCCAATTTTTTATTCGATTTTACATATATCAAGTCAGACCAACCTTGTCGTATATAATTTCTCCAATTATAACTTTCTGGTATTTCAGTCTAATGTGTACTCCAAACCTCCTAAACCATCTGATTACACCTGAAACGTCTTACTGCGGTCGTCGATTCCCATAGGCCTGACTTTTTTGATACGGCTTCATCTTCTTCGATCAGTCAAGTCGTCTAAGAGCACTGAGACTAACTTTTGAGCTCAAAAAATGCAACAAACCTACGACTCTCGGCTAGAGAAAGGACAAGAAATGACTTTGGCAGTGAGAAATGCTAGTATTGCGTCTTATCTTTTGATCTCCAAGTGGTCCTTCTCGCATTTAGTTGTACTACACCCAGTCAAAATGATCCCTTGGATGCCTACTTCAGTTTTAGTCCTTCCAGTGGTCATTTTCGCTCTCCTTCTAGTGGCCAGTAAGCGCGCGCCCCCCACAAGGGACACTTTACTTTTTCCCATTTAAGCCCTTATTCGAATGACCAGAGTTTTTTATTTGAAATTTCTCAAAACTTTCTGTACTCCGTGTAGGCGGCTTCGCCTTGATAGCGTTCTGCATATCAGTTAATCAGAATGGTCAAATCGTTTTTTTTTTCAGTGATTATGAAAGTTTCCGAGCTTTCGTTGCGTTTTGCGTCCCGCGTACTCTTTTTGATCTACATATTAATTATAATGCTGACTGTTGTGTATCTCTGGATGTCGTCTCCTCCTGCAAGGAGTTGGTTTTTCAGAAGTTGAAGATTTGGCTGGGGTTTGTTTCGAAGTGATGAAATTGAAAGAAGCAACATTCGTTTTCACGCATAACCACAACTAAAACCCATGATTGGGAAGTAGAATGTTTTTATTCATACTTACACGTACACTTCCACATTTTTTGAGGCTTCAGAGAGCTTCTCTGCTGAATCATGGAATAATTGAAGACTTGTTCGTCGGTTCGCGAAACTAGCGTTGATCAAGAACGTCGAGTAGTCTTTCATATAGTCTTTCTTGTGATAGTATCCGAATTTTGAGCGTTCCGACAATCAAATGCATTGTACGGCTGCTAGTTTTTCCTGGGCTGGCGGGAGAACTGAATCTCAAAATCGGAAATGAAGATCGTCAACTCGGGTGGAAGATATAACATGATAATAATGATTTTCTCTCACTGAAGTTTAAATGAAAGATATAAACCCAGTTGAAGACCTAGCGAATGGAAAATCCCAAGTTCGAGAATGCTTTTTTTAGAAATCGAAATCAGTGCTCTTGAGACCCCCAGAGGCTAAGGAAACCGCAACCTGGACTAATAAAAATAAAGTTGTAATTTATGCGGCGACGAAATTTTTCAAAATGAATATAACAACTGAGAGATTTCTCTCAAAATGCCACTCCACAAAAGTGAGTTTTTTTTTTAAATTTTCGGACAACTTACTAGAAAATGCATAAAACAAGGAAGTTATCGGATTTTAAGGGCTATTGTAGAATCTCTGAGGATCCAAAAGATTTGGATGTTGCTGACGCTATCCTCTTCCACAACGCCGACTTCTCCCCCGAAAAAGTTGGTTCTGAATCTGAGTCAAGAAGCTCAAGTTTTCCAGGTACCCATGCCGCGATTACGGAATCGGCCGCACGTCATTTGGAGTCTCGAAAGTCCGGCTCACGACTCTTTTCGTCCTCTCAAAGGTCCATTGATTATTCGAAAGTTGATGTTTCCATTCGAATACATCTTCCAGACGTCATTAATTGGACGATGACATATCGTCTTGATGCCGATATTTGGTATCCATATGGCCACTTCGTTCGTCGTAAATCGCGTAAGAAAAATTGTAGCTTCGAAAAAAATTCCCTTTTCCAGCGCAGCAAGTTGACTACGAAGCGATTTGGGCGGCAAAAGATCAAACAAAAATAGCGACTTGGCTCGCTTCCAATTGTTTCTCTCAAAATCGCCGGTTCGATCTCATAAAGAAGCTCATTGACAAGGGTTTACCGGTGTGTTGCAACGTTTCGGAATGTGGAAAACTTTGTCAAGTATTTTAGCTGGACAGCTGGGGAAGGTGTGGAAAAAAGCCTCCGAATTGCAAAGGAATCAGCAACCAGGGAAGTCCGTGTGTTGTGGACTTAATTAGGTGCAAGTTTTCAAAAAAAAAATTTTTGAAGGCCTCTTACAGACCATATAAGTTTTACATGTCGGTCGAAAACTCAAATTGTCTGAACTATGTGACGGAAAAGTTTTACGAGACGTTGCGATCGCGAATGGCCGTCCCGATCGTCTTGTCGAGGAAGTTCTACCGCCAACTTGGGGTTTGCTTTTCTCTGCTGTTTCTAGTTTGATCTGAAGTGGTTAATTCACTAAATAATAATCTAGGTTCTTCAATTCATCGTACCGACAGGATATATCTTTGAATGGGAAGAGAGAAAAGTCCTTTCAGGCCCCCGACGACGCCTTCATAGCAATCGACGACTTCAAAAGTTTAGACGAACTAATTTTTCATGTGAAGAAGGTTGCGGCCGACAAGGAACTCTACCTGAAATATCACAAATGGCGCGAAACCCATGAGTTTGCCAGTAAACACAAATAGAAGAGTCGTAGTTGATCTTTCAGGGTGAAGCCGGAGCACGACGACACGACAGGCTTCTGCGAGCTGTGCCGACGTCTCCAGAACTCGGACCTCGGCAGCAAGTCCTACGCGGACCTCGCCTGGTGGCACGGCAAGCACAACTGCAACCAGTTCATTGCCGACCGTTTTCTCGGACCGCCGACTGGATAACTGTGCAGTTTCACCATTGAAGCTACCGTTTTCTACGGCTTAGTAACTTTCAGTTTTCATTAGTTTTTCTTACTTTTATAAATCTCACTTTTTCTTATTAAAAAAACGTCGAAAATTTCAAACACTGCTAATACTAATATTAACAAAAAAATACTCTTTGGTTTTTGATGTCATCTAGCTTCTACAGTCGCCAACAGTGCTCTTGCCGTCCCAAGAAAGTCTTGAACAGGCCTTTTCGGAATGAATAAAAAATTTTCTTAAAATCAAGTCCGGCAATCATAACTTTGCCTATTTATACGAGTCTCTCGTTTATTTTTTTCGATTGTGTGATCGAATATTTGTTCATGCCGTTATATGTTCGTTTTTTTTATTGTTCAATATTTTTTTGAACAATTTTGAATATTTTTTGAACAATGATTATTTTCTGAAATTAACTGTTGAACTCATCAAAACTTGAGGGCTGAAAGACAAAAAAAAGTTTGCCGAGCTGTTCCGTATGGCACAATTTTTCGTCCGATTTATCTCCTTCAAAGAATTAACATAACTTTGCAGAGACAGTTCTAAAACTTCTGTTCGGCTCCATGAAACGTCCTATCATTCCTTGTCCTTATCAGTTTTTTTTCAACAGCAGTTTGAAGTAGGTTGTCGAACAAAAAAGAGGAGAGAACGAGTGATTTCTCGGTGACGGTCACCCCCAGGCACGAGCTTTTTTTTTTCCAGCGCCCCACATTGACCGGCGGCTTTTTTTTCGCCGTCGTACTTTTTTGCATGGCTCTCCGTGTCGCCGCAGACGGCAGCCTGGGAGGGCGGCGCCGATTTTTTGCTGACATCGGAGTTTTTCCGCGGTGGTAGGACCTGGCGCCAAGGTCTTCTCCTCCGATTAGCCAGTCCCATTCTTCATTTCTGTTCAGAGTTCACGAGCATCTAACTACGTTGTCAAGAGAAAGTTTGAAGCGCGTATGTTGAAAATATTCTTGAGCAATTCATAAACGTTTTTTGTTTCATTTTCAGTATTAAAATGTAATTAGCTTCATACTGGAAAAAAATTTAGAAGAAAAGTTCAAATAAAGCAGCTTAACTTATACGTTTTCCTTTCGTTATTCCATTCAAGCTCTGATTCATGGAAAATTGTATTGTTCAGCTGGTATTTTTCCGAGATTTCTCAATCAGAAGTATGAGATTTTGTTTTGGTTTCATTTTTTTAGTAGTAATGGCTGAAATTCTAGAAACCTCAAGCTACAGGCGGAATAATCAGTACATCAGCAAATACGAAGAAATGATTCGTTTCCAATTTTTCTGGTCGCGATTCTTCATTTCTATATACGTCTAACCGACAATTTAGTACTCTTAGTCGTTGTTTTGAAAAAAAAAGACTGGCAATGTATCAGCCGGTGCCTCTCACTCGAAAGAGGAAAAAAGAAGAAGCAAAGAGCGAAAAAAGAGCAGTGGTCAGGACTGGGGGAGCTCGGCGGCGCCATGGCACGACCTCCCACTGGAACGCCGTTCCGCGTGTTCGTGTTGCTCTTTTTTTCATGTCCTCAGGCTCTTGCACCGAGGGTGAGAACGCCAGAGACGCAGAGCCGTCGCTGGGTGCGCCTGTCCGAAAAAAAAAACACACTCAGTTAGTTTGATAGAGCACCCGTCTACGCTATCGCTAGGTTCTGGTCTCACTTTTTTTATAAGTTTCGAAAAATAATAAAATCATTATTGCCGCTTCAACTCGATCTCGCGAAACTTGAAATCGTATCTGGCTCTTCCAATTTGTCGTTATCTTTTTTACTCTTTGGAACTACTTTGAACGCGGCGGGAATGCTTCGAAAAAAATTTTTTCAAATTGTTCTATCAAAATTTTGTCCAGGAAAAAAAAAACTACGTGACTCCATTTTCCACGATCCGAGCGCTGTGAAGCAGCATGTGCAGTGCGCAGCGGTCGCGGAAACTGTCCAACTTTGCAGAATTAAGAACACAAAACTGGGAATGTCCTATTGGAAGTTTGATACCCTTCTAACTATTTTTTTGGTGTTCAGCTTACGTTTTTTTGACTTTTGAATGGATTAAAACAAACTTTTACGCGTCTGAACGCTAAATGCTTCCCATCTTTTCATGCCCCGAACGGGGTATTGTCGCAAAGTTGAGGGTATTTCTTTACGTCTGCAGGTAGATGGACCTGTCTCACATCCAATAGTAAAAATTCAGGTTTCCGAGTTTTTTGTTATGCTTTCTGAAAGCTGCTTTCAAATTCATTTTCTCAATTTAGTTCATTTTTTTGGATGAAATTTTTTTGATTTAGTTTTGAGTACAAAAAGTTTGTCAGAAAACTTTTAAAGACAAATAATTCAAGTTTAGCACATTTCTGGGTTGTCTTTTCTTTTATTGAACTCGAAAAATGTGCGAAGTATAAAGATTGGAGGTCGAAATTGAATAATCTAATTATCTAGACCTATAATATGAGCAATGAGTCGTCTAGTTCGGCGAGGGCCGGCACGCCCAGACACCCGTTTCTTTTTTTTTGTTTTTTTTTTCAATGCTCGCGGCCGATCTATTATAAAGACGAGAGACTCGCGGTTTTGCGGAAAAAAATTGAAAAAAAAATGAGCAAAGTGGGAGGAGCGGCATCAAGACAGCGACCAGCAATTCTTCCGTCTTCAATTTTTCTCGATCCAATCTCGGTGCAACTGGAAATCTAAGTGGATACTTGATTTATATTGAAAATAAAAGTTATATTTTTCAAACAATTTGGAAGGAATGTTTTTAAACCTTTTTTTGCTAACCGAACAATGGATTTTTTCCCAATCAGTTCCTAATATCAGAGACCCTGATATTCACATTCTTCTAGTGAAAAGAGAAAACCCTGTTCCCCAGTGACTGAACCTATAAACGAGAAGGTGAACGAACAGTGAAGGTTTGCTGGAGCGATCTTTTTTTCGCGGCGGCGCCGTTTTTTGCGACTCTCGTGCCCGACGGCGCTATTTCGCTGAAATATGCTTTTTTGCTGCGCACGTACAGCCAATGCACAAGAGTGCCTTCTTTTCCTTGCCTATTTCCGAAAATGTCCTTTGTCCTCGTTTTTTTTCCTTTGCTATTCATTTTTTATTCTAGCTTTTTATAAATAGGCTTCTAAATTTCTTCATTTCAAACATGGCTTGATTAGAAATTTGAGCATTTCTCTCCTTATAGTTCCAAGTTGTCTTAGTCTCACTTCAAAGTTAAAGATATAATTGTGATGGTGTCAGAGGCTGACAGCTCGATCTTCACAAGTTTTCTCTAAAAAATAACAAAAAAACTCCATTGAAAAATCAAAAGGTAAGTCGAAAAACTTCGAAATTTCAGCGGTACATACTTTTTGTTCAGTAAGATGAAAAGGAAAAAAAAGTATCATGTCGTAGAAAAACATTGATAGTTTAACGACGCAAAAGGACTTCGTTTCTATCCTCGAAAGAAGAATATATTTCTGCTCACGTTGTCCCTCCGGGCTTTTTCCACCTCACATGACCGTATTCCTTACACCCCGAAGAAATTACGCCGCAAAACGGCGTTTTTTTCCATCGCCGACGCGCCGCGACGCACCCCACTTCCAGAGGTTTTTTGGGTGTGCAGCCGGCCTGTCTACGTCTCCGTATATGCGTTTCTTACCGCTTTTTACGAGATATCCTGTCCCAATTCTCCTTTTCAATCTTTTTTCCTGGCTCCTCGCCGTCTTCTTCCTCGAAGTGTCACAAGAAGACGCTCTTCCCATTTTAGATAACAAAAGTAAACAAGAATCAACTATAAGACGTTATTTCTCTTCATCTTCACATTTATGGATTAGTTTTCTCTCTTTCAAAATTTTTCTCTTTTTTTTGTATTGATTTCTCGGACTGTTTGAATCGCGGAAAAGCTGCTTTTTTCAGAAAGCTCGCAAAACCCGTATGAAGGACTATGAACTCATTAAAATAATACCAGGTAGCAGAATCTTCTAATGAGCTCGTTCTGAACAAAGAAAGCTTGCCGCGGTGTTTGACGGATTTACCTGTTTGGTTAATTAGGATTCTAATGACTAGTCTCTGCTTTTCATGGACAATCATCGAAGGTTGACTTCTATATGTTGACAAGAGGATAGATAGAACAAGATTCTTCAAACTGGCATCTTTTTCATGGCTTCCTTGTAAAAAGCTAGGTTCAGTGTTTTGATTGCGATGAAATACCAAACAATTTCGGCTATCCACAAAAAATAGATTCCAAAATAGCTTCTCTCGTTGTATTTTATCCGTTTTGCTCGATCTTTATCCGAATTTCTCAAAGTTCGCTGTTATTAGGAGCTTTTGGAGTTAAAAATACAGAACTTAGACTCGCTTGACAAAAAAGAACTCTGTATGAGTCTCAGTTTGAACTCTCGGCCTTGGACGAAACATCTTCCTAGTTTTCTCATTAATCAACGCCGTTGGTGGGCCGGAAATCATCACTTTTTTTTCGCCCCGATTTGTTTTCCCAAAAAGGCACTTCTTTTTGCACCTCGATTTTCGAATCCGAAGCCACGGAGAGAGTCCGGTCACGGTCTTCCCACCACTTTTTCGTCGTTTCCCGCTTTTTTTTCGACGTTTGCGCCCCTCCGACTTGGTTTCATCCATTTTTCTCTCGTCTTGTCGGTTCAACTATAACAATTTCCCATTTTTTCGATCTCATTGACTTCTGTTCAAAATAAGTATCTTGATAAGTTACAGTTCAACTTTTTTCAAAGAAGTACGTAAATCACTTATTTCGAACAACGAGTATGTTAGGCCGGCGTCTTAAACTGATCTTCTGAGAAACTCTGCCTAACCTGAAATTTGCAGACGAGTCAAACTCAGCTCGAACTTGGGTCGGCTATCAAATAGCCACCTACCACGACGGAAGATTCCTGGCTGAAGTAACTATTTTTGGAGTCCTAAAAGGACGTTTTCTTTTGGGCAGGCCCATCCGATGTCAAGAGCCTTCTGAAGGCATTTAACTGTAACTTTCGTATTTCTTCCTGAAAACTCAACATGTCGTCGAACTCGTCCGACGCCGGCGGCTACGTCCCCATCACTTGTAGTTCGTTTCCTTCCTTTTTAAAGACATTTTTTGTGACTAGCTAAATAAATCTGTATGAAAAAACGAGAAAATGTGAAAATAAGACTCTGCAGCCATCACAAGTGCACCAACGACTTCGACCGCTTCGATCAGTTCTATAGCCTTGCCGTGTTCTTCGACGTCTTCTTCGTTTTTAGCGTCGCTAGGCTCCAAGCCAGACGCTCTGCCGAGGCCTGGGTGAGTATCGAAATAAATGTTCATAACGAATGGTGTAGGATTTGTAAAGCCAGGGTTCTTAATTCTCTCAGTGTCTATCAGAGGTGAAGGATGGCTGCCCACTGGCCGCCCTGCCTGCCAAGCCATATACGCCCAAAAGGCAGAAATGACTTTTTCAAAAGTCAACGTTGCGCGACGGTCATTTGTAAGGCGAAATCGCCCTAACAATCTAGAAGCGCTTGTTTCGAGCAATGTAGAAAATGTAGAAAACTCGTGTACATAAAGGAATCAGAATTTTTCATTGTTAAAAAAGTTCGAACATAACGATTTTTTATTTTTTTGGAACTTTCCGACGGAGAAGTTTCCAACTAATCATTTTCCGACTTTTTTTCCAGATAAACTCTTTTTTTTAAATCTTCTTATATAGAGTAGGTAGTTGATTCATGATAAAAAAACACAAAAAAATAGAAAAAAAGGTTATTAGATATTTTATAAACCGCTTGAAAACTCGCTGGCTTTTTTTCATACCACCGAAAAAAATCTAGGAAGAGATCTATACGCCTTCCACTCTTAACGAGGTGGCCTGGCGTAGTACGATTTTTCTGTCATGTGACTTTTTTTTTGGAAACCAATTGAATCAAAAGAAATACTTTTGCATCAATTTCATGACGTCTCAAAATTTTTTGGTCAGAGTAGTTCTCCAGTGAGATTGAAAATGTAGCCTACTGACCCGTTTCGGTGACAATCCCCGGCTGAAATATCTGTTACAGTAGGTTAAAAACGTTAACACGGAGTTGCGAAAAAAAAAAATTAGTTCAAAATTTACAAAATTGATAATGATTAGTTCAGGGTGTTATCGCCACGTACTTGACCTACTTGCCAAAGACCACGTAAATTAATGGCTCATTTCTATCGTTTGGGCTAAATGGCTTGGCTTGGCCGCCAAGCCAAGGGCTGCCTTTTCAGTCATTCACCTCTGGTGTCTATGAACTATCAAGCTCGATAAATCTTCAAATTTTCAACCATTTTGCCATCAAAAAAAGCTTGGTTCAGCGCGGCCGTTTGTAGTGCACTGGATTATCAAAAACCCTTTTTTTAAATAGGAGATGATCTTAAAATCTATTGAAAAGACCACCTAGAAGGTTAGAAAAAGTGATAAAATTGAGCGAACAGTCCAAGTCTCTGTCTGTTCTTTTTTTTTACCTCCGGGAGCGTATCACACTGCAAGTCCCACCTCTTGATTGGTTTATCAATTGCTGTCACTTTTGGGCAGGAACTTGCGCCCCACAGACCTGCGGGACGGCTCCTTTTGTTGCTTCTTTTCCTTGACTCCATGATAAACGGCGATGTGTGGTCTCAAGAATTTCCGCGAGTTTTGCAGAACTCCGAAGCAGATGGCCACGCCCACTTCGTTGTCGGAGTGGCAGCTTTTGGCTGTTCTGCACCGCGCCAACCTCGTGCAGTACTACGAGATCTTCATCTCCCAAGGTTTTTCCCTGTTCCTTTCAATTCTCTAACTCTGGGACTTCTCAAACATTTATAATTCAAAGATGAATGAGTTTTCGCTGTGGGAAAAAACAAGAACTCGAAAGTCCAAGCTGATAAGAGCTATCGCCAACTGGTACGGGAAGCTTTCTTGTGCCTGGCAAGCTGTCAGGCACAAAAAAAGCGTCTCGCGTGCCTTTCTGACGAGGGTCTTTCATTTTTTGATAAGATTTTTTGTAATGATCATACCGCCGTGTAAAAGTAGGGTCAGACAAAACTAGGGACCGGGAAGCCCCGCCCCTTTCCGGGATAAAATGTTCGCGTTTTTTGGTAATTTTTCACAGATGTGTTTGCATTTTTCGTACAAACACAGTATTATGAATAGATAATTGATAAAAGAAATATACAGAAAACTTTTCGTTTTCATTCTTTGGACTTTTTTTTTAGTTTTGATGTGTACCAGCGGATTTTCGTACGGAAAACTGAAACGACTTTTAGAATTGGCTAATTATTCTAGGGTTTCAGTTTTTTACTTTCGTTTCCGCTTTCTTTATTATTTTCAAAGTTAGTTTCAAACTTGGGAAGTAACTTTTTGAAGCAAAAAAAAACAAGCTAGGCCAAAACTTTGCGTGAGCGCTCAAAGTCAGGAATTTCATTTGTGTTATATGGGTTTTTTTAAAAAATTTTCTCAAAATAACTTTTTTAGCAATAAAACTTTTTGTAGGAGGCGACGACATCAACCAAATAATGCAATGCGACGAACACGAATTCTTGGAAATCATGTCCCTGGTCGGCATGCTGACGAAGCCGCTGCACGTGCGCAGGCTCCAGAGAGCCCTCAATGTTCGTTTTTCGTTTCGAGTTTGCTGCGAGATCTGTCGGCATTATTGGACTGTCGTGAAAATATCAATCGCAATGAGTTGATGCTTTTTTTTCCATTGGTGAAAAGTATTCAATCAAAAAAATGTTTGGAAAAGAATGTTGAGATTCCGAAGAAATTATTTTAAAACAAGTTTTTTTTTTCTTAAAGTTTCAAATTCTTCTAAATCGAGAGGAAACAACCTTTTCGAAACACAATTTACTATTTTTGGATTATTTTTTTCATTATCGTTTTTTAAACTCTTTGGTTGGGTCACGGCGACGGTCGAACTTGTGTATTTACTATTGATCACAGTGATTAATGAGTTCCATCAAAGCCACGTGTAAAATAATTTTTTGTTGTTTCTTCTGTAAATATTTGAGTGTCTTATGGCGTGTGTCGGATAAAACGGAAACTGCTTCGAAACGCGAAAAATTGCTCCAAAACAAAAATAAGCACTGTTTGGGAGCAACTTTGGCGCGCCGATAAACATAATTGTTCGTTTTGAAGCATGTTCCTTTTCTCCGATGATTCGCCATTGGTATTTCACCAAAGTGTCCTTTCAAATTCATAACCTTGTGTATTTTTCCAGGAGTTTTCGAAGGATCAGTCGGCCTTCAATCTGACGGCTCTGCAGCAGATTGGACCTCCTCCAGTCAGTCCGTACACTCTGAACGGCGCGGATCCGATGTCGCTGCTCCTGCCTGGTAGTTCTGGACTTGCCCTCTCACCTAGACGAGTCTTCAGGCATTTCCATGCTCAACTCCCTGTCGTCTAGTTCCGAAGGCGTCGCTTCCGATGCGACTTCTCCTTCTCACAACGCCGTCGGCTCTTCTTCTTCTCACGGCGGAAACAACTCGGTAGCGTTGGGTTAGTCGAACTGTGACCGCCAGCAAACACGCAAGCTTCATCTCTTTCTGTGAAATCGAATTCTGATTGAAAGAAAAATTGTAAAAAGAAATCATTGTTTTCCGATTTTCCTACTAGTGAGCCTCTCCTCTCGTCTTAAACCTGTCAATTTCAAATTTAGAGGGGATTCAACAACGGAAGGCTGGGTTATTTCAAACTACTTCAAAACTCTTTATTTGGCACCATCTTAACATTATTCTCTTATGAAACTTTTTGCTAGACTGAAAGTTAAATCGATGGATTGAGATGAAGCTGCACATTAGTAGCTCAGTTGTGTTCGCTTTGTTCTTTCGTTTGGTTCGTTTCAGTTCCCGCATCCACACATACTTTTCACTGTTCTTTGTCACCCTTTCGCCCCTCTACTAGCAAAAAAAGTCTGAGTGGTTGTCAAACTTCTGGCGGTGTTTTTCGATGTTTCCAATAGCCGGCAAGAAAAGAAGACTTCAGCGTTCGAGCTCGCCCCTCCTGTGCTCGAGCCTATGGCCCCTCATCGCCGTGTCGTCAGCAGCGGCCGCGAAGACGTCGTCGTCGGCAGCCCTTCCGTCGTCGCCTCTGGCCTCGTCGGCGGTGCCTCCAGCAGCGCCGGCAGCGCCAACGTCGGCCATCCGCGAGCCACAGCCAATATTGTCTCGGGAAATCACATTGGCCAGTATTTTGGCACAGCAACACCATCCGCCAGCGGCTCTCTTCTCAGACCCCAACCTGACCCTCAGCAGCAACAGTCTGTTCCTGTCAGCTCTCGAAGACCAACTTCCGCCTCCAATCAAGAGAAAGAAAGGCCGGCCAGCCCTTTTCTAGTTCTACCTAACAACGATTTTGTATCACTTGGCGATTTCGATCCTAGTGAGTTTCCGTTTTTGTCTTTTTATCTTCCAAAAGCTGTGGTGCGACATTTTTTTATTGCTGGGCATTTATGAATTCAAGTCTGCCCCAACGGATAATTTCATCGCGAATGGAATTTGAGTGGAATTATAAGAGAAAAAGTTGGTTTCAAACATATGGGAGTTTAAACAAGTACATGATGTCTTTTCGTAAATTTTTTGAAAATTTACATTCATGATGACTACAGCTGTCACTGCCATGAAACACCGCCCCTTTTTCCAAGTTCTTAATAATTATAAATACAGTAGGATAATGAGAAGTTTGAGCTTCAGATAACCTTTCTCAAACGGAGAGTCCCGTCCTGTCTGCTGCTCAAATAGCTCGCTTAGCTGAATGTTCCCTGACTGCGAGCCGACGATTGCCCGACCTTCAACCTAGATATGTTCAGAACAAAAAGCGAATCTCAAAGTGAGACTCCAAATGAGAAGTTTGACGTTATCTGGGTCGGTTCAGAGAAGTGCTCGACTTGTTGTCTTCGTCTCCAACATCGATGCCTAACAGATTAGAACAGTTTCGAAAGTTCAGCGCAATTTATGGCCGCTTTGACACAAGAAGGAACCCACATAAGGTTTCCGAATAGCTGTCGAAAGAAATAATTTTGATGAAAGGTTCTTTCGCTTCATGAAACGGCGGTGAACGAAGCGGCGGCTCAAATTTGTCTGCAAGTTCCTGCTCTGCTCACTCGACGCGACGAGCTCTTCCCATTGGCCCGGCAGGTAGACCTTTCGAAAACTGCAAGAGCAAGATGAACCAAAAAGGCCAGAGTATTTCAAGCCCAGCGTAGAAGAATGAAATGGGAACGAACTGACAATTTTTTGAAAAGCTTGGTAAACCTTTCAGAATCAAAAAATAGAATACAACCGTGTCTTCCTATCTGGAGCATTTTTCGAAAAATTTTTGGCTTTTGGGTTACTGCGTTATATTCAGTTCTTTGGTAAACTTAGCTTAGTAAAAGGTATTGGTAAAAGTAAAAGGTATATAGTTTCACATTTTTTTTCGGAAATTTTACATTCGGAAAATGGAGTTTCAACCAATCACTGGCAAGCTGTTTTGCAGATCGTCAAGGATGCAGGCTACCAATACGCGAAGAGCCGAAAAAGACCCTGCGAACCAGCCGATCTGCACTCGCCGATGAGCTCGCCGAGCAACAGCCCTCCGCCTTCCGGAGCTGCGGACGACGGCTTCGAGACGGACTCTTCGCAGCCGACGCCTTCAGAACCTCGGTCCCGTGAACAAGTCGGTAAATGTTCATCTTCTTTCTGAGAAACGGGGCAGTCTCCTCACATTGTGTTATTGTGAACGATATCTGCCTATAACTGCTTGAACTTTTCCAGATCACTCGAGATAGACCTGGCGGCAAATATCTGGATAACTGGGCGTCGGCCGTGATAGCCTCGCGCAACTTGTCGTCGTCTTCCCCATCTTCGCCCCGTTCCTGAACTTTTCTTCTTGTTCCGTCTTGCTCTTCTTTTTTCGCTATTCATTTGATCGAGGCGCAAATGTCCCATCTTCAAGCAACTGAAAGTTTTCAGTTCTTGTCAATTTCAATTGTTTTCGGATAATGGAATTTAAAAGAAAGACAAATCGGACATCTTCGCAGCCTCTTAGATGAAACCCTTTTCTTGCAGTTGCTCGGCTCTTTCTGTTCTCCTTCTATTATATTTGTTTTCAACTATCCTTTTTCGTTAGTTTCAAAAACCTTTTGGCAGTTTTCCAAACAACTGCACAACTCTCATGTGATGGGAGTATAAACTCGGCGGTTCCAAAACCGACCACCCCAATTAAATCCAATTTAATCTAACTTTTCCGGTAGGGACTAATTAACCACGTTCAGACTTTCTTACAGAGCCCACGTATATATTTCATTGTGTAATCAAATTTTTCTTGCATGTTGCCCATCTCAAGGTCGAAATCGCCGTGATCGAAGTTATGTCTTTTAAAGCGTATTCCCATATTCTTCTAAAAATGTTTGTTTCTGATTCCTGTGAGTGTCATAATTAAACTATCAACTTTGTTATTTTATAAGTTTTTTTGTAAACTTCCAAAATGATCTGTCGCTCTTCCCATTTAAAAAAATTGTACGTCTATAATTCGCTCGGAATGGTTTCATTCTTAATTTTTTTGTTCAATTTTATCTAGAAGTCTTTTTTTGTATAATTTTTCTGAATTATACTTCACTTTCGGAAATTTCGTCTAGTTATTCCATGTTCTGTGATGCTGAAATCTCGTTGCTAGTCTCCTCCCGAATGCAGTATTGTTTTTCGAAAACTTCTTTATAACCTCGCAATTAACTAAATTCAATGATTCTATAATATTTTTTTCAAAGTTAGTTCCTTTAAACTTAGAAAAAAGCTTGTAAAGTTATTTTTCAGTAGTTTAAAATAGTCAAAAAATCATTAAAGGCTGTATCAGTTCAGAACTGAAGGCACAAAAACCAATTTTCTTGCAAAGATGTGTATCTCGTTTGCTTTCATGGAATGAAATAAAAAATATCGTATTATAACTTCGGCGTTTATCAACTAAAAAATGAAATCTATCAACATGAAGTAGGAGAAAAGTATACATGAAACTGGAAACCCGAAGAAGAATTAGTTCACTGGTAAACGAAGGATAAAGGAAAAAAAAACTGTGATACAGTGTTTTGACAAATTGAAAATTGAAACAAAGTTTCAAGAACGGAAGGAAAAAAATATCTGGATCTAGGATTTATACATACGCGAGAGTTTTGTTCAAGCTTTTTTGTTGACCCGTTCAACATTAATTCAAGATCAAGAAATTTGATAGAACTAGAAAAAGAAAAGGAAAAATCTGAAGATTTTACACCAGTTATTTGTTGAAGAAAGTTCACACGTTCGGGTTTTTTGGTTTCGCTTTAGGCACAAGGTTGTGCGAGATCGAAAGATGTCGAAGGGATTCGAGAACAAAATAAGACTTTCCAGCTTCGAAATAGGCATGGCTATCTTCCAAGGAACCTTCAAAGTCTACATTTCGTATTCGATGATGGACTGCTCGGTCTCGTTGAGGGACGACGCGACACGGACCGACTTGGCCGAAGAGCGGTAGAGGTCGAAAAGGGCATTCCGTCGAGGCGCCAGCAACACCGTCGCCAAGACGCTCAGAAGCGCCATCTCGCAGACGATGACAAAGTTGCACACAACTGAAAACGGCTCATCAGGGACTGGTTCTAGGAGGACAGGGTCTCACAAGTCGCGTTCTCCTGAGCGTTGAGCAACGGGCCACAGTCAATCAGCTCGAAGCGGAGCAGGACATTCTGGAAGAGCATCGGTTGCTGTGCCGAGAAGAAGAGCAGCGACACGTCGACGAGTCGGAACATCGACATGAAGCAGTAGTCCGAGAGTTTGTTCTGGGGATCTCGCGAATAACGGTTGATATCACAGAAAGCCTTACCGATGTCACTCTCGCCAGAGTGTGGACTCCGAAAATCGCCAAGAGTAGCGAACAAACTGACGCCATGTCCGAATAACGCAGAAAACTGAAGAAAAATCGATCGAAATTTTAAGTCTTGGATGGCCATCCGGAGGTTTCACCACACAGAGCAACAACAAAAAATTGGAAGCGTTTCAAAATAATTGACAAGACTGGAAAATATCTCACGTTGAAGCATTTTCGCGCATTTCAGCCACAGCAACGATGTCACTGAGAATGATGACGGCGCGAACAATCGGCGCTTGAAGAACCAGAAACTCGAGCCGACGGATGTTGCGTCTGGAAAAGAACTTGGTTTTTGTCTCTCTTCTATAAGATCTGTCAGTTTTGAATACAACTCATTTTCAAAAGTTTTCAGTTCAGTTTGTGCCTGCCGAGACACTTTCTCAAACTGTCCGGGACCCTACAAAAACTCACTCGGAAGATTCCGCTTTAGGCATGCAAGGAATGATGCAACAGAAAGGAGGACTCCGCATGTCAATGGGCCTCGAGTCGTACTGTAGGCTGTTGCAAAAGGAAGAACGACCGCCGAAGAGATGTCTAAAAAGAAAGAGTTCGGTTTGCAAACGATGGGAAGGGGAACCTGCAGAGGGAGACAAGCACAAAAAGACACATCAGGTAGTAGAGAATTCCGCAGGCCGTCAGGATAAGCGCCGTCCTCGGAACCATCATCCCGACGAAAGAACAGCCTGAAGCCACCTGAAACTTTCTACGTCAGATGCCGGGAAAAGGCAAAACTGACGGGGAAGACGGCGATGAGCCAATAGAGTTTATTCCGACGATCCTCCAACGAGATGTATCTGTAGACGTAGTACCAATGGACCAAGGCGAGTAGAAACACGACGAAAGTGAAGGAGCTTGCGATGGTCAGAAGCACGACTTGAAACGGCTCGAGATCTATTAGAAGGCCTTTTTGAAAAAATCGAACAACTGGACATACTGTGGAGGAACTCGCGAACGGAGGGCGTGTCGTGGTCGGAGCTGCTGCAGTTGCCGCCTTGAGGCATCATCAGAGTCTCGACTAGCCTCAGCACGGACTCCACCTCGCTTTCCATCTTGCCTTAACTACTGTTCTTGTTTGCAATGTTCTGAATCGATCGAAGCGAAGGGCTTTACAAAAATAACCAATTGAAGCGGCTGCAGTATAAAATTCCTATTGTCAACGGTCAAACGAACAAACTGATAAGACCTCGTCTACGTCATAGCTTTATACAGTTTCTGAATATCGAAAGAGAAACGAAAAATGTTTGAAGTTTAATTATTCAATGAATTTAGAATGTTTGAAACGAAACGAGAGTACCTTTTTCAATAAAGGAAGTATTTTCAACGCGAACGATATGAGCAAAAAGAAAATGGAGGCGTTGTGTGGAACGTCGAATCAGTTATTGTTTGCACAAAAGACGGGTCAGCGATGTGACGTCTACTTTTTTGTTATGAGTTTATCTTTCTTAAAACGGAAACTGTTCGTTTATATATTATAAAACTCGTGGATTACTTTGGACAAGACAAGAAAATAAATCTCATGAAGTTGAAAAAGAAGTTTTTTGGTGGAATCTTTGAATTTTTTTTCCTTTCGGGACTCTTCATTACTCGAAAAAGTCTAGCGCGTCTGCACCCTCCTCTCGCTCATCAGAAAGGTCCCAAAACTGTGAACATATCATTTAAATAGAGAGTGGCGCTTAGAGAAAAGACAACGCACAAAAGTCAGACTGTGGTGGTGAAGAGGAAGTAAAAAAAAAACTTGAATCTCCAATTTTGGATCAATCTTCTCGTTGAAAAAAATACATCAAAGTAAAATTTAGCTGTTAAACTTCCCACGACAACAATTCCAATTGAAAAAGAAAGAAAAAAAAAACTGAACGATATCAGAATTCAAAGAATCAGTTTTTATCGAAATCGCATAGTTATTCTCGACTATAAAGAAGACCGAGAAGACATGTCTGGATGGTTGATAAGAAAAAAGAGTTTAAGACTGCACAACCGATAAATTAATTCTCGAGAAACTTAAATAAAAGCAGAGACCGAACATCTGTGATAACCGTGAGTCAGAGGAATTTCGAGGTTTCTTGCAGATTTCTCTCGAAGCGCTTGAATCATTCGATCAACAAAAATGACTGATAAAAAAGAAATAGCCATGTGTCAAAGTCATGTGAGCATCAATCAAAAATATACGAGATAATCTATTCGAAAAAAAAGTTCATTTTTTTAAAGTACTCTCTAAAATGTTATGTGGCTCAAAAGAATCCAGGGGAAAATCTACAAATGGGTGCTCTTACCTGAATTTTTGATTCAAGAGGTCAAAAGATTTCTAATTTAAACGTTTTTTAACGTATTAAAAATCATATAAGTGCAAATCGACAAAATTTTGCGAAAAGGAAAGAAAAAAAGGTCTTGTTTGCCAGAGAATGACTCACTGAAAGCGCTTCTCTTAAACTTTTTTTACTAGTTTTTTTACTTCTTATTTCTCTCAAATAACAACTCGAACGTACCCTGTTTATATGGATTTGAAAAACATTCTCGGCTGTCTACACCCTCTTTTTCCCGGAACGAGAACGTCCCTGAGGGAAAAAAGACAATACGGAAATGCTAGATCTTTTGCACTTTTTGGCGTGTAGGATATTTAGGTGGCCCGAAAAAAATTCATCTCTCACCAGTATTATATCGATATATTCTTTTTAAACTTATCAATCCATTTGAAATAAATTAAAAATTTTTACAGCTCTTGAAATTAATAAACATCGGTTCAAGGTTTTAGGATGATTAATCAGTTCGAAAGATGAACAAAAAAGGGACCGTTCAACGGTGGGACGAAAAAAAGTGGCGGAACGAGGATAATTGTCCCATTTAGAAAATGTTTTCTATTCCGCTGAAAGCCACGCAAATTTCTTTGGCTTTTCAAAAAAAGTAATTCGAAAAGAGACATTCTTCGCCGCTTCTTAGCTCATTTTTGTGAAAAATGTTTCCTATAACTAGAAAATTTATCAAAGTTGCCTGAAAGTGAATAAACTTTCTATAAATTAATGTTAAAGAACGAATGTAAAACCTGGAGCTTTGCGAAAGTAGTACACTTTCTAAGCGAAGAAACGATCATTCAGGGCGGTGAGTCTAAAAATAATGAGGTGCGCATTTTTGAGCAGTGAATAATCAAGAAAGTTTCGTCAAGCTCGTAAGTATTTTAAAAAGGAACCAAGAAGATTTTTAATTGGGATTTCCCCTGGAGAAGAAGAAAATGGGATTCCGAAGACCTTTTGATAAGGCTGCAGAAATATAGAAATCAGAAGAAATATTTCAGAATTTCTTAGTGATGATTCAAAGAAAAAAGGATCAGAAAAGACGGCGACCAACAAGAGAGGAACAATTATGAAAGAAAGAGAGAGGTTGGATTCGGGGAAGTCAGGAAATAGGACTTGACAGGCCAAATGAATTGTTTGCCTTTGGGGTGAAATGCACCAAACAAACAACGTGAAAAAACCAGCAACTCTTTCTCGTTTTTCGCCTCCAAATTGACCTTTTGCGTTTAAGCTGAAAGAAACGCAAGCCTTCATTTGCTGTGAAATGAGACTTGGCTCATTTTTGAATTCATTTTCTGAAATCGTCGAAGGTTTGTAAAATAACTTGTAAACGAAGTCGAAGATTGTTCAACATTTCAAAGAAAGCTTGAAAATTCTTGAGTTGTTTCAAAACTGAATGAAAGTTTTTGAGTCGTCTTCAAACTGAATAAGTGATTCATTTATGTTTTGAATTAAGAAAAAAAAGTTCGAATGCAGTTTAGGTGAAAGCTCATTGACTTCCACTAATGTTATACAGCTACTGAACAAGAATGACTTCAAAAATCAATATAAAAAGTTGGAAAAAGCTATTGAAGAGATCTCAGTTTCTGAAATTATGTTCAAGATGGGCTTCTTTGCGGAAAATAGCCACCCAAAAAAGAAAATATTTGCTTGATGAGCAACACGAAATTTATCAAAACAAGAGCTCACTCGTCATTTTCGAGATGGTCGATGCTTTTTGAAAAGGCGCCGAAAAGTTGGAAATCTCTGGTGGTTGGTCATTTTGAGGGTGCTTCTCGCGGGCTGATAAAATCAGCTGCGCTCAAAACAGCTTTCATTTTCATCTTTACTTTTCGTGAAAGCGAAGACTTTATAAAACATTCAGTAAAATAGCAACCAAAAACTGGTAGACAGAATGAAAATAATTCAAAAAAATTGGATTAAAAACTTTGATTTAGAACTTTTTGAGTTATGGATAATATTTTGAAAGTAAGTTGAACTCAAATTTAAAAAAAAGACTAAAAACGAAGGAACGCGAAGATAAGAACACTGTACAGCAGTCGACCTGCGAAAAAAAAACTGAAAAACAAGTCGAATCGAGAAAAAAAAAGACGACGACTTCGTCCTTTCGATGGGGTCGCCGATAACGACCAAGTTCGTAGCCTGTCTTAATGGGAGATCAGAGCTCGAAAATATTTGCCCCGAGTCGCTTCGTTGAGAAGTTTTACTAGAACAATTTTTGCTGATTGTTTCTATCTTTGAAAAGCACAAAAAATCTAATTCTGTGAATCGACAAAAAAAACAATTTTCCCAAAAGTTTGCATGCATGTTGATAAAACAGAGTTCGTTTTTTTGGGTCTGCATTAAATTATTTTTTTGAAAAACATATAACAAACTCTCCTTCTCAAAAACTTGACCAAAACAAAAACTGAGTCCAAAAAAAGGCAAGAAAAATGATGATAAAAATGATGTAAAAAAAAAGGGTACTAAAACCGGCTCAATGCATTTTTTTTTTGTCGTAAATCTCGAATTTTTTTTTTTTGAAAGATACACTTTTCTTTTCAAAATATATATCTGAAAGAACAACTATGCAGTCTCTGAAAAATTTGAAATCTAATCTCTAAGAGGCCTACTTTAAATCATATTGCTTCATGAGCTTTCGAAAACGAGATTTTCCGTTTAAAATCATTTTGACCGAACTGATTTTCAAGATACGAGTGATAAATCGGCCGATGCTCCAGAAATGTCAAATTATCTGTTTTTTTTTTAATGAAAAAACCCACATTATCTTATTTATTAATATCATCGAACTTCTATTGAATACGTTCAATATGTTCTTCGAGTAAAACGAAGAAAAAAAAGAGAGCTTCCATTCGAACGTACGAAATAAAAGAAGATGAAAAAGGGATGGAAAAGGCGTCCAGAGAGTCTCGCGCATTATGGGATGACGTCATGAGGTGAAGTCTCGAAGAAAATCATATCAACGACGTGCCAAAAAAAGACATGACGAGGGGTTCAGACAAAAGAATACCGCCGTGGAGACGGGTTTCAAAACGAAAACGAAAAATCGACGCTTGGTAGTTACGCTGTTCCGCAAGTTCAATGCCACTTACAAGAAAAGAATATTCTCTTTACTTCAAAGTAATCTATATGGGGGAACTTTTTGACCTGTTTCGAAAAAAACAAAAAAATAATTATTTTTTTCTAATAAAACAGAACACATCTTTCCGTCATTGCAATCAGTTAAGTTTTAAAAATGAGCCTGAATCAAAAAATGAAAAAGATCGTGAACTTTCGAGAACACGAAAAAAATGAAACGTCAGAAATACGGGAGTCATAGAGGTTATATGTTAAAAGGGATTATATTCCGGTTTTTGTCCAGCCAGTGGAAGCAAAACTGAACGAAAACGTTCCTATTTCTGGTTTCCGAAGGTAGCATGACTTCCAAAAAACCTTTAAAAAACACTTGAACTGAGTTTTCCTTCGTATTAGTTGAAATGAAAAACAGAAAAAGGAGAATAGAATCAACACTAAACCTGAGCTTAATCATTTTCGCTTTTAAACAATGCTCATATCAAAGCTGTTATCTTTCCTTCTGGATTTGATTTATGAGCACAATGAGATTATTAAGGAGTCGGTCTGCGAAAAACTGTTTCCTTTGACTCCGAATGCATAGCGCATATTATTTTAAACAAATACGTTAGATCTCGACTGGGATGGCTCAAGACTTTTTCAAAGCTGTCATTTATTTTCCTGAATCGGAAAAATAGTACGAACAGTTTTTC